CAAGTTTAATATAAATTTTTACTAACTTTACCCATTTGGTTGACGAATTTCAAAAATCTCTTCTAATTCTTTTTGTAGGATTTCATTCTTCTAGACCACATAGTAAGGAATTTTCATACAACAAATTGTTCCGACATAATTTTACTCTCTAAGAGGATGAATTTCCTAAAATCGCTTTGTGTAGCTAATTCACTAATGTCGTTTAAACGAACCTTTGTTCTAATATTTATGTATCTAAAGCTGGCTGTATGAACTGATCCCTAAATTATCTAAAAACTTGATATATAGTCTAACTGACAAACCACTGACAATGACAAATAATTTATTTCTGGAGCAAAGAATATACCTAGCTAGAAAAAGAATGGAGTCTGCCTTACTGAAAAATGGTCCTACAGAAGTGGCGCCATCTATTGAGCAGGGCTTGTTTTAAATGGATCGAACCGTGGGCTTTTACTCTGAAATATAATTAAATTTGATTATTAAATCTTATTTTTTACACAAATTCAACAATACTAATAACAGGTATCGTTGTGATGTGTAGAAAACAAGATTTAACGGTATAATTTATACAATTATTAAATATAATTAAAGCCAAACCAAACCAAACTACCAACATTTATTCACAACGTAATATAAAACAACAAATTATTGAGTCTACCCCACGTCTACCCTACATCATAGTTTTACATTTTCTAAATAAAATTAGAACGACACTGATAAACCGGAATTTAAGTCGGCCATATTTGAGGCCCATCGCGGTGTACCTAAGATTTTTGATAGGCTCCTTCCTTAGTCTTCTTATTCAAAGTAGTTTGAAAAAAATTTTGATTATCATTTGATAATATTATGATTGGCGACTATTACTATGACAACGACAATATTTTTTGAGAATTTGACAATAGTATGACAATGGCCGTTGGAAACTATGGAAGCTACAAAAACAATTCTGATTTAACGCCATCTGGCAATAACTAGTAGCAACTTCTTAACCTAAAATTTAATTGCACTACCACCTAGCGCCTGAAGCTGGAACTATTTTATTTGAAATTTCCGTGGAAACGGTGGAACCGCTTTTGCTATTTTACTTTCCCGCCCCTGTTCTGGAGGTATTGTGTGTAGGTGTTTTTCAGGTATGATTTAATATTTAGTCGAGTTTCACAAAGAAATAGTCATTCAACAATTTAAAAATACTTCATAACAAATCTAGACATATATACCTTTCATTTAAAAAACACCGCGTTTCGATAGCTACTGTAATTTTGGAGTTTGGTTTGGTTTGGTTGCGATTTTTTAAAATTTTTAACCCCCTCCTATACTCCCTTACCAACCCCCCACCCCAACCAAAAACTAATGGCCAGATTCTCGGGTGCCACAGTATTTTTGTGCCAAATTTGGTTCAAATCGGTTCAGCGGTTTTTGAGTTATCGTGTTACAGACGGCAGACAGACAGACAGACAGACAGACAGATACCACGAAAATATTTTGTATTTAGGTCATTTATGACCCAAATAACTCATTTTGAGTGAAATTAAAAAAACTTTTTTTGCCGATCTTAATAGATATAATAAAAATACAAGAACTATCCTGAAATAACCCTATTCCACTATTTCTACCGACGCGCGACGCACTATTGCCGAACCTTGTATTCTTGTAAACAAAATGTTACATCAAATTTGACAATGACAAAATCACATTTCTGCTGGTATTTTAATTGTAGCTTTCTCTGAATCGCATTATAAAAATTTTAGTGATTTGAAGATAGATTTTTGCAAATAACATTTAAGTGCCGATTCCAAACGAAACGAAATTTTAGACAAAAGTACAATTATAACGCTTCTTTATAAAAGTAAAAAAAATAGTTTGACATTTTCACAACTTACATGGGATTTCCTATGTTCCATATTCCGATGCACCGAACACAAGGTATTTTTTTCTAGTGGATCGATTTTGATGATTTTTTAATCAATTTATACCAAGCAATAGCAAGTTATTGATCTTTTTAGCCTTTTTAAACTTAAAAATTCAAATGTTTACTGGCGATAATTTTTCAAACTTTTTCGAACAAATGGCGAAAATATTTTGCTGTTGTTGCCGTAAAATTGGCTGTTTTCGGATAAATCCTAAAGGACAAAAGTCGCCGTTTTATACTTCTCGTTGAGCGCTCTACCGGAAAATTCTATTAATAATTTATCAGATGTCTTTGGGAGAAGAGGGATCGTGAAAGACGAAGCTAGGAAAGTTTTTTGCTTGATGGAATTTTAACTAGTGCCAAGAAGCTGGGATAAACTTTTTAAATAAGTTCGTTAAGTTTTTGTGTAGGAAGCAAGCTGTACGAGCTGTTAATAATTAATTAGATTGTTAATTTGGTTATTAAAACAATTAAAGGACGGGTCTAACCAAAAATAGCTAAAGAACATAAAATAAACAAAAATTAAAAACAAATTAATAATCATACAGAAAGTTTGAAGCTTTTTGATCTTACCTTATTAAGTAATTCTTATCAGGTGGTAATTGTTAATTTTGAAGTTTAACTTGATATAATGTCATTTTAACAGAACGTCAACGGTTTTTGTAGAGATATTTGTTTAAAAAAAAACCTAAAGTGTTCTCGAATAGTTGCATTTAAATATTTTAAATAGTTTTTTTCTTTATTCTTTGTATTTTTTTGCTTCCGACGACGAAAAGAGAAAGCGACGAATTAGGCAAATTTGTTTATCAGTAAACCTAACTGCTGACAGTTAGTCTCCGTTGGATTAACGCAACAGTGTTTACAAAAATTAACTGTTTTATTTTGTAGATTTTCTTGCAGTGGAGAAATACCCATATAGGATTTTTTGGAAACATGAATCCGCCACATAGGTAGACATTTTTTTTAAATAGAGAAAGTACACACAACCAGGCTTATATGGGATCACTCTTTATTTCTGACTAAACTTTTTACAAGGAAAAAAAATGGTATACAACTTTAAGTTATAGCTTTTTGTTCTAAATAAACCTGACAATAAAGAATAAACGACTGCTGCAATTTATTTTTTTTTTCTTGAGAAATTTTTTTTCTTGAGAATTTTATGTTCAGTAGTAAAATCACAATTGTCCGGTAATTTTCATTCGATCCAAAAAAAATAAAAAAATGCCTTATGTCGTATGTATGGATTAACAGATGTACAGTGTGTCCCATTTTGGTTGAAATCATAGGGTATCTCCGTTATTAGTGAAGATAGAAGGGTGCGGTTTGCACAAACCTATCCCACTTTTTCGTCAAACGGAAGATGCTGCAAACAAAATTTTCATAGCCCTCTTCATTTCTGAGCTACAGGGTCTTTTCGAAAATTTTGCTATTTGAGACACCTCCTGTATCTCTGTTATTGTTAAAGGTATCGAGAAGGCGAAAACTGCTTATTGTAGAACTTTTTACGTAGAATATAGTGGCGTAGTCTGTTTTTCCACCAAAAAAATATTTTTGAAAATATGAACTAAAGTTATGTTTTTTCAAATGGAACACCCTATATATTTATAAATCATATGATCTGTCTTGCTACGAGCTTCTCAAAAATATATATCACTTTATATTTATTTTCACTATTTACTGCAATATTTAAAATATATCATTTTCTTATTAGTAGGCCGTGATAAATAACAAAAAATCAAAGTGGTATTTACTAAAATAGTGATACACATATTAAAATTTATTTGGGATTGATATATTTTACTTTTGAAATAACTGTTACCACTGAAACTGTGAATATATTTTTCTTTTTTTTATAACAGGATGGGTTTGCAAATATCTAAATCTTGAATTATTAAAGCATTTTTCAGGTGTTCGACATTGTTGTAGTGCCCACGATATATTTCGTATTTCAAAAATCCCCAAAATCAGAAATCGAGAACGGCGAAATCCGGAAATCGAGGAGGCTATCAATATGCGTTCATTGGTTCCAATTCATTGATTTCAAAAATAATAATTTAACAGTATTCTAATATTTCCATAGTTATGAGGGGGAATGTTCCCCATCTTGCTGAAAGTATATTTCACGTAAATTAGCTAAAGGAATATCTAAAATTTCCGATACGATAGATTATTCTTACGTATACACGTATTCCAAGATTTACAAATAGCGGTAGAGAGAATATATAAAGAATTTATTAGCGGCTCCCAAAATAAAATAAGAGACAGATAGCAGTATACTTTTAATAATTCTTTAGTTTCTTTTATTATCAATCATGGCCTACTAATAAATATGATCTTTTAATAAAAACTTTTAAATATTGCAGTATATAGTGAAAATAAATATAGAGTGATATATATTTTTGAGAAGCTTATGGCAAGACAGATCATATGATTTATAAATATACAGGGTGTTCCATATAAATAAACATAACTTTAGTTCATATTTTCAAAAATATTTTTTTGGTAGAAAAACAGATTACGCCACTGTATTCTACATAAAAAGTTCTACAATAAACAGTTTTCACCTTCTCGATAGCTTTAACAATAACAGAGATACAGGGGGTGTCCCAAATTGCAAAATTTTCAAAAAGACCCTGTAGCTCGGAAACGAAGAGGGCTATGAAAATTTTGTTTACGGCATCTACCGTTTGACAAAAAAGTGAGATAGGTTTGTGCAAACCGCACCCTTCTATCTTCACTAATAACGGAGATACCGTATGATTTCAACCAAAATGGGACACCCTGTACAGAGGGGAAAATATTGCTCTCATTTAACAGAGATGTCCCAAAGAGACGTAGCAGACATAGTAGGCATTACCCAGGGTGTTGTACCGAAAATATATGCAAGGTGCTAAGCACCTTGCATATGCACCTGGTTCTTGGAACTAGGAGCTCTCAAGAACAGCCCCAGACAAAGTCGTCAAAGAACCACAACTGGACAACAAAACAGAAGTAATGCCAATGTTTCTCATCCAGAGCTACAAAGGCAACTTCTGGCATATTTAACTTGGCATACCAATCCCAAAATAAATATTATTTTTTTCTGTTACAGGACACAGTCTGACGAACCTCCAAGATCACCCTTCTTCCCCATCACCCCACCCCAAGCCTACCTCCCTCCCGAAAACCCTCCCCAAAGCGAATCTTCCTCCCTCTCCAAGTCCGAAGAGCACGAATCCGAGGACTCTGTTGAATCCAAGCAGGAAATCTTTATCGACTTCAAGCCCCAGGTGCCTGCCGGTCGCGACAAAATGGTCAAAAGGCCTCTGGTGAAGACCGCCTCGGACGGGGTGATTCTGGTGGAGAAGAGGAAGAACCACAAGGACGAGGATAGCGTGGTGCCGAATTTGAAGAAGTACAACTCGATTAGTCACGAAAATATACAAGTGGTGGAAGAGAGAAGACCTTTTACTCCGTATTTTCAGAAAGGTACTTCAATTCGTAGAATTACGAAGTTATTGGAACACTTTATACAAAGAGTAAACCACTATAGAAACTATTAAAACATGTCTAGAAACTGCTTAAACAGCTTTATAAAATACTTTGAATGTGGTAGAAAATGATTCTTTATTGAAACTGAAAGAATTTCGGACTTCCATTGTCTTTATTTATTTTACTTTTGACCGAAATGTTGTGTAAGCACGTAAAAAAGATTTTTTAGTTTCCTTTATGAATTATTAAAACAGCTCCTGGAACTAAGCAGTTCAAGTTTCAGCCAGTTCTAGTCCTGAAACTAAGCGGTACAAGCGTACCGCTTTGTAAACTACAAAAACAGTTATAAAAACTGCTTTATAATGTAGTAAAACAGCTGTAAAAACTGTTTATACATCTTCATAAGCTCGTTTAAAATCTGCTAAAAGTCTTCTTCCAGAATTTACTCAAATCAACCCAAAAAGAGCTTAAAATGAAGAATGAAACACTAACAGTTTCTAAACAGTTTTATAAACTACTAAAATAGCTCTCGAAACTACTTAAACAACCTTTATAAACTACTAAGGGTGGCTGCAACGACGTTCCGTAATCCTGGTGTTAAAACATAAAAGCTGCTTTTGTTATATTTTAACAGCAGTTTTGGCAACCACCTTAAAAATAGCTTTAGAATTTGCGTAAGCAACTTTTTAAACTTCTAAAACAGCTCCCGAAACTACTTATAAGGCTTTGTAAACTACTAAAACAGTTCTAGAAACTGCTTATACACGTTTATAAACTACTAAAACAACTCTAAAACTGTTTATACAACTTTGTAAACTTGTTTAGAATCTGCCAAAGATTCTTTTTCCACAATTTATTTAAATCAACCTAAAAACAGCTTAAAATGAAGAAAGAGTCACTAAAAGTCTCTAAACTGTTTTATACACTACTAACATAGCTCTAGAGACTAGTTAAACAACTTTATAAACTACTAAGTGTGTTGCAACGACGTTCCGTAATCCTGCTGTTAAAATATAACAGCTGGTTTTGTTATATTTTAACAGTAGGATTATTTTCTTTGCAACCACCCTAAAACACCTCTAGAATTTACGTAAACAACTTTTAAACTACTAAAACAGCTCCCGAAACTGCTTATAAGGCTTTGTAAACTACTAAAACGGTTCTAGAATCTGCTTATACACCTTTATAAACTACTAAAACAGCTATAAAAACTGTTTATACAACTTTGTAAACTTGTTAGGTTGTATCTGCCAAAGAGTCTTATTCCAGAATTTATTTAAATCAACCCAAAAGGAGCTTTTAAAATGAAGTCAAGAACCCTAACAGTCTCTAAACAGCTTTATAAAAAAAACAGCTCTCTAATCTGCTTATACAGCTTTATGAACTACTAAAACAGCTTTGCAAACTGCTTAAACATCTTTAGAAATTACTAAAGCAGCTATAGAAATTGTTTATACAGCTTCATTATAGTAACTCTGATATTACAATAATATTCTAGAGATATCAATAAGATAAATATAATATAATTTATACTAAACTATATTAGAACAATATTTGTTACAGCACCTATAAGAAACGAGGGTATTTGCAAGCCATTGGAAGAAAACATATATTCATCTACAGATGGTTGCTTGTTTACACAAGACTCGATAGACGAAGAGTTTCATGAAAACTTCATATTTAACAAAAATTATATAAACAGGTAAGTTTAATAAATATATGATACATTTAAAATATGTCTTCTTGTGAATTTCATTAAATGCAAAACATTAATCAAACACAAATTTGTTGATCGTTCCGTATAAATAAAATAGAATAATATTACATTAAAATCTTCATTACTGAAAGTGATAAGAATAACAAGGTTTTAAGGTGCGAATAATCCATTCAAGAAATCTAAAAGCTCTAATATTCTCTTTGCTAGGCGCAAAGAATAAATTATTAAATTTAATTTGGAAATTCTAGCACTCCAGTTTCCACTAGCACTTGGAGTTTCTCGAAAATTATGAAAGTTCCATTTACGTTAACGTTAGAAAATGAGCTTAATGAATCAGGGAGCAGCTCAAGTTGAAATTTCCTTTTAAAAGATAACAAATAGACCTCCATCAACCTAATTTATTATTATGAATACCAGCAATTAGGTGTTGAGTAAAATTGACTTATTTTCCACGATTTTCATGTTCTAAGATATTTGCCATGATTTTTAAATTTTTATTCTGAATTTTTAAATCTTTCTCTCTGGTTTTCTTTTTCATACACACGGTCTCTCATATAAGAATGTAGATCTTGTAACCAGAAAATATACATACCGGGTGTTGCATCGTCGAGCGGGACGTAGGAAATCCCATGTAAATTTTAATGGGGTCAATTATTGACTTCCCTAATTATTTTAGAGAATAATTCTATTTAGGTTTATTGAAGAGCACTAAAACCCACATTCAAAAGAATAACTTTAGATATTTTTGATTACCCCGTTTACGAGTTATCGCCGATTTCTTTTTAAATATTTCTACTTTCTTATGGCCCTGTATTTACTTATGAGCACCAGTCAAGGTAAAAGATAACTGTCAAATGAAGTTGTCATTTCAGAAATTTATCCATTTAGTGCTTTATTATTATTATTAAAAACTCATACTTACATCGCAAAAATTCATGGCTAAATTATACTACCGAAGAAAAAGTATTGATGATTAAATCGTATTATCAAGGAAATAGTTATCAAAAGGTGTCGGACATGTTTGCTGCTCTGTATCCGAATAGACCGATACCTGGAAAATCTACAATCGCAAGGAATATCAAGAGACGGAACAAAGAGAAGATGCAAGAAATGATACCGACTTGGAAGTTTTATTGTGCGTGGAAGAGAACGATTGAAAGATCAGCACAAGGAAATTTGAGGATGAAATAGGAATATATCACACTACAGCGTTTCGAATTTTGAAACGACATAAATACTATTCCTTCATATATGAAAGGATCAAGAGCTACGAGATGGGGACGAAATACGGCGGCAGACGTTTTGTTTTGATATGATGGAAAGAGCAAACACGGATAGGGAATTTGTAAAAAACTTATGTTTCACTGACAAACGCACGTTTACCTTAAATAATGAACTTCGAACTTTGAACTTAATGTTCAAAATTATCGATATTGGAACAAAGAAAACCAACACAGGTTTGTCAAAACAAGGACGTAATATCCACAGAAAGTAAATGTTTGAGCAGGGATAGTCGGACACAATATTATCGGGCCATTATTTCTTACGCGAAATTTAAATGCAGAATATTATTTGGAAATACTCGAAAATCATATTTTACCTGCTTTACATGATGCCGCTAAGAAAAATCAGGACGTTTGGTACCAAATGGATGGCTGCCCGGCATATAATACCCTGGCTGTTCGGGAATCTTTAGACAATAGTTTTAACGGAAACGTTATTGGCCTAAATCATACAGTAAATTGGCCAGCAAGGTCTTCTGATATTTCGCGAAATGATTTATTTCTCTGGGGCCATTTAAAAAACAGGATATACAAGGATAAAAAATACCCAAATCTAGACGAGTTAAAAAATGCTATTTCTGCCGAATGCAATAGAATTTCAGTTTACCAACTAGCGAATGTAAGAAGAGAATTTTATGATCGTCTGGGTTATTGTCTAGCAGTCGATGGAGGAATATTTGAACATCTTCTTAAATCCTAAAGTTCTAACAATTTAATAGTACCTAAATTAATAAGTTATTGAATATTGTAATAATACTATAATTAACCTTGTAATTGATTACTTTATTTTACTTTAATTCATATTAATTTGTATTTATAAATACATCTTTAAGATTTCCGATGTAGGAATGAGTTTTCAATAATAATAAAGCACTAAATAGGTAAATTTCTGAAATGACAACTTCATTTGACAGTTATCTTTTACGTTGACTGGTGCTCATAAGTAAATACAGGCCCATAAGAAAGGAGAAATATTTAAAAAGAAATCGGCAATAACTCGTAAACGAGCTAATCAAAAATATCTAAAGTTATTCTTTTGAATGTGGGTTTTAGTTCTCTTCAATAAACCTAAATAGTATTATTCTCTAAAATAATTAGGGAAGCCAATAATTGACCCCATTAAAATTTACATGGGATTTCCTATGTCCCGTCCGACGATGCAACACCCGGTATATGATTAAATTAGAAAAAAGTTTTGCTTTACTGAACCCTACAACGTCATGTTTCTAAATTTAAAAAAGTACGTATACTTCCAAAGTAAGAATTTACTTCCAAAGATACTGTGTGACAGAAATTGCAACACGCAGTATAAACTAAGGGTTGGCAAAAAGGTTAGGCTTGAGTCGAGATTTTCGTGTGTAAGAAGAGTACAATGCGTTTATAATGTACTGAACAAAGAGGGAACAGTAAAAACGTTGGCAAACGTATGAAATAAACCGAGAAACTGTGCACATTGCTAAGAAGAGCACTATTATCAGATTCGTCGCGGTCGACCGGTCGACCCAATCAGTACCATATCAGTACTTAAAATTCTAGGAAGGAGTGTACAGCATGCGTTCAGCTTCACGATTTAATTACGTCTCGTGATACTTTATTTGTTTATTTAATAACGAGTCGTTGTAATTCTGCCTATAGCTTGTAACTTTTTTAAGTGCAAGTTAGAAAGACTTGTCCTTTTGGTAAAAATAATTGGAATTGAGTTGGTGTTCGACAGTGGTCGCGCTATTAGAACTCTGAATTCTAAATCGATATCTCGAAATCCATTAGAAATAATTGATTGTAGTTTTTTTCAAAAACTTTCTCAATATGTCTGCTATATTTTCTTTGCAGACAGTATGTGAAAATTTTTACAAATAAAAAAGTTACACAATTGCTGAAAATTGTTATGCACTAAAAGTAAATGGACGGGTTTTTTTAAAAATTTTGAATGGAAAAAACAAGCCTATCGGATGTTTTCTCTTTTAGTAAAAGATCCGAACTTCAAAATAAAAAAAAATTCAATATCTAAAGAACAATTTCGATGTGTTAAAAGGTTCATTTTTAAATTATCGTGATTACTAACGATATCCTTATAATTCCATTTCAGATGCTCAGAAACATATTATCTAATAATTTTATCTAGTTATCTTTTTTATTTTAAAAAAGTTTTTTAAAAATAAGCGGCTTGCGATCGTGATTTTACTTTACTTGAGAGGGAAAGGCGTAGCGGAGAAATGTGGCAACGCCACAACAGCACACCGTCGCATTTCTCTCACTCCGACTCAATAAGATTCCTATGCGATTTACTTTCACACATGTAAATACCGACCCAAAAGTAAGAGTTGCCAGTATTATATAAGATACCATGTTTATAAGTTACTAGCGTGTACCAGCGACTTCGTTCGCGTCGAATTAATCATTTGTAATGGTGATGATAAAGCAAAGCAAGAATTTCCATTAACATACAAACTGGATAAAATTTTCTCACATTTATGTCAGCATGAGAAAAAACAAAATGGCGATATTATTATAACTTGGTAATATTTGAGGGGTAGTTTCATCTCGTTGGAATTTGACTTTCGAAAAATCCATTTGCCAAAAATAAGTTTTTACGTCAAGCCGTTTAAGCAGAATCGTGGTTAAGAAATTACCTAACTTTTTGAAAGACCCTGTATGATTTTTTAAAAAATTTCAGAATATGTAAAAAAAACAAATAAATTATGCTTGTCCAAGCATTTTCCCGAAAGATTAACCGTTTTTTAAATAACAAATATTGTAATATTTGAGGGGCGTTTTCACCCTCTTCGAATTTGAGATTCGAGAAACCCCTCCTTATCGAACCTCTACACCCTACAGTCAATCCGTTTGCCAAAAATCAGCTTTAAACATCAAGCAGTTTAAGCAGAATCGTGATTACTCAATGGTCATATTTTATGAAACACCCTGTATAAATTTTTAAATCTTAAAATATGTAAAACAACAAAATAAAATAGACGTGTTTAAGAGTTTTTCCGAAAAACTCTCCGGTTTTTAAATAAAAAATATTTTAATATTTGAGGGATAGTTTCACCCCCTTAGAATTCGAGTTTCGAAAAATCCCTTCTTATCGAACCTCTACACCCTAAATTCAATCTGTTTTCCAAAAATCAGCTTTTTACATCAAGCGCTTTAAGCAGGATCGTGATTAATCAATGACCAGATTTTTCGAAACACCCTGTATACATTTTTAAAAAATCTTAAAATATGTAAAAAAACAAAATAAAATTAGTTATTTAAAAAATTATTTAAAACCCAAACCAAACCAAACTTGACCGTTTTTTAAATAAAAAATATTGTAGTATTTGGGGGGTGGTTTCACCCTCTTGGAACTGGAATTTCGAAAAATCCCTTCTTATCGAATCTCCACACCCTAGAATCAACCTGTATGCCAAAATTGAGCTTCTTACGTTGAGTGGTTCGAGCAGGATCGTGATTAATCAGTATGTCAGTCACTTAAGGATTTTATATATTAGTATAGATTTATATGAAGATATACCTAGAATTTCCAGTATTGATTTCTACATATTCAAATGTTGACGTTTAAAACTTTGTCAAAGATAAAGTTTCCAACATATTCCACTTATTATCGACGTGATTTACACCTAATTTACATTATACAAACTTTCCGTGTAATGAATGGGTGCCAATCAGGCGTTTATGTTGCGGCGTTTTCCAGGCAGGACTCGCAGAACAGCAGCAACGTGGAAATTGGGAAATGCGTTGTTTTCCAGAACGACGAGAGCGTCGTGCCGTCGATATCACTCCGGCCCGATATGAAATTGTCGCCGTTCACTTCAAACGACGACATAAGGTATTGTATTAAAACACTTGACTAATTTAGAGAATATAAAAAAACATTATACATTGTTTAATATCGAATTAAGATAAAATGTGTATCTTATTCTTAGAAATTATGCATAGTGAGAACTTATATTTAAGTTCTCATCCCTCGATTTTTACTTTTTTTGCATTTTTGCGTTTGCGATTTAACGTTTGAAGCTTTTATTTCGATTTGTGTCCATTAAAAACACGCAAAAGAAGAGGCAGGTCTGCAGTTTCTATCAAAATGTCAATTAGTAACGTCGCAAGCACGTGGATTCCCGGCCCGTTCAACAATCAATCCTTTGAGAAAGAGATAGGCGAGATCGGCGCGGTTAGCGTTGAAAAAACAAAGATGAAAGATATGCTCGGATCGATCGCTGAACGGGCTGGATATTCGACAACAAACGCAATCTACTGCTAGCTCCAGTGATGTGTGTAAGAATAATTATTATCATTTGCCATTTATTTGAGAAATTTTAGTTTATTTGTGTATAGATTTTGTATGTTGTAGCTTTGTGGTTGTAGAATGTAGAATGTTTAGGAGGGGAGTTAATCACCGCGACCTTACAGATCTATTGTGCGTTCCCCTTTCTTGAGTTATAACGAGTTATAATTCATCATACAGTCTCAGGGCTTTAACAAAAGCCAGTATTTGAGACGGCTTCACAGAGGCCAGCTCTCCATCCTCGACATCAGCCGTACCAAAGTTCATGACAGGAATGGTCGTCGTCTCGGCGCACTTAGTAATAAGGTGTTCTGGTGTTGTAGCGTTTTTTATAAACATTACCACTGCGAACGGCAGCTTTTCATCGGAGAGCAGTCGTGGATAAGGTATTTCACTGGAAAGAAAACTAATTAATAACAATAAACAAAAGAAATAGATATTAGGCGCCAGGCATGTACAGAGAAAGAAAACACAGTTGTATATTACTTAAAACTAATGGCTATATTTATTCATGATGAATTCTGATGGTAAATAGCATTGTACAATTTTAATAATTATTATAGTGGTTAAATACTATTACAAGGCGTAATGTAATGAAACCTAAGATCTAAATCATGTTGTAACTACTAAATCGACATAAATGTTCTTAATAATCTAACCACTAAATATAGTCTGTACAATATCATTTAAAACGTACGTTATTAAGTTAAGACTGAAAATCTGAACCTAAATCTACACTTAGCTGTTCTTTATGTAACCTTGCTTCAAACAGTAGCAGCGTGAGGTGGGCTCATATCTCTGTACTGTCTATCGGCGATCCTGTTGGCCAAAACAACAAAAGGGGCCAGAATGAGGACACCATAAATCCATACAGTCGTAGCTACTGACTAGGCTTAGAAATGGGAGCGAAGCAGCATGGGGCTTACGCTGTATCCATACTGTGGCAATATGGGGACACTACCCGTACCTTGGAACACTACTAGGACCTTGGATAATGTCCGTAACCTGGGCCATAAGCTTGGACCATAACCTTGGACACAGTCCGTCCATAAGACAACGGTACAGGGGAACACTACCCGTACCTTGGATACTACTAGGACAACAAGGTCAAACCAAACAAGGTCTAATAAACAAAATAAACCTACCTCGAATTACTTCCATGGGCTCAATAATAAACAAAGAAACTGTCCTTTCTTCCATGTAACATTCTGGAGGACAAAAGAAAAGGGACGCCAACGTGCCAGCAAAATACAAATACAAGTTAAGTTGGGACATCCAAAACTCTACCCTAAAAATATTCAATAATAATAACGAATCTAATAAAGATAATATCTCATCTTTACCTGTTGCTTCGAAATGGCAGCTGATTCAGATTTTGCAGCAAGATTTAAATTATTACCATTTCTAAAAGCCGGGATGTTAGGTTAGGCTACAGAGCGCTAAAAGCAAAAGTGAGAGAGTTGACAGAAACGATGTTGACAGCGCTCCACAGAGCGATAACTGGGTTGTGTCAAATGATAACAGGGTTGTGGACTAGAGAACGTAAAAATTACGCCAAGCGCGTCAATTAAATTATCCGGCCTGAACGATAGGGAATCCGGTGATGATACGCCAGACATCATATATCATATACAAAGACATGTAAGGAACTAAAAACGTTACAGTGTTTCCCCATTTTCCCCCACAGAATCTGCATTCGCCATTATTTCTCAGCTTCTGCCTACTGAGGAGTTCGTTGAGGAGACAGTGTCCTGTTAAAACCCCGTGACAATCCGAAGATTGTTTTTACTTAAATCAAGGAAAACCTTTGATTTTTCTCCGTCGTAAGTTCTGAGGAACAGCTTTGTGGTTACTTGTGTATTATAATTATAATAATACAATATAATAAATAATTATAATTCTATAATAGACTAGTAAAAATATTACTAATTGCTAACGCAATTTTAGGACATGATTTATCAAACTTTTCTTTAACATTTCAAACTACACTTTTTCAAACATTTCCTTTAAATCCTCCAATTTAATATAATCTTTCTAATTAGTTAGATGTTCCTTATAAAAATATTTTTAGATAATAAAAGGTATACATTTAATTTTTATTGTATTATTAAATATTACGTCCGCCTATGAAGGGGTCTCATCTTAGAACTCGCTAAAGACGCTACAAAAAAACAACCTGATTTGTTTTCATTTGCGTCTTTTGCAAGACACACCGAACGCTACATGCATTTGGTCGGGCCACTTCTATATAATCCTGTTATTTTGTTTTAATCACAAAAAACACATTACACAAAAAAACGCAAAAAACGCTTTCTATGTGGCTGTGAGCTTAAAAACATGGTCATATAAACAGAGAATTAGTGACCAAAGGAGGCTTATCAATGTAAATTCTTTGATCATTTCATATGCCCTAGTACCCAAGCGTTACACTTGTGCCCTAGTACTCAAGCAAACCTAAAAAATACAATCAATTTCCTCTTGAATCTTGAAATACCCTATGAAGTAAGCAAGTTACAATTATTAAAATCATTTTGTGACATCAAATTGCTACAGCCTGTTTTTTTTATCTTTTTATTCAATTTGATATCTGAAATATTATAGAAAATACAAGGCTTCAAAAAAAGGTAGTTGGAAAATGTAATCTTATTTGCAAATTATTGAGTTTGTAGTTGTTAATCGCACTTTCAATACATTTTTTATACATTTTTTAAAACTAAATAAAAATAAAATGTCTCTCATATGCTCGGAAATTATGTATACTAAGCAGTTTTCAATACTTTATTAATACAGTATTTTAGGACCTACTTTATTTTATACTTCCTGGCACTTGATTTGATCTGAAATACCTATTGTACTACATTTCATAATTTTTGGATTCTGCATAAAACAGTAAACACATTTTGTGTAAAATGTTTTATACCTATGTTTTAAATATTGAGATTTATATCTAAATTTGACCCAAGAATTCTTCAAAAAATGATTTAAGTAAAATTAAACAAGTACATATCTACTAAAAGCAAACAATTTTTGAGTTACATATTTTTAGATTTACATATTTTTCCTTTTCAATAACAAAATATACGGAATATCAGTAATACTAAAAATAAATTGATTATTAATATCTACCAGAAATAAATTTAAATTTTAACATATTTCTGCAGTTTATTTAGAAGTCTTAATTAATTTTGTTACATAAACTCATTTGGAAAATAATATTTATTTTAATTTCAATTTGTTTACATGTATACTTGTACTAAAATTAATATTTCATTTTGAATTGATATTTTATTTATTATAGTACTAATAAATATGTTTTAAATATTAATAATAATATTTATGATACATTAAATTTATAGAACTTTTTAATGTTTTAGGGATCAATCTGATGGAAACTGGAATGAGTCCCAAGTGACAGTACTTCAGGTGGATTCTGGAACTGACAACGGTACTCCATTTAGCAGTTCAGAAGTTGTGTCTCTTAGTTCTCCCGGTAACTATAACAAACAAATTTATGAACTGCTGACAAGTTAGCACAAATCTAATATTTTATTAAATCTAATTTTTCTCTAAATTTAAATAAAAAATATTGTTAAGTGCGAGTCGGACTCGCGTACGAAGTGTTCCGTACCATTCATTGTTTATACAACATTAAACACTATATTATTATAAACTTTTTTTCCGATTTAGCTAAAATTTTGAATGCGCATATAAGTAATTAAAAAAAATGAAGAAACACATTACTAAAAATTGTATTAATCAATAATAAATATGTAAAAATATGTAAAAATTAAAAAAAAAAACGATTAAAAAAAGTCGCCTTGACTAGGATTCGAACCTGCCTTACTACGGCTCCAACGTCATAGAAGCGTAAAGTCCTACCGCTTTAACCACGAGCCACCCACCGAGGACTTGAAAGATTCTATGTAAAATTCTTACTTAAAAGATAATGTTTAGTGAAAGTACTTTTTTACTTATAAACATTTATTTAATTCTGTTTTTAGTATTTGTTCTTATAGCGGCAACATAGATACATTATCTGTAAAAATTTCAACTGTCTAGCTATAACGGTTTATAAGATAGACCTTTCTGACAGACGGACGGACGGACAGACAGCGAAGTCTTAGTAATAGGGTTCCCGTTTTTACCCTTTGGGTACGGAACCCTAAAAAGTATTTATTTTGCTTAAAATTTACGTAGGATTTCCTATGTGTAGGTCAGCAATGCATCATGCATTATAGAACCACATAATTATTACATGATAATCAATAATTTTCCTTTATTTTCTGTTCTGGTTGAATCTTGTTAATTAAACATAGCATCAACTTTCAAACTAAATATAGTTATTAGAAAATAAACCTTATAATTTGGATAGAAGCCAAATGTTCTATCTAATAATTATCCAATTATTCCACTACATTTCACCAAACATTAAGTTTAAAATTTCCGCAACAATAATTATTAGCGCAACCTGAAACAATTTATGTTTTAATGCAGTTGCTATAAATCTACTAACGCCGTCGTCAAGAAGAAAAGAACTTCTTATTCTACAACATCAACAGAGATCTTCGATGGACATTGAAACGTTAGACGAAGAGTTAGGAGATCAACCAACTCAGCCCCAGATAGTTGTTGACAAGTTGTCTACTAAAGTAAGTAAAAGAGTATACAGGGTGCTACAAATTCGGGGTACGAGCATTGGTATCTCGGTAACCGTTATGAATACGAACATGGTTAAATTGGGGCAAAGTTGCGTTTGGGATGTTCACCAAGATGCCAGCAAAAAAGTTTTAGAAATTTCAAGGACTGCTGAGTTTTTTGGAAGAAATGGATTTTTTTGAAAATCAATTTTATTTTTTCCTGTCATTACTTTTTAGAAAATCATAAAACTAATTGCACATTCTCACAGCCACTTTATTAGGGCTATCTGATAGTATTTTTAGATTTTCAAATTAGCTGATAATTTGCAAGATACAGAGGCCAACTTATTTTTTTTAAATACGGACCTGTATTTTTTATTTCAGGTTTTGAAAGGACTCGGTCTCCTGAGAACAATAATATGCCACACTTTATACTTTTTTTTTTGTTTTGAGTACTTTAACAACAACAAAACTATTTAATTACTGTTTAAAATAATTTCAAGTCCGAGTCTGTTTTTTTTAATTATATAATCTGATTATATTCATCGCAACAATATTGATCAGTGCTAATTAACATTGAATAAGGAAAATCGAGCCAATTGGAAGATTTAAATAAATGATATCCAGGTCAGCAATTTAAAGATATCATTTTTAACTTTTTTTATCGTGAATTTGAAATTCTCAATGTGCGATCTAATAATATGCATAATATTAATCATAGTTATTATAAATAAATGAACTTCTACAAACTAGTTTCTAATGCTCTACATGTTCGAAAGGGTTACTACCCTTCCTATTGCACAAATTTAGTGTTCGTTCTATTTTATTTATGGCTCTTTAAACTTTCTTTTTATATTTCCAGCTGCATTTTGTATTGCATTCACCAAGTAATTCTCTCTGATTTAGGATAAGTTTTTATTTTCGATAAATTTCGGAGTTTTTTTTGTTCTAACTGATACAAAATTATAACTAGTTGTTAAAGTTGAACTAATTAGACAGCTATGTTGAACTAACGTCAGACATATCACCTAGATTTTATCAAATAATAAAGACCTATTCACACTAAATCATAAACATGAAAATATTTAGGAAAATCTTAGAGTTAGACATCTTAATAGTATTTTGGAGAGACATTAATTCCCTATTGAATATGGGAATAATATACTGGGTGTTCCATTTAAAGTAAAACAGTAACTTGCTTTTAAAAGTGATCAATGTTCAATATTAATTTTGCCTCAACCTGTATAAAATTTTGCGTCAAGTTTAATTAGATTTAAAGTACAATAGTTATTTTAACTACATATTATGCTATACCGGGTAAATTCCAACTTATGTAGCCTTTACTAAAATTTAAAAATTGTTCTTCATTTTCGGAAAATGTTAAATAAGTCAAATACCTTACATTTTAGTCATATACTGTAATAAAACTCACCTTTATTTTTCTCCTAGAATCCGAAAATAAATTAATATATAGGGTGTTCCATTACAAAAAACACAACTTTGATGTGTAAATTTTTTTGGGAACACCCTGTAGAACTCTCTATATTTTTAAAAAGTGCTCTAAGTTAACCTACATATCCTCACAAAATTTCATTTCAATACAAACTGTCGTTCTCCTTGGAGCCTCCGCCTCGTATAAAAGGCGCCATGTGCCACCCTGTATATATGTAGCTGTATGTGAAATGAACAAAACTCTTACAGCTTTAATGTATATTAATAAATAATATTTTCTTGCCTTTAGCTGTGTATTTTTTCTATTTTCGAAAAATCGAAAGTAGAGAAAAAAAAAATATAAAAAGTAAAAAGAAAATTGTTTTGCTTGTCGTAAAGGGGGGAATCAAGCTCCACTCCCACAACCGGTTTCTGGGCCTACCCTTCATCAGGTGAGCTGTCCAGGGGCTGGTTCTCACCGATACGGCAAGCAAAACTTTTTCAATATCATCAGACGATGTCGTAAAGTGTCGGTGAGATATTAGTGCATCTCCCGTTAAAAGATGGTAAGGAGCGTTTTTCGGCGCGCTAAAATATATATAAAATGAACAAAATTCTTACAGCTTTAGTGTATATTAATAAATAATATTTTCTTGCCTTTAGCTGTATATTTTTTCTATTTTCGAAAAATCGAAAGTAGAGAGAAAAAAATCGTATCGGTGAGAACCAGCCCCTGGACAGCCCACCTGATGAAGGGTATGCCCAGAAACCGGTTGTGGGGGTGGAGCTTGGTTCCCCTCTTTACGACAAGCAAAACAATTTTCTTTTTACTTTTTATATTTTTTTTCTCTACTTTCGATTTTTCGAAAATAGAAATAATTTACAGCTGAAGGCAAGAAAATATTATTTATTAATGTAGCTGTATGTATAGTAGGATAAAATACTCTCGAAAACGCTACTTATATAATAAATAACTATTAAACAACAGTTATTAAACGTACCTACTATGTTTGTTTAGCTGGAAGTTCCAACACCACTAAGTCCAAACCCAAAACATTCGCCAACGCTACTGAAAGTAGGACACCATAGAAGTGGTGCACTAATCAGCAGGCAGAAAAGGACAGAATCTCCTCCAGTAGTACTTGAATCTCCCCTACCGGCCGTTGTTCCTGATCTACTATTAGCCAGGACAGATTCCTGTAAAACCAACACGGACGTATCTGAAAGTACGACAACTGATGATTACATCACCGCAAATTCGGGTACTGACAGTTCAAAGAAGAGTGGTTCTTTGAAGGTAAACCATTTTTTAGTAGTATGATTGATTCAGTTTGCTTTAAGTAAATACTATTGTTAAATAAACCAATACTCAGATTGGAACATACTGTCCATATTATAAAAAAAGTCAATAAAATAAAAAAAAATAAATATCTGAGATAGGTTTATTCGTATTTTTGTAGGTATATCACTACATTATCTTTACACTTTTTCATTTTCAATGTTTTTTCAAAGTTATCCAATACTTACAAGTTCTAATATGATGTCAAAATTGTATTTTTTATAGAGTAAATTTTATACAGTTCATACCAAATAAATTTTTAGTCACGTGATTAAGCTTGACCGGCACAGCGTTGCCCACTTTTACATATTTTCTTTTAATCAAAATATTTTAAGAAACAAAAATAAATTAATTATAAATATATAAACAGTTATTATTTACATCAATAAAACTCACTTTCTTAACAGCACTTTAGGGACATAAAGAGCCATTACTACGCTTTCCCGTTCAAAATATTCTAATAAAGTTCCGATGAGTTTTTTACGGCTATTAACCTATCTTGTACACTTCGCACTAAAAGAGGTTCTAAAATGAACAATGTTCGACTGCAAGGTCTGCTAGTAAACTTTTTTTAAAGTATGACAACACTGTTTATTTAAACCAGAAACTGGTAATACAAAACTAAAGCGTCAAAACGAATGACAATGTCAGGAAATAAATAAATAAATGCGGCATGACCACCTGAATCCCCAGCGCGAAATTTAAATTCCAGTTAGTCAGCACGGCGCCGAATATGTCCATCGTTGGCAACAATGAATTTAAAAATCGCGCCCTCGATTACGTAACTAAATGTTTAATTGATATAAAACATATGTCAGCATCTTTGAATAAAAATATTAACGTATGAGTACAATAATATCCATGTATTCATGCATAAGAATCAACATTGTAGACCCCCATCCTTGACAGTTTTGTTTGACGTTTCAGTTATTATCAGAATAGAGATGATATATGTCAAATCAATTGCAAATAACAGAACCTGCTAGAGAGCATTTATTGCAGCCCTATGCTTCACGTAGGAGTTACGGGCGATTCACCTAAGTTTTTTGATATGCTCCTTTAGAGGTGTGTAGTTCGTAAACGAACTAGTTCCAATGAACTATTCCGACCCCGGAATGAAAGAAACTAGTTCCCGGATTTTCAACGAACTAGTTCCTCACGACATATTTCGGGGTCCGATATATAAGCTTACTTCGGGTTTATTTTATTACCGATTCTGAACCGTCCTAGAACTGTGATACTCATGGGCCGATGAACAAAGAAAATATTAAATTTGCGCATGCGCTGCCTAGTTCTAAGATGGTTCGGAATCGGTAATAATAAGAACCCGAACAAAGCTATAATAATTAGCGACGGCAGCGGATCGGCCAGCGCGATCGTGGGGCGGGAGTGGGGAGTGCCAGATGTATGTTACCGGTTTCGGACCGAAAGGACTGAGAGGAACTAGACAAACTCTTGTCTATTGCCGCGGCCGGCGTAATTACCCCAGAACATTGTCGTGAATACTGTTTTTAATTATTGATTTGCATTTGTTGTGTTTGTGTGAATATTTTACTTAAGTCCCTGAAATTAAGAAATTATTTATAAAACGAAGTAGATATTCTGAATTTTTAGACAAAAACAAAAAGCTTGCAGTGAGAAAAAAATCAATTTTTCTTTTAAAAAAAAGAGAAAACTTTACCTTCATATTTATCATTTAGTTTCACCTACACATATGCCAATATTAAGTATTTTATTATTTGCTCCAATTAATTTGTGATATAGCTTTTTAACTCTGATTTGAGTTTCTTTTTTAATTTTTTGTTTTTATTTGCAATAAAACTTACCTATTATGTGTTTAACATACGCAATCCGGTGTTTAACCATAGTAAATTTTTGTTATTTTTAATATAAAATTCAATTGAAGTAATTAAAAAGTACTCCCTCAATACAAAAAGAAATTCAACGAAGTTACAATTAAGGAATAAATAATAAATCAAATTCAATACAAATTTCGCTGGTTCGAAATGAGGCGTAGAAAATTGTGACGTCACCTATCAGTATTTGACTGAATAGTTGACAGAGGGCGCGAGCCTCTGAAAAATAATATTATGGCGTGTCTAGTTCTCTGCTGCCGTATTTACACCATATATCTTAAAATCACGTTAGATTTTTCTATTTTTATTAAGATCGTTAAAAATGCGTTGTTATGTGGGATTATTCTTTATTACCCCAATATTAAATTTATTTTTATATTTTTTACTACTAGAAATTAAAACTTAAATTTTTATAATTAACTGTGAATTTACGGACATTTTAACGTATGTTCCTTAAGTTTTATTTTACAATTAATTTTATATCTACTTTAAAATACATTTAGAAAAATGGTTTTTATTTACCTTTGTACCTGGTGGCAAATCATGATACTTTTGATATTAATGATATTATTAATTTCAAATTCTTAATATTGATTAATTTAAAAAAAAATGGGATGAAATTGAAGTAAAATAACAAATACGGGTGTCATAAAATTGTATGAAGATTAATTATTTGCAATAAAAAAACTATGGTTAAACACCGGATTATACGTCTCGTTATACCATACGATCGAAAAAAAAAACGGCGTCTGCGATGGCTATGAAATGAAAACCGCTGTCATTTTAGATGGGGAACGTCATCGATCTTTATTTCCAGGTCAACTAGGCGCCGTTTTTTTCTGTGTGTGTTTCTGACTGTGAATAGTTCTGACTTATAACGAAACCCATGAGGAAGTAACGGGGATATCAATGTTAGTCGGGAATTAATGTGAACTAAAGACCTAGTAAGGAACAATTCTTCTGGAGGAACTAGAACTAAGGAACTAGTTCCTCCCAAGGAACTAGAATTCCCACCTCTATGCTCCTTCCTTAATCTTTTTATTCAAATATCAGCATTATAAACTCATTTTTTAACCATACATGTCTTGATTGGATAGCTTTGTAAATAACCCTTTCAACCTCTTCATTCTCTTTCATCAACATCTCATCCACTCACACGTAACATAGGCATCCAATAACTAACCACCAGTTTAACACACAAATATAAAAGAACCCTCCCTAATGACAGGAACTCGAAAAGCAGGTGGTCCAACAACAACAACAGGCCTTTCAAAAGGCCATCGTTAAGGCCGGCGTGCCCGACACGGCAGAGTCTAGTTTCGATAGCGCCAAAGGGTCCATGGACACCTTTATGGCCGAGGACATGGTAAACATAACCTTGTTGTTGTTGTCATTGTCGTTGTTATCGGCCTTAAGAACCTATGCCGTTGGTGTTGACCGGAGTGATGTAAAATATAATTACCAAAATACTTCAAAATAAATACAAGTAAATAAATACAATTTTATATGGTAAATAATAAAAAAATACATTCTTTATATACACTCAGATGCAAAAAAATAACGCAACGGAGAAAATTTTGGTCAAATTTAAAGTGTTACATTTTTTTTTATTTTTAGCCCTATTTTCATGATTTTTTTAGCAAACTGTATATAATTATATCAACTTTGATCGTAAACTAAGTTTTTTATAAATTTTAGTATTGGGCATATTATACAGGGTTAATCGAGGGGTTGTTTTTTTACCTCAACTTTAAAACACCCTGTGCAATAATTTCGATTGTAAATTTTCCTAAAATATAAATTTACGGTTAGAACCATGTCTCCTGAGCATTTTGTTTTTTGGATCATGTCAATACATGCCTTGGTTAATTTTTAAGACTGAAAGGAACTTGCTACCAACAATTTGCAATTTTTTCAATTATCATTAGTTTTTGATGTAATTTTTTGATATGACGAGATGGTTTTGGTGACCATTGTCGTAACGCTATATTCGGCTGCATTGGATACTCTATACTAAATTAAATAAAAACCTTAAAGACTAACGATACAGTTCTGGTTTTAATAAACATTCATAACGATAACCGAACTAACGATATTAAAGAAAACATCTGTAATACTCAAATATACAAACAGAAAAAAAATTGTAAAAAATACCCTAATACTTTGTATTACCTCCCTTGGCTGCTACAACTGCCTGTATACGTCCGTTCATACTGTCATTGAGGCTGCATATATCATTATTGCGTTATGCTTTCCAATAATTCTTCTTTAAGAACCAAACGAAGTTCATTTAATGAAGCTGGTACCGCTTCGCGACCTCTAAATCCTCCAACCTCCTGCCAATCATTTCCCAAACGCTGAACATGATGGGCAGTTCGTAGTAGTATATAATTCACAATAATCACCAAAGCCGCCTCGTCATATTGAAAAAAAAAACTTTAAAAGAAATAATAATTGAAAAAATTGCAAATTGTTGGTGGCAAGTTCATTTCGCTCTTAAATTTTAACCAAGGCATGTATTGACTTGATCCAAAAAACAAAATACTCAGGAGACATGGTTCTAACCGTAAAATTATATTTTAGAAAAATTTACACACGAAATTATTGCACAGGGTGTTTTAAAGTTAAGGTAAAAAAACAACCCCTAGTTTAACTCTGTATAATATGACAAATACTAAAGTTCATAAAACACTGACTTTACGAATTAAAGTTCATATAATTATATACAGCTTGCTAAAAAAATTATGAAAATAGAGCTAAAATTAACAAAAATATAACACTCCAAATTTGACCAAAAATTTCTCCGTTGCGTTTTTTTTTGCATCTGAGTGTATATCAGAAGTGGGATTAGATGACAATATATTAAAATGTATCAACAAAAAACAAAGTGAATCTAACAAAAGAAATTTCTAAGTATAAGAATCGTTATAAATGTATTATAAATATTATATATAGTTGACTTCCTGTACCATGTATGAAATGATCTGATCTATATAATATATAGTATATCGCTATCCGCATCTGAAGACATGACTGAGTTCTTGTTGTTTATGTATGAAATTGACTAATGATTGCTATATTTAAGTCTGTCAGACCAATTAATGCTCTTATTTATTTAGTAGTTAAGCAGTAGGGATTGTGTGTACAGACGTTCGAATAATGGTAGATGACCATCCGCATATAAAGAGATGGATGAATTCTTGTTATTTGAGAATAAAATTGACCTTTGTAAGGGATTCTGAAAATTCCAGGTTTATGAATTCTATATGACAATTTATTTGTTAGGAATTATTTTTGTTACTTTTACTCTGTTTTATTTTATTTAAACTAAGAAGATACGAATTTTCAAAAAACGGGTTAAGAAATTTGTAAATTTAAAATTTAATTTAAAGCATAAATTTTGACTAAGCCAGGTTTTGATAAACTTTTATTTATTTGTGTATTATAGTTCAATGAACAAACAAGGTATCAGTATTTTACATCACTCGCGCGTTTCTGAAGTCATATATCTGCAACAAAAAGCACAGCTTATCCAAGTAGACCACACACCAAGCCAGTTATTATTTTAAATCAATTTGATTTGCTTTACTTTACAAAAATTAAATCTTTGATTTTGTATATTTCAGAAAGCTTTTTTTTACTTTTTGTCTAATTTGGAAAAAAAATTCATAAATTTTTAAAAAATTAATCTAATTAGCTTAAGTATCTAATCCAAGGATAATAAAATATAAACCTTTGAAAAGAGAAAACCAAGAATTTAATTTTGTAAATATGTATTTATCTTTTGTCAAAAAATACTCTTAAAATCTAACAAATAAATAAAACATTTAACACACTATTTTCTTTTGTAACTATCTTACTTTCTTGTTCCTTTTAATATAACAAATATAAACTAATTAGATATATTGTTTCATATTTGTTACAATATAAACGTCCAAAATAAATTAAACAAATACAGCATTAAATTTAATGTAAGTAGTAAAACGTAAAATATTAAAAAAAGTGTTTAATTTCATTGGACATTAAATACATCAGATTTTAAAAAGAATTACTACCTATGTAGTATCTACAAAAGATCAGTAAACTTTAGTAAGTTAGTATTAAAACAATTAATTTAATAAAATTATAATAAATGTGTCCTAAACAGTAGTAATTCTATTTCAATCAGAAATTACTAAAAAAATCTGTTTAAGATAGAAAAATACTGATGTTTTTTTAGGTGGTGCCATCAGTGTCACCATCTTACTCACCGAAGCCTCCATCCGAATCATCATCAATTTCTCGTAAGAATTCATCAACACCTCTTCCTCAAATCATCAGTGGTAGATCCACGCCATCCGATGACAGTAGTTCCTGTGGTAGTTATAGTGTGGGTGCTTCCATTCCAGATTTATTAGACAGGTAAATAGATTTTGGAAGATATTATTTTAAAACATTCTTATCACTTTGATATTTTGTTTTATATTCAGTTATAGGTGCCCGGTGGTGTAGCGGTACAGCTCTCGTCTACCAATGCAAAGGTTGTGGGTTCCAATCCCCCCATACAGCACATCAAATCACATTTACGATGTGTTTACATTATTAGATGTAGGCACAGGGTGACACAATTCCCCCGATGTAAATATGCTACGTTTACACATTGTTTGCACAAAGGTTAAACGTCCGCCTCACAATGTAGCCACAGTATACCATTTACGTCTACACAAAGTAAGGGATACACAGTGTGCCGTAAGATACACAGTGCTTGTGTATTACGTTTCAACTCTGTTTACACATTGCAGTTGTGACTACCGCGTGTATACGTATGTATTTTGCTTCGTATATACATCTTGTGCTAGATAAAACTACTTCTTATGAACAAATTTAGGAAATAATACAAGTTTTGATGCCTAACTTTTCGTTCTTTTTAATAAATATTTATTCAATGATACCAATTATATCTTTTTAGAACGAAAATTAGGAGGGCAAAACTTTGTATTTTCCAAAAGTATCTCGATCGTAAGTTCAAGAGAAGTAGCCTTAAAATTGTTTCATTTTTGTTTTGTATTAAATGTACCATTTTTCTTCCATAAAATGGATTAAGTGGTTAAAAAATAAAATTCTTATATTTCTTTATATCAGGAAACGCAAAAGCGCAAATAACACAATAATAATAATTATTTACACTGCAGAAATCAGGAGTAAGAAAACATTGTAAAAGAACAGAATTTGTATCAAAATGTATTAAAAATATAAGTACCTAGTATAACAACATACTAAAATAGTAAACACTGGTATATCGCCACGATTTGATGGACCTCGTTTAGTCATTTTTTTCTCCTCTTTTCCCTCCAAGCAGTTGGCTTGTTAGCATACTCATTCAACGAGCACTCTGTTGAACTTTGTTGTATTTGATTTCCAGATTAACAATCTCACCCTTAAATTTTATATAAAACTGATTATTGAATATTAAACATATCTGTAAATTGATCCATTAATAACTTACCGAATATCAGTGTAAAAAGTTCTTTGAAATGTTTAATCTTTCTTTGTCTGGTCCATTTAGATTTTTATTATTTCCAAATTAAAAAAAATTATATTGCAGAGCTAACCTCTTTATCATTATACGAGAATATTTGGAGTTTTCATTCATTGGTGTCAAAATTTGGTAAATTAGGTATCGAGTAAGGGAAGAGTCGCTGCTATAATATTAATAATACTCTTAGGAAGGTGTAACAAGGTAATTAAAAACTTGTGCTTACCTTAAAATCTCTTTTAAACTACACACGAACAGAACATTTATATAGAGCTTCCGAATGATAAAACAATAATGGCTGCTAACACATACCACTCCTAGAAAGGAGGAAGAAGAGAGGTCACATAAGATACACTTGGTCGGTGTATCTAGGCTGAGGCTATCCGCGCATGCGCACACCTTCATTTCATGCTAGAATGTAGACACAACAGTACACTATTACAAAGTGTCTATATAGATATTTATATTATGTGTATACATCACATTTTTACAAGGTGTGTACTATAGGCACAACTATGATACGAAGTATCACACATACATATGACTTATACATTGTATGTCTCATATACCGACGTCAGATTTCATCATTTTAATAATTATTTGTTATGTAACAAAAAACTCTTTAGAATCTTGAGTGCATACGGTATACAACTAGTAAACACGGTATCACACAATTCTATCAATATAAACCTGCGTGTATCTCATATGTATACGTTAGAACTAGATGAACACTTAGGTTCACTTTAACATATTTTGTTTCTCATGTGTCTCCCTTGTAGAAACGTAATTTCATTTGGACGTGCTGTATGGGCCACAGCCGGCATTTCATCAGCCGACTATTTTTAATAAATAAAAATAGTTTGGGTACCTAGATCGACTCAGCCTTAAATGAGTACTTGGGATTCACAATCCTGAGGTAATAATAGGCGGTTGAAGCGTAGTGCTAGCCACATTACCTTCCTTGTATACCGAACGGCTCTAGCATGGCAAGCTGTACCTTGCTACTCCCAAGGCGTTAAAACGCTATATACGGGAGCTATTATTATTATTATATTCAGTTATTTCAAAGACGTTTTGTCTCTCCAATATCCGAGCAGAAGTCTCCAATATCACAGCTTTCACAAGGTACTTGGTAGATAGGTGAACTTTTTCTCTTGTTATGGTTTCGATACTGTTTTTGTTAAGATGCTTCTTATAATAATTCTAGTTAAAATATTGTACTGTTTGGTTATTTGCCTGATCTTTTCTGATGTTTCTTATCTATATGAATTTTTCACTAGAGAAACAGTAGATTTTATAAAAGGTGGAAGTTAATCAACTTAAAGATCTATTGTGTCACTCTTTTTTGAGTTATAACTTATCATACAGTCTCAGGGCTTTGGCAAAAACCAGTATCTGCGACGGTTTTAGAGAGGTTCTCTGTTACAAAAGTCCTGAGAAATTTCATCTAGTGTTTTAGACATTTGGAAGATTCCCATTCCAGGTTACGGATGGAGTGTTCCAAGTTCTTGAGTTTTGCTTTGAGTTGGTTTCTACTTGGGAAACAGAACGGTTCCAGTTAGTATTCTAGATCGTTTGTTTTTTTATTAGCTTCTATCCCTTAGTGGGTTAGAGCACCCACAGTAAGAAGACTTTATTTTCTTTGCCTAATTTGTTCGGCTTTTGAGAAAGAGTACCATAAATCATCATCCACCTCTTTCAAAGAAACTTTCAATATTTATTCCGAATTACAACAAATCAAACAACAACTGTATAATCTGCTTAGTTTAACTTGTTCTTTAAAAACAATCTTTTAGTAGGTAATAAATGGACTCCAGTAATAAATTATTCTTTTTTAGCAGATATTCTATACCTTCGGGAAGTCCTAATAAGACCTGGCAGGGTTCAGAAGATGAAGAGAGAAGCGTCCATTACTCATCATCAGGGTATTATGAATCACCAATAGAAGATGAGTAAGTAGATTAAAGAACATATAAATATAAAATATAATATACATACGATTTGAAAACAAAAAGCGATGTTTGGAAACAAGAAAGCTGAAAATGAAACTTCAAATATGATTACCTACTAACTGACCTTACCTACTGACTATATTTACATTTTCTAGCTTCACATTAAAATCTTCCAGACATGAGGACTACACCAGAAGCAAAAAAAGAAGAGACTTTCATCTAGAACTGACTCACACCTCTAAACCACAACCGAGCAGTAAGAATAAGCAAAAATACGGTGAAGCCAAAAATACGCCAGAAAAAGAAAACCACACTAAGTTGTTAGGAGAAAAATTAAAGAGAACGAAGTCTAGAACACGTAGCCCCATGCAGGGACAAAAAAAGAATATACAAGGTAAAATCAAATAGGTTCTAAAATCTATGGTATTGTGCTAAGTTTATGTACCTACTTATTTATATTTCTCAACACCTGTTACTTGCACCTCTCAACACTTATCTCTATTCCTTTATTCTTATTTCTAAACTGTATCATTCAACCCGTTAGCGAATTTTAAAGAAAGGAGGTTTGTAGGTCGGAGATCGCCATATAAAGAAAAAAACGCTGCATACGAAGAAAAGAATTACAAGGCTACATCTGATGAGTCAAGTACTGGAAGAGAATACGCTGCAGGTCAGAATTCGCCAAGAAAGAGCAAAAAAAGCAAAGACAACAACAGGAGAAGATCTCTTCCTCGGTCACCGATAAGACTTAAGACCGATAAACGCAGCAGTGCAGAATACCAACCATCCAGTTTACCAGGAAGTCTTTGCAGGAGAAAATCTTTTAAGCAGTCGAAAAGTTTGCAGTCGATACACTTAGATGGTAAAAAAACTGGGTAAGTACTGTGATATACCTCTAAGATTCTATGAGTCAGTATTAGATGAAATGGCGCAGTCGACAGGATTAATTTTAGTTTTTTTTTGAAAATTATGATATGAAAAAGCAAATATAACTTTATACAGTTCCAATATTTCACAGGGTGATTTTTATGTACTTATAAGATAAAAGCATGTGTTCTAAAATGATTTGTTTTCGAAATACATTATGTCAAAGTTCTGCCCGTCTATCCTACTGCCGTCTGCCTATCTATCCGTCTAAGAACTCTATTCGAGTACCTCTCTCCACCAGTCGATTCCTTGATTCCAGGAAAGTTTAGGTCGGCCTCGATTACGTCTGTTTGTAGGTGTCCACTGCAACACTTGTTTTGGTATTCTATCGTCAGCCATTCGTTGTACATGGCCGTACCACTGCAGTTGTTTTTCTTGTATATCTTGTACAATGTTACCGTCCACCTCCACCTTCATTTTTTCACGTATTCTCTCTTCCTAATTCTGCCTAAACGGGAAATTCGAGCTGATCTTCTACAGAAGTCCATTTCGGTCGACAACAAATTCTTTTTATGTTTTTTGCTTAACTGCCATACCTTAGAGCCATATTATAACATTACGCTTTTCAGAATCGCGTTATAAATCAGTTTTTTTCTGTAATCCGAGATACACGGAAGAAAATCATTTCTATATTCAAGAACAATCATACACTTAAAATTTTACACTTTCTTTAAGGATAGTATTCTTTCCATGAGTACAACAAATATTTGGAACTATTTTACTTTTACACTTGCTTTTTAAATATAGTTATAGTCACTTTAAGTAATTTTGAATCTAAAAAAAGAATAAAATGACTTATATTTAAGAAATACTTATATTACTATCAAGTGAATAAATCCTTTAGCAACGAAGAAACTATTATTAAATGAAGTATAAATGCTTTTATATAATAATAAGTAGTATTCTTAACTTTTTTAAAACTTTTACTTGAAATCGGTGTATTAAGACTTTAAATAAGTATATTATTCTCGGCGCGAGAATAACACCCCATTTCCAAAAGTTACTATTCTTATATTAAGTGACCATCCCCAAAAGCAACAACGCAACAGTGCATTCCTGATTCCTATCTTCATTTGGTTTCTGTTTCTCCTCTGCGACACGAGACGCGCCGTTTATTCTAATAAAGACGCGTTTTTTGTTATCGTTTGTGCTTATGATATGTTAAAATGGAAGACCTTCTTCAGGCATGGGAGATGACGGATTTGATCCCAAAATTTCAAAGTAATTTTAGCAGTAATCCTACATTATTTGATGACACTGGTTTGAGGTTAGGGGGACTCCATTTTAATATGCATTATTTCTTATACAATGGTGGTAAACTAGGTATGTGCGCGTTTGGAATGATTCAATTATGTTTTAACAATGTTTATTATCGTTTCTCGTTTTCAATTAGCGATGCCGCTGTTCAATATCTACCTATATTGGGAAACTACACAGTTTTATTGTATTTTCTTATTACGAAAAGCATATAATTTGGTAGGTGATGTTTGGCTAATCTAATTTAAAAAGTATTAGCCATGTTCGGGGTTATTCTGGTTCAATATTCATTTTAATTTAAATTCCCCCTAACCTCCAACCAATGTCATCAAATAATGTAGGATTTTTGCTAAACTTACCTTGAAATTTTGGGATCAAATCGTCATCTCCCATGCCTGAAGAAGATCCTCCATTTTCACATATGACAGGCACAAACGATAACAAAAAAACTTTATAATTTTATAATCTACCTAGTCGGCGCGTCTAGTAACTAACCTAAAAGTAAGAAGAGGCTTTATTTTATAGTAGGTGATATTACACTTGAATAAAGTAATTATTACATATACACAAATTATTTCTGTACTTAATGCAATAATTTGCTAATTTTGAAATAAGTATAAGTAGTACTCGAAACAAGATTTTATCTTGAATTGTCTGGAGTGTAGTTATAATCTTAATTTCAATACTAGGTAAATCTTAAATAAAAGATAAATTTTCTTAGCTTCTAAGGATAAGGTTTTCTTGAAAAGAAGTATAACTAGATTTGCGGAATGGGGAAACTAGCATATCGTTGGTTCAAGATTACTAATCTTTAAGCCAGTTTAGCTTTTTTTCCGTGTATCCCTGGATTAAACCACCGAGTTCAGCGCTCCTATCACCTTTCTGCCTTTACCAATCCGTATCTTGTCTTCTTCTTGTTTAGCTCCAGTCCCCATCTCTCGTATTCATCAGTTTTCTGGTCATGTATTCTAGGTCTTCTTTGTCTTGGGCCATTACTATCTGGTCATCGGCGAAATGCAGAGTACACAGAGAAAGGTTGTCATTAATCGGTGTTCCTATCTCAGAGCACTTCTTGCGCCAGTGTTTTAGAGCTTCTGAGAGGTAGATTTGAAATAAACTTGGGGACAGACAACAACCCTGTTTTAGACCTTCTGATATTGGGAATAATTCAGATAGAGTTGGGTCTATTTTAATTCTTGAAGAACAATTGCAGTAAAGTTGCTGAACCGCTTTTATTAGTGTTATATTTATTGGATTTTTTTCGAGAACTTCTCATAGTTTCTTAATTGGTACCGTATTGGTACCGCTTTCCTAAGTAAACCTAATAATTTTGGCGCAGTCGACAGGATTCACTTTAACGATCATATTTTTCGTGGAACTCTGTGAAAAATTATATCGGAGAATTATATTTTCTTTTATATTTATTAGAGATATTTATCAGCTAGACTTTTATGTCGTTTCCAGTTCCAAAAGCCCTATTTCACAGAAGAACGTCCAGAATTCCTCCAAAGAAACGGCCACACTGAAAGCCTTAAGCGCAGAATCACTGCGATCGGTCAGTCCAGGTAGCGATAGTGTTTTCTATAGTGATCCTAGTAGTCATACAACCGATCACCAAATTCACTGTCTACATTGCGGTAAAGAAGTAAGTCCAAACAATATGTTTGTAATTTTGAATTTTAAGAGTTAAGTCATTTTTCAGTAACAAGCTGATTTTTGTAGGTTTTTCTATTTAATTCTATTTTATATTTATTTTATTATTATTATTATTATTTTATAAGTTAAAATACCAGTTACAAGCGCAAAAAAATCTTTGAAAGATCGAAGAAAACTGTGATAAAAAAAATATGTTTTATATGTTGCTTCTTAGTTATTGTTATTACTTATAGGTAGATGTAATAACTGATGAAGCAGAGAAAAGCTTGAGCAGTAGCGAGCCTCAACCGGACATCGTTCAGCCTCCAGCAGGATTCGCGGATTCGCCTAAACTGAAACCAGGGAGGTTGTTTAAAAAGGTGGACAAGAGAATAAGGTCAGAAGAGAGGAGCCAGGCGGAAGGGAAAAGAAACAAATACAAACCTGACGCCAGAGCAAAGGTATAAATACGTTTTCAAAGAATAATTGATAAATTCAACAATATACAGGGTTGTTCACCACATACGACACGGAGTATTGTGGCTAAACGATGATATTTTTACAAATTGTAAGTTTGGGGTTCGTTGAAGGACTATTAGAGCTACAATTTAAAAATATTTTTACAAGATACAGAGTGTCCCAAATAAATAAAAAATGTCAAAGTTGTATTTTTTTAAATGGAACACCCTGTATATTATTACATTTTTAGTATCTACGATTAAAATAAAGGTAAATTTGACTAAGGTTTATTATACTTAAACCTTACCGTTTTTGAAATATTCAATTTTGTGAAATTGCAGTAAAAATTTTAAAGTTTCATTTCTCCAAGGGTATCAATGTTTTTAATACTAAATATTTACTGAAGTTTATTTACTGATCAATTATTATGATGCAATAATAAAAATAATACTACCTTATACAGAGTGTCTAAAAATTTATTTTAAATAATTATTAGCTTCAAACGGCAATAACTTGTTTAATTTAAATGGAACACCCTGTATATTTTACGAGAATCAGATGCACAATTTAATTGTCTATCAAATTATATTATACCATTTTTTACCTATCTCTTTAAGTTTTCGTAGAAAATGCATTTTCTTGTAATTTAGAACTTATTTATCAATATACCCATGGACTAAAAAAGTAATTGTTCAGCATTGCATCCTTTCAAATTATGCAGTGTTTCATCATATTTTTTCTAAATATTTGTTTGCTAGTGACACTTGTTGGTGGTGCAGACTAGAAATTGGTTTCAGAACTCTGTATAGAGGTGAATAGTTACACACAAAAATTTTACTTAGTAGTAGGATATACGAGTAAGGGTCGCTACAACGACGTCCCGTAATCCTGTTGTTAAAACATAACCAAACGAGCTGTTATATGTTTTAACAGCAGGATTACGGGACCGTCGTTGCATCCACCTTAATTCATATGAAAGCACAATTCTGTTAAATTTATAAAACTTACATTAATAAGATACTATCATCTAACATTTCGTTCATTGTTTACACATCGAAATACGAAGGCTATTCTTGAACCGCCGGCGGCAAGCATATTTGTAAATTGTAAACAACGTCCATGATCGCGATTCGGTTCTAGGCCGAACGATGCCGCGTAAACAGCATACGATATCGCAAATCCGTCTAGTAAATAGCATCCGTGATTCCAAATTTTAACTGCCTTAATTCCTCTTATAGACAGCAGACGATATCGCAAAATTTGTTGATTGGTGGCTCGTAATCAGCATTGAAGATCGCAAAATTCGCAAGTGCAAGATGTCTACCAAAGAATATAGTACTAAATAATATTTTGCAAAAAAAATAATTTGCCCCCACACCACGAGTATATAAGTTAATAGATAAAGAAATTATTAGAACACGTTTCGTTAAAAAGAAAGAAATTGAGGTAAGTTACTTGTCACAGACATTAACAAGAGTAATTACTCAAAACAAATTAACTTAAAAAAAACAGATTATAAATCGAAACCAAAAAATGGCAGAAATGAATAAAGTTACAGAATGTCTTAAATTTGCAAGAAATTTTACCCAATGCTTAGAGAATGACCAGCTTCACTTCGAAAATTTAAAATAAAAACTATACTTTTTGGTAGTTTCTTTGCAGGTAAAATTTGACTTTTTCTAGTATAAGAAGATCAACAAGAAACTTAGTTCCTTCTTGAATATTTTTTATAGTTAAGGACACATCTTTTTTTTTAAGAAAAGTTAGGTATTAGAAATTTATATTGAGTTCTATGGAAAATATATTATATCTCCATTTTGTTTTAAGTAATTTGCATACATATGTAAATTGGATTTCGACAGACGATGACAGAAGAAAAGCAGATGACGTCCCATACCAATCTATTTATTTTACTAAAAAAAGTTTCTAATAATTTTTAAGTTATCTATGGATGGGTTTAAATATAAATCCGTCGTCATGCGTCGTGTCTTGTTGTTTTTAACCAGTTTTATTGGTTTATTTAAAAAATGACAGATCGTATTTCAATTTTATTGGTTTGATGGAACGACAAACGGACGCCGATGCGTATGAACTCGCCTTTAGATTTTTGTCATTTTTGACGTTTGTCAAAGTCTTGCCAAATTATAGGTTATAATTTTGTGTCAACTTTTGTTAAATACCGTGCGTTTTGGAAGATGATGCATTTTGATTCGTATTATTACGCGTGTTTTGTGTCTTTTGAAGTCAAGTGGAGGAAAAATCGAGTGAAAATTAACTGTAGACCCAGAGCACAGTTTATGGTTAATACTCGCCAGGCAGAAAGTCTTATACACCAATGAAGTTGCCATCGATAAAGTTTGTATACCATTTCGTCGTAGATAAGTGTATCTCGTATATGGTAGAAGGATCAAACTAAACACATACTAAAAACTGGAGTAGCTGTAAAATATTGACATCACACGATAGGTAAATAATAGATTTTAGTACTGCAGAAAAATAATGTCAAAAGGTACTGGTTTAAAAAAAATAAGATTAAAGTTAATTAATCAACCTTTAAGGTATAAAATTTGGTAGGTGTTATTAATAAAATAGTTTGTTTTATTTACCTATGTTGTTTTATTTATTCCTGTGGAATATTACAAATTTGTATTTGTACATAAGTTATATTGATAAATATAATCATGAATGCGGGTAGTTTCATAAAGCTTGAAAGTAAATAATAGTTCTTTTTATATTTTTTGGTATGTAGTGTCTTGTTCTTGTTTGTTTTGTATTAACACATACCGTTTTTATTAAATAAAATAACTCGATTACATTTTTTCAGTTTTATACAGTTTTTTTCACAATATTTTCAAGTAATCACTTGTCATCTTGTCAATCAAATTTTAAATATTTCCTGCTATGCGTTCCAGTTGTACCAACTTATTTCTTTGTAAAATAAAATAAACTACTTTGAAATTAAAATGACAGACACATCTATCACTGTCAAGGATCTTCTCGTTGGACAGACTATAGTGTCATCTGGGAATATATTTTCTGTTGATTTCTCGACACGATTTTAGGTTTTACTTTATAAAGTCCTCTACTACGACTATAGTCCTCTATAATAATCCAAATTTGCTTGAAAAAAACCTTTTTTATTTTTAGCTGGTTTAATTTGTGTTGACAAACAAAATTTGCGATCCTGAATGCTGATTACGAGCAACCCATTTATATTTCGCGATATCGTCTGGTGTTTATAAGAGGTGTTAAGGCAGTTAAAATTTGGAATCTCGGATGGTATTTACCAGACGGATTTGCGATATCGCATGCTGTTTCGTTCGGCCTAGAGCCGAATCACGATCATGGATGTCGTTTACAAATATGCCGCCGGGAAATCCTCGTCGTGATCCAATCAGATCATATATGGATCAGATATGACCATAGATAAAAGAAAATAATCTACTATTAAAATAGATATGAAACTTAATAGTAAAATTTTGGGTCAAAGCGCCCCTCCGTGTTTTTAGTGGAGACTACGTTTAACCCAGCACCTTCGCCTTTTCTGCTGTTAATGTTTTTTATGTTTATATTTGAATTTAAAGGATTTATTTTTAAAGTTACACTGATATATTAGTATATCAGAGTAACTTTAATAAAACATAAGAATATATATATTTTACAATTTATTTTTTTAGTTATTTTATAGAGTTTCATGTAAATGATCGTAAGTCGACTGGCTGTCTAATGAATAGACTGAGATTTATAGATTTTAAAGCGAACGAAAAAAAATCAAACAACGAATACATACCATATATTTTTCTTTTATCTAAGATACATACCTTATCGTCTTTTGGAAACACGTACATTTTTGCAGTTTTGTTAGTTTCTTTGCAAGTTGCAACACAACAAGAAAACACCATTTTTACAGTTAATAAATAATAAAACTATTTCTGACTATGATATTTAAAATTTAGATAGATAGAAAATTAAATAACAAACGAGTATTTGCAAACGCAGGCCCAAATTCAATAAAAATCTAAATTTTTCCTGCGAAAATCAGGCTTTTTTCACGGAAAAGATATTTGAGGTATTTTTGGATTCATCAGCAGTCATTGTCAAGTTGACAATATACAGGGTGTTTTAGAATTAGTCTAAAAAAATTATGGTGTGATTCCTCATGTGTTCTTAAAACAATTTTTATATAACCATTGGGTCTAAAGTACTTCCTTTCTGATCTATAGGGTGTTAAAAGTTAAAAAAATCGATTTTTTTGCTTAACATAAATGGTACACCACTGCTTTTTTAAAGAAAATATATTTTTTTCTTGACTGACCATCCTTTTTCAACAAAATTGATCTTTTGAGTTTTTCTTGTTCATCAAACGGTTGTCGAGAAAAAAATAAATATACTTATTAAGAGCCCGCCTTAATTCGTTTTATAACGATTTTTTTTTTATTTTTTAGATTAATTAGGAAACACCCTGTATATGCATATCACAGGCAACAAAATAAACTAGTAACCTCTAAAAATAATTTTTTCTACCACTAGCGACATACCGTGTTTTTAGTGTGTACTAAATTATTTTATCAAAATTTCATCATATAAATTTCCAGGCAAATGACCCATTATTTGTTTATGCTACTTCGGATGAGTCAAAAATGGGCTAGTTTGACGATCGGTTTTTTATACCGAGAACGAGACCGAGATCTCGGCATAAAAAGGCCTGATTTTTCGCCGAGAATGACTGTAACCGAAACCGAGACCTAAATCTCGGTCGGACCTTATTAAAAACACACTGACGACATTCATACGTTTTTCCCAAAACTTAATGAGTACTTCCCCAGTCAGAAGAACGCGGCGGTCCACCAACACCAGGACAACACCCTCCTCCACCCTCATCTCCATCGCCCAACCGCCCAGCCCTCGCCGCAGGCCGCAGCGGCAGCACCGGCGGCCTCAAGTTGCGCTCCCGCTCCCCACACCACCACCACCACCATCACCACGGCAGCAGCAGCGGCGGCGTCGGGGGGGAGCAGCTCAAGACGGCCAACAGCAGCCCCAGCATCCTGCCGGGCGCCCCCGAGGAGGAGGACGACGACCAGGGAGTCTACGGCGCGAGCTACGGCCCGGGCAGGTGGCTCTACGTCGACGAGAGGGACGAGCTGCAGGGGGGCGGCTCCTCGGCAACCTCCCTCTCACCCACAGGTAAGGAAACGTCCAATAATTACGCGAGGGTATCAAGGGTAGAAGAGGGTCAAGAAGAATATTACTAAATCTCATGTGAGGTAGAGAGTGGGTTTCGGTAAATACCTTATATTATTATCTTATACTATCTTCTATTAGGTAATTTTCTAGGTAAAAAATTGGCGCCGGGAGGCACGTATAGCGCCCATACTAAAATATGTTAATAAAAAGTTGTGTAGCATTAGAAGTTATAAAAAAAAATGATGGAATGTTTTTTTTATAAGAATTTTCTTTTAGAAAAAATATTAAAACAACTAATACTATGCGACGGAGCTGTTCGCCGGTGAGCAATGGGTCGTAAGCTAGTGAAAATTAAATTGTGATAATTACGTCTTTATAATATACTGGGCGCCACTCAGTTTTCCATTTACTTTCAAAAACTTCTAAGTTGAGAACTGAGAAATCAACTCAGAATATAGGTATTATTTATTTTAGGAATTACACAAATGAAACGCTGAGATAAACTAACAACTAAGTATAATTAATAATTAAATGTTAATTAGAATAAAATAAGACTATGAATAATTTGATGTTTGAAAATGTTTGTTGGTAAATAGTATGTATTAAAATAGATCACTCAAGATGGTAGTTAAATCTGCACGCTTCTGAATATTAATATTTTATTAATTATTCCGCAAAAAGTCTGGCGATCTTGGTACCAAAATATAGGGACTCTTTATATTAAAAAAACCGTACTATGTAGATATCAGAAATATGCATAACATGAATAAAATATTTCAAAGTGACTCTAAAGTAATAAAATATCTAATATGCCTGAAGGGCTTGAAGCATTAAAGTGAACTTAAATTATATAAAAAGAAATGATCTGGCCTTTTTATCCGTTCTGGTCACAAGCTGGTTGTGGTGAACTGCTGGAACTGGATCGTGATTAAAACGTCTCCACCCAGACAGGATCGGAAAATGCTGTATATTCAGGAGATTCCTCCGTTATTCAACGTGTATATTGTAGGGACAAACGTGGCCCAAATGTCAGATACAATAAACAAAATGGCACCAGAAATGCGTACAATAAAATAAAACCCTGTACAAATAGAAAAAAGGTAGGTATTAGGAAACGTTATGTAAAAAATAAAGGTCTTACCTCCGCTCAGAGGGTTTTCTCACACAAATTTCAAAAATGCCAAAAAAAACGCCGATAATTCTATCGGGTTCAGCTTCAACCACCAATATAGCGATAAAGGTAGGCACGAGGTATATACCTATACCGTCAGAAATAAAGTGACGAACAACTTCGACCGGACTGAAATAACTATCCAAAAATAAACTTGTAAAAAAATAAAAGATAATAACAATACTTAGAATGCCATCTCGGTGCGAGGACTCAAACTTGAATTGTTTAAATAAAATAATTCTGTACATTTATTTAAATTGTGTGAATTTTAAAAAAAATGCTACAGTTGGTAGGCAGTTCTTTTAGTTTCAAAGTAAAGGAATTTTTCCATTTTTTTTATCTCAAAAACTGCGACTTTGACTGATTTTGATGTTATTACTAGGGTTATTACAAATTTTGTTACAAATATTATTCCTAATCTTAAACTGAAAACCGCGTTTTGCTAGCTACAGTAATTTTGGAGTTACGATTTTTTTAAATTATAACCTCCTCCCATACCCCCTTACCAACCCCCCACCCCCACAAAAAACTAATGGCCAGATTCTCGGGTGTCACAGTAATTTTGTGCCAAATTTGGTTAAAATCGGTTTAGCGCTTTTTGAGTTATCGTATTACAGACAGACGGACAGACAGACAGACACCATGAAAATATTTTGTATTTAATTATTATTAATAATATTAATTTTGCCGATTTTAATAGCCTACCATACCTGTTGGTATGGTCGGCTAAAAATTGTGTAAAAAGCTGAGAATATCAGATTAATGTTTATAAAAAGTGTCTGTACCTCTATGGCGAATTCATTTCTCCTAAAAAGTTATGTGGATATTTCACCACTGTAAGAAAATCTACAAAATAAAATAGTTATTTTTCGTAAAGACTGCTGCGTTAATCCAACGGAGACTAATTGTCACCAGTAGCTTACTTATAAATCTTGCGTCTAGCCGGACGGTGCAACTTTACAACCCGCAGTTCCGCATGCGCAGAAACGATACTCGATCGGGTATTTCGCGTGTAATCTAAATAAAAAAAACTTACCCCAGAGATTAACACTCTAAACACGTCTACAGCGTATTTTAAATGCTATTACCGAGGACTAAAAAAATAAAAAAGATCCTATATTTGTGGGAATCGAACCTCGGACCTCTCGATCCCACGGAGCCACGGACTGCTTTCGCTGCCGTTCTACCGAAGACAAACACGCATGCGGAACAGCGGATTGTAAAGTTGCACGGTCCGGCTAGACGGAAATTACTAAGAAACAATTTTTTTTTAACGTTTCGAAAAGTATATTTCTTTACGTCGCGCGTCATCGGAAGAAAAAAAAATACAAAGAACAAAGAAAAAACTATTTAAAATATCTAAATACAACAATTCGAGAACACTTTACTTTTTTTAAAACAGATTCGTTTACAGAAACCGTTGGCGTTCTGTTAAAATGACATTCTTTGGTGACATTTTATCTTTGAATAAGAAGACTAAGGAAGGAGCATATCAAAAATCTTAGGTACACCGCGATGGGCCTCAAATATGGCCGACTTAAATTCCGGTTTATCAGTGTCGTTCTAATTTTATTTAAAAAATGTAAAACTATGATGTAGGGTAGACGTGGGGTAGACTCAATAATTTGTTGTTTTATTTTACGTTGTGAATAAATGTTGGTAGTTATTAAAATTGTTATAAAAATATATAATTCTAATAAAAATAGATAAGTTATAATAAGTATTTATTAACACAAACATCCGATACGCTACTGAAGCAGGTAAGTCAAATTAACGTATCTAAATTCTTTGACATCTAATCTTTGACAAGTAATAAATAAAAGCTAAAATGCAAGAAAAACATATAATTTAGTTAATTTAAGTGAATTTCATAAATGATCGGTTTACTACACGTATGTATATTATATAGTCACTTACTAGCGAAAAGTTGTTCCATTATTTCACTCAATTTTTGCCGAGATCTACCGCACGCTACACAACCAACTATTTTAGAGTCTTTTTCGATAAATCGCGATAGTGTCACTGTTAATTTAAGTTCTGCCACAATTTACATCTAGATTTACTACCTTTATACAACTATCAGTAGTAGAATAAATAATAAATAACATAAAATAAGCTCCGTAAAGACTGACAAATCCACAAAATTTCAAATCAAATTCAAATGTGTCAAATGAATCGTCAAACAGAACTGTCAAGGATCCCCACCCTAGAGAGCTTTTGTGGTGGCTTTTCCGCCCACCATGCATGAATACATGGATAGCATTATGCTCCTTCCTTAGTCTTCTTATTCAAAGCATTTTATCTAGTTAAATTTCAAAATTAACAATTACTACCTGATAACAAAATTACTGAATACGGTAAAACCAAAAAGCTTGAATCTTTCTGTATGATTATTTTTAATTTGTTTTTAATTTTTACGTATGTTAGGTTGTTTAAAATCAAAGAAGCGATTGCCATACGTTACTAATATCTACAGATGCATGAGCAAAACATTTATTTTTATTAGATTGTATTAAAAATGCCTCTTTTATTTTACTTTTAGAGTTAAAATCTATTCTGTGCCCTGTGTCCCATGAATCAGCATTTACAATCTTAGACTTGTGAAAGTCGCCCTTATTATTAATTTATTTAAAAATTTGTTATATATTTTTTCAGACCAGGAACAAATCCGTCGGACCTCTGTATCCAGTACCGAGTCGGAACAGGACTTTCGCAAACGGTACCAAGCCATCACACATCGAATGGTCCATCGAAAATCTTGTTTAGAAATGTACAAAAAACAAACCAACAAATCTTTTGGTAAGTGTACCACCCACAACTTTTTTTATGTAAATAATTCATTTCCACAATTAGGGGAGCGTAGCCTAAGAGCCACCAGCGTTCAGTTTTAGCAGAGCGTTGTTAAAAATCTACGTATCTTTTAGCTACGCTTCTTTTAGTCATGTAACAGTCGCTGGCTAGTATTTCACTCTCCTCCACAAGCCATTGTTTTGTGTTGTGTCTTGTGTGTGTTTTGTGTTGTGTCGTGTCTTTGGTTTAAACCGGCCGTCTATGTTGAAATGTTAAATAACGCCACTGAAAAACTATACCGGATGCGCCTGAAAACTGGCTCATCCCTATAACTTTTCTATTTTTTCCGATAAAAAAACGAGATCTGGTATGTTAGTACAATGATGATCGTCTAATGTTTTTAATGTCTTCTCCTGGCCGGTTAAAAGATGCCCAAATCGTATTTTTAATCATATCTCAATTTTTTTCAAATGGAAAGAGAGTGGCTCATTAGCATATTTGGAAAAGCATTTTTTACGAATAATTTGGTCCCACACACTTGGTATTTCGAGTCAAATTGTCGTTATGAATCGCATGTTGCAATTTCAAATAAACCATATTCGTCAAAACTTGACAAAAATAATGTCACAAGTTGATATGTCATTCTTCAGAGTGTCATTTTCTATCGAATAAAGTAACAAAATACCGAGTGTGCCTTTTAAAAATCAAAAGTTTCATTTCCGGTGAAACAGGAAGTAGCCAATAACAATTGAATACGTCAATCAATGCTAATTTATGTCATATACTAACATACCAAATCTCAATTTTTTATCTGAAAAATAAAAAAGTTATAGGACTTTTGAGACTCACCCGGTATGTGACTCTAACCGAGATAAGAGGAGAGTTGAAAAAAGCAACCACTAAAAATTCGCCCTGTATTTCAGGAACTAAGAGGGCTAGGACAGATATGTGTGTAGCATTTTAAATTTCATAAAAAAGCAACTCAGTAGTGTGAAAACCACATCTTTGTACCTCTACTCATAAACGAGAAACCTAATAAAACACACGAAAATGGGACACCCTGTACTTACAAAAGTTTGTACACTAAGGTTTGTCTCAAAAAATATTATAGATTTTCTCTATATTTACTTATGCCCTTTCCGAATGCATTTCTTAGTTATATGAAATCAGTTTGATACGCCTATGTCCAACGACGCTTGTACGCCACTGTCCCGAATTAAAATAGTACCGTCGCGGCGCCTAGACTCTCACATTCTCCACATAATTCGAAATAGCCGAAAGCCAGATGTTGGCAGATCAGCGTCTACGAACGAGTCGGAAGCACCATGGCATTCGGTACGTTTCTATTTTTAACACCTAGTTTAATATAAAACCTACCTAATCCTATCTTCTGAATGAAACTCGACCTAATTTTATCAGATTAACAGAGATAATAAGACAAAATAAGATAACAGGCTGTTTTAACACGTTATCTTTCGAGATAAGTTGTTTAAATTTGTTCGTTGGTAGGTTACGCAAATACCGAGTGTTCCGATAAGGAGGAAGACGTTAAAAATCGGATGGATTTGAAGGAGAAGTTAGAGGAAGTGTTGAAATTGATGTTGTTGGTGTGGTGCAGGGAGAACAAAGCGTTGGACCTGTTATGTCCTGATCGAGAAAATGGTCTGTATTGATTTACTTGACTTTTATGCGTTTAAACTAACATTAATAACCTGTTTTTTAAGAGTTACATGAATGATAAGAGCTATTAACTACATCACTAAACATCTACTTAGTCTACGGTGGGTCTTCCGTCTTTGAGTTTTCTATTTTTTCCGTATTATTAGAAAGAAATATTCATATCTCGGTATCTACTATTTGAAAAAAATATCTCGTCTCACATGTTTGTAGGAAATTGAATTTTCTATAAAAAAGGTCTCTTGCAATTTTCTAGTAAACCTCACCGTTCGGAAGTTATTACAGGTTGAAGTTTGATTATTTTAAGACAGTTTTTTTTATAATTTGATTATTTTAAGATTGTATAACTCGTCAACAAAAAAATGTTATGATGATATGAATTTTTCTTTCTAATAATAAGGAAAAAATAGAAAACTGAAAGGCGGGGTACCTTGATATTAAAATTAAGAGCTCATATTTGGAGAGAATTTTTTTGAGGTGTCTACCAACCTTTTTTCAAAGTATAAAGTGAAAAAAAATTGACTATTTTTTTGACCCACCCTAATCTACAGTATGTCTCCGGATCGTTTTTATGCAAAAGGAAGAACTTTCTTATTAATATTTTGAGAAAAATGCATTCTTTATTCAAAAATTTTGCTTGTTCTGAAATGGTTTATCCAGTTTATACTTACTTTACAAATTTCTATACCGCTTTATAAAAAAATAAAAAAATATGAACATCCATTTTTATTTTTTCCTAAAGTCCTAAAAACCAACAGGTGTTTCTATAATAATATAATTTTGTCTTCATTTCTTGATAAGTGATTATAATTAATTTTGATTAGCGTCATATTTTTTCCGGTACTTAGTTGATCGCTTTTATTGCTGCTTGGCTATTGAATAGAATAGAATAAGCGGGAGGGGGGTTAATCTCTGCGACCTTAGAGATCTATTGTGTCCCCCTTTCTTGAGTTATAACTCATCATACAGTCCCAGGACTTCCTACAGAGACCCGTGTCCCTCACAGTCGAGGAGCTACGACCCAGACCGGGTAGACGAAACGGTAGCTTGTGTCGCCTGTTGGGTTTAGAGGTAGGAGGTAGACTCCCGACCCTTGGAGGAGGTGGTAGCTTGTACGCCACTTGCGGAGGATGGTCTCACGCAAGTGTCAGCCACCTCTCCTGTAGTTCTCTTTGGGTTTGGCCCCTTGGAACTTTCATTGTTACTGTTCCCAGTGTCGCTAGGGGGTTTCCCCACAGCTTCACCGGTGATGTTTTTATTACTATTATTATCAGATCTCATAGTGTTCCTATGAGTCGCTAGGGACAGTCGGTCCACTTCTACAGAGCCCCGCATGTAGAAGTAAGGGGTAAAATACAATGGGGTGCCCCCCGGTGCCGCAAGGTTGAGGCTGTCTGTAGCCCCGCCCGGTATCGTTATATGTCTTGGTGCAATTCCCTGGCCACGACACTACAGTCAGGGACAAGACGATGAGTGAGATGCTTCTTAGGCCAAGCCAAGTGCTAGAGGGGATTCTCTCCAGCACCTGACCAAGAGCTTCCCCACCAACGACAAGGTCTTGCATCTCCTAGGGGAAGTGTCTGTTGAATAAGATGGCTATTTCTTGTTTCCGATAGTTCCTATCTCAGACAAGTCGTACGCACCTTTCGATGGCGTAGATTCATGCCTGAAGGATGCTGGGGTAGGTACCCCTCTTTATCACTACCACAAACCATTCGAGGTGAACAAAATGGAGCGAGGAATGTGGACAGATATAACATACATTCAGGACGGACTAACCTGGTATACAAACGGGTCAAAGACCGCTGAAGGAAAAGGAGCTGGAGTATTTGGGGAAAGACCAAGGTGGGACTCAACCATATTCCAGGCCAAAATCTTCGCTGTTCTACAATGTGCGAGAGAAAATCATAGAAGAGGTTATTCAGGTAAGCTCATCAATATATGCTCAGACAGTCAGGCGGCACTTGGAGCGCTTATGAGCCCAAAGGTATCGTCGAGACTCATCTGGGAATACCTAGGTGTACTGGGAGCTCTAGCACAAAGGAACAGATTTAAATTATTATGGGTGCCGGGCCACAGCGGCATCCAAGACAATGAAAAAGCCGATAAGCTAGCTAGGCAAGGATCATCGGTATCCTATCTTGGTCCAGAGCCAGTACTCGGAATTCGGAATACCCAAATGTATGGCCCGTAGTGCACTAAAACTCTGGATCAGGAAAAAGCAAAATGTCCACTGGAGAAACAGACAGGGGCACAGGCACAGCAAAGCCTTGATCCAAGGACCTAGCTCTAAAAGCGCTTAAGAACTGCTACCGCTTAGCAGGAATAAAGTGCGGATTACAACAGGCATCTTGACATGGCTGTCAAGTGTTACCCTTGTTTTTGAAAAAAAAAATGCTGGAATATGTGCCTATTGGTTGAGAGTATTTAGTTTTCAGGCTAAATACTCCGATCCCTGTTCCTGCTTTGATTTTGGAAGCATCAATATACCACGTTATGGTATAGTCTTTTATCTGCTGAGCAAACGTTTCCCTCTGCCAATCCTTTTTATTTCTCAATAATACAGTGAGGTGTTTCTCAAAGTTGTACATTCTTGGTATGTTATCCACTAGAAGTTAGAGGTGTGGAATGTTCCTTTTGAGGGTGTTTCCAAGCTCCTGAGCTGTCAATTCTGCCAGTAGTATTTCCATCAATGGCCATTCTAATCGCATTGACTATATCTACCGATGATAACGTGCAGTGGTGTTAGGTCTAGAATGACCTTCATTGCTGCTGTTGAGTAAAATATAATAGGGATTCATGTGTAATAACTTCTAGTAATCTTATCACATACACTACTTGGTAAATAATGTCAATTTTTGTTTCAGAATGTGACAAAACCGTCGTCGTACGGAGGCAATCCGGCGAGTTCGGATTCCGTATCCACGGATCCAAACCAGTGGTGGTGTCGGCCATAGAACAAGGTACTCCAGCCGAATCCAGCGGCTTGGAAGTGGGAGACATAGTACTCTCAGTTAACGGAGTCAGCGTTCTGGACAAAAGCCATTCCGAAGTAGTCAAAATTGCGCATGCTGGCAGCGATACATTAACTTTAGAGGTAAACATATGTGTTCCACGTACGAGGAATTATTATCGAGACCAAATGCGAGACCAAGGCCTTTTTACTAAAGACACTTTCTACATACAGTTCATACTAAATAAACTTTTAGTCACATGATTAATCTTTTAATTTGAAATATTTTAGGAAACAAAAATAAATTAATTATAAATATATACACAGTTATTATTTACATCAACAAAACTCACCTTCTTAACATCACTTAAGGGACATAAAGGGCTATCACTATCGCATTCCCGTTCAAAATATTCTAATAAAGTTGCGATGTGTTTTTTACGACTATTAAGCTATCTTGTATACACTTCGCACTAATAGAGGTTCTAGAAAGAACAATGTTCGACTGCAAGGTCTGCTAGTAAACATTTTTAAGCTTCAAGTATCCCATCACTATTTATTTAAACAAATTTATTTAACAGGATTTCTTATTTTATTTTTAAATGTATTGATGTAACACTTGATAAAAAATAGATAATAAAGAAAATTCTTATAGCATACCTACTACTGCATTACAGGTAGCTAGAACGTGCTATGCGCTGAACGCGTCCACCGAAGAACAAGCCGACACCAACGCCAGTTACAGCGGATACTTGTGGAAGCTGAGCGGCTACGCCAGCGGTACCATGACGAACAAATGGATACGACGATGGTTTTGTCTCAAACAAAATAATTGCCTTTATTATTATAAGACTGATAGTGTAAGTACCAACATGTCAGAGTCTTTCAAATTTCAAATATGATTTGTTTTGATAAATCTGTTTGTCTGTGTTTTAGGAAAAACAGCCAGTAGGTGTAGTGATGTTATTCGAACATGAAGTAGTTACGTTAAGTGATGACGACAGTGGACTTTCGAAGCCCCACAGATTCGTTATTCAACGAGACGATTCCGTTCCCTTGCATTTAGCGGCAGATACAGATACAGCCAGAAATAGATGGGTTAGTACCTTCCCCTCTTCTATTATACTCTATACTCTATACAGAGCGTAGGAGACCTTTCGCCTGTACGTGTGATATGAATAATCAGTTTTGTGTTTTGGCTTTACAAGTACAGGGTGTCCTATTTTGGTTAAAATCGAATAGAATAAGACAACGCCACTGTATTTTATGTAAAAAGTTCTACAATAAACAGTTTTCACATTCTCGATACCTTTAACAATAACAAAGATACAGGGGTTGTCCCAAATTGCAAAATTTTCGAAAAGACCCTGTAGCTCAGAAACGAAGAGAGTTATGGCAATAAATATTTAGCAATAGCCAAATTCAAATAGCACTATTTGCAATCACAAGCGATTTGTATTTTCCTATAAAGGAAGAAATTTCTTCGTTTATTCTTCATAATTAAATTTACTATACCGGGTGCGCCTCAAAAGTAGCTCACCCTTATAACTTTTTTATTTTTTCAGATAAAAAAACGAGATTTGGTATATTAATATAGGACATAAATTAGGATTGATTGACGTATTCAATTGTTTTCAGTCACTTCCTGTTTCACCGGAAATGACTACAACTTTTGATTTTTAAATGACACCCTTGGTATTTTTCACTTTATTCGATAGAATATGACATTCTGAATAGATTGACATATGTCAACTTTTGACATTTTCGTATATGGTTTATTTGAAATTGTAACATGCGGTTCATAATGACAATTTAACTCAAAATACCAAGTGTGTGGTATCAAATTATTCGTAAAAAAATGCTTTTTTCAAATATGCTAATGAGCCACCCTCGTTCCATTTGAAAAAATTAAGATATGATTAAAAATACTATTTGGGCATTTTTTAACCGGCCAGGACAAGACACTAAAAACATTAGACGATCAAATATATTTTTCCAAGGCTCCTTGATTAACAATTAAAGCTAGATTGAGATTTAAAATACGATTTTTTATTAAGCGAGAATGTTAAAAGTTGACATGTGATACGTCATTCTATTCAGAATATCATTTTCTATCGAATAAAGTAAAAATATACCGGTGCCGAGTGCCATTTAAAAATCAAAAGTAGTAGTCATTTCCGATGAAACAGGAAGTAACCAAAAACAAATGAATACGTCAATCAATCACAATTTAATGTCATATACTAACATACCATATCTCGTTTTTTAACTGAAAAAATTAAAAAGCGGGGTGAGCCACTTTTGAGACGCACCCGGTATATAAATCTGACTTAAACCTTTTATATAAAGATTTAAATCTTTTTAATGACAAGTCTTGTATAAAAAGGCTTAAATCTTACAGAATATATACAATCTACAGAATATGCTCAATAACAAAGTCATTTTACACTGAATTCAGAACTATATTTATGTTCTTTATGGCTCATTTTCAGGTAGACGTAATAGGAAAGGCGATCCAAGACAGTCGCGTCGTGGACGAATTCCTGGACCAATCCAAACGGAACCTGAACCTCCAACCGGACGCCATCGTCGATCCCGACTGTTTCGGCCATTTAATTAAGTTAGGTACCCAGTGGAAGTCGTGGAGCCGACGCTACTGCGTCCTCAAGGACGCCTGCCTCTACTTCTACCACGACGCCAATGCTTCCAATGCCTTCGGTAAGTCTCAAGTTGATGTCTTAAGATGTTTCTAATTTCTAATATTTTGATGTACTCTTAAGAGTCTATTACGCTGTATTTTCGGATCGCTCTCAGGGGTCGGGTAAAGCGGGTGTGTGGCCGAAGGAAATATAAATTATATTTCAGAAATCTGCCTGAGGCTTAGCCCGATCCTGTCGTGTTAAGCCACAGCCAACATTCCAAACACGCGTGCTTTGATTAAGGATTGATTAAGGTTTGCAGAGCTTCAGCATTTGCCATAAAATAGCGAGTAATTTGTTTCAAAACCATATAAATTATATATCACTGTAATCACAAAACTTCAATCTATTTCCGTATTGTAACGGAGTGTTAAATTATGTCTTTATTTTCCAGAAAATTTAGTCCAAACATAAATAATATTTTGTTGATGTTTGACCATCAAAATCTTAAAAATAAAGAAGTTGTCTAAAAATGTGCTACAATACGGATATAGTATAATCCTTTATCTTTAATTTCTTTCCTTCTTCATTTGTGGTAAAAATACCTAGCCAACTTTACATAAAACGTTATATGCCGAACGCTTATTTTGCTGCTTTTTCGGACTAGTGAGATGGACTCTTAAATGAATAGTCTGTTTAACGCATAGATAAATGAAACAAGTTTAGATTGGAAAGTGCCCATAAGGACAATGTAAACACTATTTGGCGCTATTCTTGCAACGGTCGCGACCCAAAACTTTTGAAAATTTCGGAGCGGTTCGGCTTTTTCCGGAATTATATCGCCAAATATTGTTTATTCAAATTTATTATTATTTTCGTTAAATTTTATAAATAAAATACAGTGTGTTGCATACAAGAAACTTTATTTTATATAAGGACGCATGTATGAAATACCTATGAAACATTGGAAACCGACGTTATGCCACGATCCACGATGGTTTTTGCAGTTCACAGTTCACAGCACAGCTTTTTAAGTTTTTAATGCCACTTTTTTACAATTATTACCGGTTGGAGTAAATAAAACTTGAATTAAACTCACAAGATAGCAATAATTACTGTGAAAATGGATGCTATAAACACTTTTCGGAATTTCTTTAATGAGAGCGGTTTAGATTTTGAAAGATTATTATGATTTTTGAAGATTCTGACTTTGACAAGAGAAAATTATTTCTGTTTTTGTTTGTCGTTGTTCTTAGCGACCGCTATAGCAGCGCCAGATCGCGTATAACGGTCGCGACCCAAAATAATTTCGCGATCCAAAATTTTTACGGGCTTTCCAATCTAAACTTGTTGCATTTATCTATGGTTTAACGCTTTTAATGGCATTTAACAAGAGGATGTCTGGCAGTGACAGTTGTTTCTGTCATTTTAATTTAACAGACCAATTTTGCCGTCATTTTTTGGTTGACATCGGTCGAAATCTTCCCTGATTTGTTGGGCTGACTCTATATTAAAGTTATTATAACATGTTTCTATCTTCTTTTATTATTATTTTTTTAATTTCATTTCTAGGTGTTGCTTACCTCCATGGATATAGAGTCCAACAATCCTCATCCGGCAGTAAAAAACACGCATTCGAAATTGTACCTCCCGAAACCGGACAGAAAAGTTACTATTTTCACGCAGAATCCGAAACTGATAAGAAAAGGTATTTTTTATCCACGCATACAGGGTGTTTCAAAAAACATGTGCCATCTCTCGTGTGGAGATTCCTCACGTAAAAATAAGATTTATTTTTCATATGAACATAGGTCCGATTCTGCTTTGTTTCGTAGCTACAGGGTGTTAAAGTTTCAATATTTTTTCGATTTATTATAATTTTCTTCCAAGTACCCGGTGGCCAACTAAGAATGGACGCCGGCTGTATCTCAGAAACTACTTACCGTATAACTTTGGGAAAAAAATCTAAAAAGCAAGTCGACCAAGAGAAATCGCTGGAAATTATTTTCAAGTACGAAAAATGTCCGCTAGGGGGCGTTTCTCTGATAAGCCATGATAAAACAGGGGTAATTTTCTCATAAATATGCAGGTGAACAGGTATTTTAAATATTACTATTGTAATCGTCGAGAAATTTGTAATTCTTTTGATGTAGAGTATTTTGCTCTATCTCATAAAATAAAGTGGTGGGGGAAGGTTAAACTTGCTTTTATTAAAATAACTCTGGTTTGGGGTTAGCCGATTTAAACAAACTAGGGCTCGTTTAAAAGAGCTTTTCTTCCTTAATAATCTCCAATATAAATTTTGTTTCCATAATTTTTTTTTGTGGTAACTAGAGGACGCTATTTGACATCATAACAGATATTGTGCTTTTGCATAAAAGTTTTAAAGAGGAGGCTATATTTTTCTTTGTACCGTTCAATAAGGCACAAAATTTCCAAAATATCAGCGCAAACCGCAACTTTCTATCTTCAAAATCATATTAGGCTGTCGCCTAGTATTATAAGGTCTAAAAATTATAGTAGTAGGCTAGGAAACAAAAAGAGGTATATTGGTTAGGGTTCCCCCACCACTTTGTTTTATAAGATAGAGCAACATACTCAATATCAAAAAATTACAAATTTCTCGATGATTACAACAGTAATATTTAAAATACCTGTTCACTTGCATATTTTTGAGAAAAACCCTGTTTTGTGATTGGATAACGGAGAAACGCCCCCTAGCGGATATTTTTCGAACTTGAAAATAATTTCCAGCGATTTTTCTTGGTTAGGTTAGGTAATGATAAGTTGTTTCAGAGATACAGCCGCCGTCCATTCTTAGTTGGCCACCCGGACCGAGAAGCAATCCTGGGATGGTAATTTCCAGTCGCCCACTTATTGTTTGAAAAGTTTGATCGTTTCTCAAGATTAACAAATGAATTGACTGATAGGAAATTACCGTTCTAGGACGGTTCTCTCGTCCGGTTGGAACAAACATATAGTGTTTCGAATGAAATTTCGAGGATAAAAGTTACCACACACACCGGAAAAATCTAGGGATATAATTTTATTAAAGTTAAAAATAAATGTTTTGAAAAAACAACCACATATTTTTAGACCGATTCTTTCTACTTCGATTGAAACGAAGTAGTGACACTAGTTATTTCTAAATTTGGGATATTTGTAGAAATGTTTGTGCATTTTTTGGCAAATGTATAAAAAGCACCTAGCATCAATTGTTCGAATTTAACCTGTACTGGCTATTTTTTATGATAACTGGCCAGAATTCATTCAAATAACTTTGTTTAGTATTAAACGACATTATGGAGCGTAGACATCTTAACAGAGACGAAATGCTAAGGGCCATGGGTATGCTCGAAGCTGGAATGCGCCAAATCGACATAGCTAGAGCATTAAATACAACGCAAAGTGTAATATCGCGATTAAGTGCACGCTACCGTGAAAGTGGTGATGTTGCTGAAAGGCACACAGGGCGACATCGCATTACTACCCCTCAGCAAGATCATTTTTTACAATTAAATGCTCGACGCCGACCGACTCTTACAGCACCACATCTTAGTTTAATTCTCCAGGAAACACATAATGTAACCGTTAGTCCTGACACTGTTCGCAATAGATTAAGAGAGGTCAACTTAAGAAGCAGACGCCCCTGGAGAGCTCAACCCTTAACGAGAGGAAATCGAGAGGTACGATATTTGTGGGCTCAAAATCATGTTCAGTGGTCGAATGAACAATGGGCTAATGTTCTCTTCACGGATGAGTCACGCTTTGGAATTCATCCGGATTCCAGAAGGCTTAGGGTATGGAGAGAAGCGGGAATTCTTATTCGGTTGGATCATGTTCAGGAAGTGCACCCTTATCAAGGTGGAACAGTTATGGTCTGGGGCGGAGTCCAGTTAGGCAGAAAAACCGATCTCGTTTTTCTTGAAAGGTTTTTAACAGGAATCACATATCGTGATTTAATTCTTGAGCCTGTCGTGTTACCATATGCCAATGATTTTGGGAGAAACTTCATTCTCATGCATGACAATGCACGGCCTCATACAGCCAGAGTGGTAAGTGAGTTTATCAATGCTCATCAATTAAACATCTTACCCTGGCCGGCACAATCTCCTGACCTCAACCCCATCAAACACGTATGGGATGCGGTCCAAAGAAGAATTTTGAGAATGGGTATGCCTCGTGAAACTCGTAGGGATCTGGTTCGGGCCGTGAATGCAGCGTGGCAGGCTGTACCTCAAGAAGTGATCGAGAACCTGATCAGGAGCATGAAGAGACGATGTAGGGCTGTAATGAACAGTAGACGAGGCCATACCCATTATTAAGTAAAAAGGGTTTTATCTTTTTTTTTAATTCACAGTTTAGAATAAAAAAAAATGTGTGTATATTTTTGAGTTCAATAAAAATCAAGGTAAATTTGAAAAATTCGGTAAATTTCGCATTTTTATTTCCAATACGTCCTGTAAACTATTTGTTTATTTTAATTTTATTATAACAGAAATGCAAATAATAAAATTACTGACGATGGCTGGATAAAATTGTAATATCCCTAGAATTTTCCAGTGTGTGTATAAATGCGATATATTTTAAAGCTAAAAAAGTGTAGACATATTTACCAGGGATGTGTATATGTGTTATCACTGTTTAAAGTTCATACTCATGTATCTCACATACCCATGTTTAAAGTTCCAATAAACATGGGTATGGAAATGCATAGTTTTAGAGTTACAGGATGTTAAAAAATTTTAAAATTAGTTTTTTTGTAATAATTATCTTAAATACCATTATTTTTTTATTTGAAATTGCGGTAGGTTGGACTAACAGCAACAATAACTGATAGTAATAATATTTAATAAGAAATTAGGCAAAATATATAATTTATTAATTTTAATTTTATTAATTGTGATTAATAAAATTGCGTTTATCTCATCAAGGAGGCCGAATTCGACAAAATACAAGAGATAACTTTTAATTGGTATTAAACAGCCTACACAATTTTGATATCAAAAGAAAAAGTCAGTGGCGCACATGTTTTTTTTGAAAAATATTCCAGTGATAACCCATATGCACGTCCCTGATGAATGTATCGACACTTTTTTAGCATTAAAATATATAGCACTTGTAGTAACTTTTACCCCCAAAATTTCATTCGAAACGCTGAAAGTACTTGGAAGAAAATCATAATAAATCGAAAAAATATTAAGATTTACTAACACCCTCTAACTACGAAAGAAAGCAGAATCGGACCTATGTATGTTGATATAAAAAATAAATCTTATTTTTACGTGAAGAATCTCCCCACGAGAGATGGCACATATTTTTTGAAACACCCTGTATAAGATTCAATTTATTACAGAATGATTATGATATTTTTTTTCTTTTCCGTTCCAGATGGATCACCGCTCTAGAATATTCGATAGATAAATGGTTAAAAGTTAAATAAACCCTTTTTTAGTTAATTTTTAAATGAAAAGAAACAAACTAGGATACATTTAAGTGCAATTTTATATAAATAGCGAATTAGCTTTTTAAATACCTATGGAGAGAAAGAGATATATACATATATATGTAAGTTTATATATAATATTATGTTGAGGTTAGGAGAGGATGACTTATTGCTCAAGAATGACTTATTTAATTTTATATTATTTATTTATGGATTTATATTTACATGTTCGTATAAAAAAATACAGAAAATGTGTGCACTGCCATAACTGTAAATAAGAAGAAAATAAAGATGATTTAAACGTTGTGTACTTTGTACTTTTATTTTCATATATAATAAACTAGCGCGTACCCCCGACTTTGTTCACGTCGAATTAATCATTTGAGGTTTTCACATCTAAGGTTTTTACCCTCTTGGAATTTGAGATTCGAGAAACCCCTCCTTATCGAACCTCTAGACCCCGCAGTCAATCCGTTTACCAAAAATCAGTTTTAAACGTCAAGCAGTTTATGCAGAATCGTGATTACTCAATGGTCATATTTTATAAAACACCCTGTATAAATTTTTCAAAAATCTTAAAATATGTAAAACGATAAAATAAAATATACGTGTTTAAGAGTTTATCCGAAAAACTCACCGGTTTTTAAACAAAAAAATATTCTAATATTTGAGGGATGGTTTCACCCCCTTAGAATTCGGGTTTCGAAAAATCCCTTCTTATCGAACCTCTACACCCTAGAATCAACCTGTATGGCAAAATTGAGCTTCTTAAGTCTCATACAGACACGTTGCGCCGAACAACAAACGGAAAAACGAACCGAACGGCAAATGAAGCACCAGTTTGGACGAGCTACGAACGTGTTTGCAAACTGAATTGCAAATCTGGGCTGTTTGCATTTACGTTCTCGTTCGCTTCGCCGTCGATCCATGTGTTGTCGGTTTTTCGTCTAACATCAAAGGAAATGCGTGCGAATGCGTTTGTAGGTTAGTACGGGAACAAAAACAAAACGTCAAATGCAACTAAGTCTTATTTAATAAAACTATTTAGAATTTCGCTACGCATCAACGAGTAGTGGGAAGAGAACTGTTTTGATTTAATTAGATTGTACCAAAAACAGAAGTTATTATATTATATAACAAGATGCATTGAAGGATATTGCTCAACAAATTAATACAGATCCAAAAGAGTGTAAAAAGAAAATGAGTTCGTTACTATTATTCTTTCGGCGCAAAATTGCTAAAATGATATAGAGCTGAGGAATGGAATCTGGTAACTGCATCAACTGGTGCAGCAATGATATTTGAAAAATTCCTGGGAATGCAAAAAAATGTTTCGTTTGCTGTTCGGTTCGCTGAAAATAAGTTTTCAATTTTTCGTTTTCATTTGCCATTCCGTTTGTTGTTCGGTACAACATTCAGGTCTATACGAAGCTTTACGTTGAGTAGTTTGAGCAGGATCGTGATTAATCAGTGAGTTACTTAAGGATTTTATATATTAGTATTATTAATGAGGAGTTCCTCGTTTTAGGCGCGATTCTCACTGTGGCCGAGAGAGATTCTCACTATAACGTACCGTCACGCAAACCGTCACCGACATCGGCCGTCGTACGCCATCTCGACATAAAACATGAAGTAAATGGGAGATGGTCAGGGTAGTGTGAATATGTTCATTGTTGACCATTTAAGAATATTTGCCGTGGTGGTCAGCGGTAAGCCGGTGCACATACAGCAAATTGTCTACTTTAGGACGACAAAAATATTTTCTACTAAAAAATTAATAATTTCATATTCTAAGTAATAATTAAAATCATAGATTTACTGGAAATATACACAAAAAGAGTCAAAAATTTGGAGAAAACTATGTACCTCAAGAATCATTCTGAATTATCGCTATCTTCTGTTTAATCATCATTGATATTATCATCAGCTCTGTCCATTGGCACTTCAGCAACATTGTTGGGGAGAAGTAATATCGAGAAGTATTTTTGAAGTGAAACTTCTTTACGCGCGTTGGGAGTAAAAATTCAAGGCCGTGACACTCGGCGTGTCGCGCGATCCATGCGCGGCTAGCGAGAGGAAAAGTGATAGCGGCAGTGTTGCTATAGCTACCCCATCGGGGGTAGATCTACTCCCTTTGTAAAACAATTTAACTTCGCTATCTCGTGAATGTCTACTCCGATGAAAAATAAGCTTGTGGCAACACTGGGTAACGATCTGATCGAATCGCGGCTAAGAAAATCACTATAATAAACTTGATACTGCACCAACCTTGTGTGCTAGGAAGTAAATTTTCATACATATTTTCATCGATATGTTTGTAGCTTCTTAATAACGGTCTAGGTAAAGCATCTAGCTCATTTGCCAGCTCAGAATTAGAATTTAGAGTTAGTAACTCGCATTTTCATTGGAGGACACTGTCATATTTATTTCAAACCAATAATCAACGAGAATATTCGTATAATTTAATAAAATTCTTACTGTAAATCACTATAAATAATGAATTGTTTGTAATTGAACTGTAATTTGTGCGTTATTAATCGGGTAAATGATGGAGATAAACAATTGTGATTGATTAAAATTTTATTTTAAGATTTTTTAATTTTTTTTGTTAACGACATTCTGAAAATTCGAATAATGAATTGAATAATCACAAGACAATAAGTGACATCTGTCTAAAAAAGACACCGATTTAGAGCGACAATTTGGTTATGTAAAATTTAGAGTAAAAATTTTGATTATGCAAAAGAAATATATTCTATGAGTTTACTGGTTGTCTTACGATTAATATTAATTTAAAAATAAATCCCCAACATGAATAATGAACAAAACATTTAAACAAAAACAGACTACAGACCATACAAAACAAATTGTTGGTTAGTAGCAGTTAGTAATAGTCAGAGATATAGATGTAGAGAATAATCGTTTTTTAATAAAAATTAAAAAAACATTATAAAATTATAAAGCTAGAATAGTATACGGTTTTATATTAAATCTAATTTTTTGAAGTTTATAAAAACCATTTATAAAGAAATATATGTACATATTCTTCAAATCCTTCAATTTAATAGCTGTTAGTAAGAAGTTTCGCTTCAAATATGCGCACATAGTGCACACACAATTTTTTTAGGAAGCCTCTATGTTTACTTATTTTTCTGAAATCTGCAACACCATAGGTTTGTTCCAACCAGCATTTCGGGATCGTTTCGAAACAAACCTATTCGAATCGGTTTTCTTGCACTTTGTTAGCATGCTCGGAGTTCGAATAGTTTCGTGACGGTGCAAAAAGTATCAACGTTGGAACGCTTTGTGAATTGTTTTCGGAACTGTCAAAAGTGTCAAGCGTGCGTGTATCAATCGGTTTTTTTTGTTCGAGGAAACAAGAAAATACGATTAAAGCTTACCTAAATATTGTTCATTTTTCACCCTTTCACTAGGCAGCAACTCCGAATTGTCACTATCTGAAGTGGAGGTAAAGAAATCAATCATACCATCGTCACTCATCCTTAATTATTATCTAGATACTTATGAGAGTGTACAATTTAAAATTTCCGAACGATTTGCTCCTCCACACAAACTCACAAGCAAAAGTATAACGCACACGTATTCGAATTCGTAAAAAATAACCAAGACAGAAGCATCAGCCGGACGCCTGACCAGAATCGGCTGTTAAAAATCGATAATCCCTGCCAATATGCTTTAATGCGCAAGTCAACCTCAATTTAGACCATGTACCGAAATTACCGTTCCGAAATCGTAATTAAACGATCCCAAGGTAGACTGGTACGCAAATAGGAACGTCCGATAACCGTCAAATCTCGGTTGGAACACATTTGAATTACTGCGCACGAGCGTGATCGTTCGGTGACGGTTCTGCGGCGGGTTGGAACAGACCTCATATCGATATTATTAGTAGTATCGTATTCCCATTCCTAATATAAATATAAAAAATAATTCATATTTATAGCAAATAAGTTCATTCGGGAAAAAAATCAACACACAAAAACGATTACTATTTAAAAGAAACATTTTAACTTATATCGAGGCTAGTGAAATTTAGAAACCCCGCATGTCTATACCTGGAGACCCCAGTTAACATTAACAATTTCCCATTTATAATATCGCATAATATCGTTCTAATAATTATAAGAAAGGTACTGCCTTTATTGTCCCCAGCACTATTTGCAGTACCTGTGAAACAGTTTTTCGGGGGTTAAAACCACTTGAGATAGGATTAGCGCGTAAAGTGTGCCATAAAATTGACGATTATTTTTATGGAGATAATTTTGAAACGCAATAGTACCCAGGACTGACCCATCAGTTGGAGTTGAGGCCTGAGGACGAATTTTTGGAACGAAAATTTTGTTTGTTTAGTTTGTTGATTTCCAGTTAAGAAATCTTAAGTGTTTTTAGCGAATTTGTTTGTAACTCAGTGTTGTTTTCTGCATTCGTGATGTCTATTGTATTTGAAGGTGAAGAACAAAGTAAGTATTTCTTTAAAATATCTATTAAATACCGTATGATCGAAAAAAACGGCGTCAAAGACGATTGCGGAATGACAATCGATGATAATTTTGACAAGGTCAATCTCTAGATGTAATTTACTAAAAATTGACATAAAACTTGTCAAAATTAACAGTAATTATAGAAAGATTAAAAATAAATAGGACGTTACCAGACACAAAAATATGTTTTATTAAAAAAAACCTATAGAGTACTAAAAGTCAAAACTTGCAGTGATTTTCGGTGAAACAGGAAGTGACCGAAAATAATCGAATACTTACGTCAATTAATCCTGATTACTAACATGCCAAATATCGATTTTTTCTCTAAAAAAGAAAAAAAGTTATAGGGGTGAGCTACTTTTGAAAACCACCCGGTATACATATAAATCATTTTCTTTTAAAATTCGTCCAATTTTATGCAAACAGAGCAACAAGTTAAATTGGACTGTGTCATTTGTAATTTGGAATATAAAAAGTTCTATACAGGGTGCGTCTCAAAAATGGCTCACGCTTATAACTTTTTTATTTTTTCAGATAAGAAAACGAGATTTGTCAGTTAGTATATGACATAAATTAGGATTGATTGACGTATTCAATTGTTTTTGGTCATTTCCTGTTTCACCGGAAATAGCCAAAACTTTTGATTTTTAAATGACACTCTCGGTATATTTTTACTTTAATCGATATAAAATGACACTCTGAATAGAATGACACTATATCACGTGTCAACTTTTGCAACATGAACGACAATTTGACTCAAAATACCAGGTGTGTGGTACCAAATTATTTGTAAAAAAATGCTTTTTCAAAATATGCTAATGAGCCACCCTCGTTCTTGAAAAAATGGGATATGATTAAAAATACGGTTTGGGCATATTTTAACCGGTCAGGACAAGACACTAAAACATTAGACGATCAAATCTATTTTTCCAGAACTCCTTGATTAAAAATTAATGTTAGATATACTGTGACAGACATGGCATTGTAGATTGAAATTTAAAATACAATTTTGTTTTAAGCGGAAATGTCAAAAGTTGACATATGATATGTCATTTTATTCAGGGTGTTATTTTCTATCGAATAAAGTAAAAAAATACCGAAGGTACCATTTAAAAATCAAAAGTTGTAGTCATTTCCGGTGAAACAGGAAGTGGCCGAAAAGAATTGAGTACGCCATTCAATTCTGCTTTACGTCATATACTAACATACAAAATCTCGTTTATTTATCTGAAAAAATAAAAAAGTTATAGGGGGTAAGCCACTTTTGAGACTCACCCGGTATAATTCAGACTTTAGCTTCATTCAGAAAGTTAGTGGTTCATTTAGTGGAATAAATTAGTGGTTTCAATTACACTTTACAGTTTTTAGTTTACGATCATTCACAACGTCTAAAAAACACAACTAAAATTAATAAAATATCCTAGCAAAAGTTTGCGATAGACAGCTTATAATAATAATAATTAGCCTAATATTTAGCTTATAAAATAATAAACTTTTGATTTCTAACCAGAAAACTCTTGACGAATGATAATCAAAGGCCAAAAAGACATTCTTCACAAATTTTGAAGTACAATTAGTGGAAAAGTCAAAAGATTGTTAACTTTTTCTACTAATTGAAAATGACTACCACTAATTTTGATGTTCTGAATCTGAATGCTTACATTAAAATAAGAGGAACAAACTTCTACACTAATCGACACCACTAATTGGGAGGTTCTGAATGAAGCTTACACATTATGACATATATTTAAATTGAAAATCGTGACATTGTATTGTTCTTACAAGATCGAAAACAGCTCACTTGCTATTGTAAGGACCATTGTCCCGAGGGAGAGTATGGCACGTGCCACACGAAACCGGGAGGCAAGTGCTTTACGTCGGTGGAGCTGCGCATTGGTCAAGACGATGAAGTCGAACAGAAATTATCTTACGGATGTCTTCCGCCCAATGGAATGGTAGATTTTTACGTAAGTATTGGCAAAGCTTACAGAATAAGTATATTCTGTAAACTTTCTTACAGAATAAGTATATTCTGTAAAGTTTCTTACATAATAAGTATATTCTATAAACTTTAAAAAATGTCTATACCTATGTGGCGGATTCATCTCTCCAAAAAAATCCTTTATGGGTATTTCGCCACTGCACTGCAAGAAAATCTACAAAATAAAATAGTTATTTTTTGTAAACACTTCTGGCGTTAAACCTAAACGGGCGCTGCTTGTCAGAAGTTATGTTTACAGTAATACAAATTTGCCTAACAAAGAAAAAAATGCTTAACGTTTCGGAAAGTTATCTCTTTCCGTCGTCGGTAGCAAAAAAATACAAAGAATAAAGAAAAAAACTATTTAAAATAGTTAAATTCAACTATTCGAGAACACTTTACTTTTTTAAAACAGATACGTCTACAAGAAGAACATCAACGGTTTCTTGTAGACGTATCTGTTAAAGGTTGTAAAATGTTCATAATTTCAAATGTAAATTTACATAGCAGAAAAAAAAAACAGTTACCTCTGATAAGGAAAATAGAATTAAATAAAATAAGCTTTAGATTGATATAATTTTAATATAATAATGTTTATTTATTTTTTAAAATTATTAAAAAAACAAAAATAAAAATAAGACCACCGGGCCCAAGGCCCGGGCGTTATGTGCCTTATGGTAAGATAGGCCCTGCTTTTGAGACGCACCCGGTATACTCAAAATACAAATTTTGAAAAATCCCACGTGAGATTAGGAGTTAGGAGAAGGCGAAGGAGATCGAGACAAATCTAGGAGACAAAAAAATGTATGATAATTTCTCTTTCAGTGTCGTTCCAGACTGATTTCAACCGCCCAGAAGAACATTATGAAATGCTGTGACACGTACGATAACTGCAACAAACACTTGTTGCCAGTTATCAACGTCAAAAAACCTACGGGACCTATTCCGTGGGACACTAAAACTTTAAGAGTTCTCATATCGTCGATAGCAGTCAGCCTGGTTGTGTTTATAGCGATCTCGCTGGCCGTCTACTTCAGATACAGACACAAGGAGAAGAAGCACAAGAAGAAGAAAGAGCAGAACAAGGAAATTAACAAAAACGACATCAATATCACGGATACTACGTACCTGGACAAAGAGATGAGTGACAGAGTTGTGGAATGCAGCCAGTCGAGTACGAGTCTGGATTTTGCAGTGATGGGAGTGGTGCAAAGAACGGTCTCCAAACAGATTCAGATGGATCTTAAAATTGCATCAGGTAATTGTTTAGAAAAATAAGACAATTTAAGGAAGTTTTAAAATATTTTTTAACTTAAGAGTCTGTAGTTACGCTGTACTTACTGGTCGCTCTCAGGGGTCGGGTAAAGCGAGTGTGTGGCCGAAGGAAATATATATTATATTTCAGAAATCTGCCTAAGGCCTAGCCCGATCCTGTCGTATTAAGCCACACCCAAAATTCCAAATACACGCGTGCTTTAATTAAGGTTTGCAGCAGGGGGGTGACAGTGAAATAGGAAAATTGGAAACAGTCATTATGTGTCATTCCTGTCATTCTCCTCACGACAAGCATGGCCGCCTAGACAAGGACAGCATTGTTTTTGTCTAACTATTGTCTAACTTCACAGTTTAGAATTGACAGATTTTAGTTTCAGAGACAACTTCAGATTTGTTCTAGAACAAATTAGAAAATATTCGACGCCATTTTAATTCATTCCGTTTAGTTTCGTTTTGGAAGTTCATTTTAATATTTCGGCTCAAATTTATAAATATAAAGGTAATAAAGTATATAAAATATATATTACATGAAGAATCCTGGAGAAAATGACGTTTCTGCAGTAGTAGGTATGTCCCATGTATATGAAAAATAGGTAGTAAATAAACACTGTTTTTACATTTTTTAGATGCAAGAAAATGGTGTTATAATCTCTTTGATCGGCGATTTTTTTGAAAATGGAAACAATTTACATCAAGGTAAGATCATTTTTAACTATAGCCAACATAAGTTATCTCCAGTAAGTGCGATTTTTATTGTCAATAATGCAATAAATCGGACTGATAATCTGATTATGTTATCCGACTAAAAGTCTCTTTTTGCTTCTTTTTGATTTATAAGCTAGGTCTCTTTGGGAATAATGGACGCTTTTTTTAAACAGTATATTTATATTTTATACCTATTGATATTTTTACATTGTTAATTTTAGTATAATAAAATTTGTTTTTCTGTTTTCAGGTTTTTCTATAAGGCTCCCGTTTTCATGTTCCTGTGTCCGTTTTCTGTCCTTGAAATCTGCGAATAGGTGTGTTTATTTACAAATTACTGTAAGTCATGCTTATACCTTAACTAATTTACGTTAAAAGTGCATATAATTAACTAATTGGTATTAAAACAATACAATCCTCTATATTTTTATATTTATTTAGTCACGTTGTTCCATATTTCAAATAAATATATGTGAATAAATTATTTTTTGGTTTTATTTATGAAAAGAAAAAATACAAAATACATTTGAACTGAAAGAGGGCCCGCCATTGAATAACCGGAAACGGAAATGAAAATTAAGCCATCATGTCCTTATCATGTCAACCTGTCAATTGGAAAATTAGTTCTCCAGACGACAACGAAGGCTTTCGGTGGCGTATCGTGTTTATACGATTTAACACAGAGTTGACACTTCTTTCTAGTTAATTATTTTATGGTTTGCAGAGCTTCAGCATTTGCCATAAAATAGCAAGCAACTTGTTACAAAACCATATAAATTATATATCACTGTTATCACAAAACTTCAATCTATTTCCGTATAGTAGCGGAATTTTAAATTATGGCTTTATTTTCGAGAAAATTTAGTCACAAACATAAGAAATACTTTGTTGATGTTTGACTATCAAAATCTTAAAAATAAAGAAATTGTCTAAGAATGTGGCAAAATACGGATATGGTATAATCCTTTATCTTTAATTTCCTTGCAAAATAAAACAAAAAATCACCACAATACACCCAAACACTTTTACTTTTACACTGGACGCGCGTTTCGCTAACCATGTTAACATCATCAGCAGATGATTAAAAACTGAATTTCAGTTTTTAATCCTGCTTTAAAAACTGCTATATCACCATATTTGATGATGCAGCTGCTCTTAGAACCCTTAAAAAACAATTTATGTTACTTGGGATCCGATTTCTTTTTATTTTTTTAATTTTCTATTTGAAAAGATATGACAATACAAATTTCTCATTCCCATGGCTACTTTTCTAAGCTGATGATTCATTTAAACAAGCACTCCAGCACAAGCATTATTTAAGATCATTTTGCAAGTACACAGTAGTTTTTTGAAATTATGCATGAACCAGCAAGCTAGGGTGCGGAAACTGCCCCCTCCCCCTGTCTCTTTGAACCTTATTTTAATTCCGAGTTGATTAATAATAAGCAAAATATGTCTATGTTATTATTGTTTATGTTTTAAGGTAAATATGGCGAAACCTGGATAGGAAGTTGGAGGGACGAAAAAGTGGCTGTAAAGATGTATGTCAAGAAATATGAGGACGAATGGAAGTGGGAAGCAAAAACTTATCAAACGGTGTTGATGAGGCATGAAAACATATTGGGCTACATAGCATCTGATATTACAGGTAAGAATTTATAGAGGGTGTTTCAGTGTTTCAAAAAACATGTGCCATCTTTCGTGGGGAGATTCCTCACGTAAAAATAAGATTAATTTTTCATATCAACATAGGTCCGATTCTGCTTTGTTTCGTAGCTACAGGGTGTTAAAATCTTGATGTTTTTTCGATTATTTATTATAGTTTTCTTCCAACTACCTTTAACGTTTCGAATGAAATTTTGAGGGTAATAAAGTTACTATAAATGCGACATATTTTAAAGCTAAAGAAGTGTTGACATATTCACCAGGGACGTGCATATGGGTTATTACTGGAATATTTTTCTAAAAAAAGCATGTATGCTACCGACTTTTTTTTCCTCTTGTTAGCGAAATAGTGTAAGCAGTTTAATGCCGATTAAAAGAAAAGGCCTTTAAATAGAATTTCTATAAAGATGAGTATGGAAATGCATAATTTAGAATTTCAGGTTAAAACTATTTAAAATTAGGTGCTTTGTAATTATCTTAAATACCATTATTTTTTTTATTTTAAATTGCTTTAAGTTGAACTAATAAAGTAATAACTAATAGTAATAATATTTAATAATAAATTAGGTAAAATATATAATTTATTAATTTTATTTTTATTTTCATTTTATTAATTCATCAAGGAGACCGAATTCGACAAAATATCAAGAGATAACTTTTAATTGACATTAAACGGCCTAAACCATTTTGATATCAAAAGAAAAAAAGTCAGTGGTGCACATGTTTTTTTTTAAATCCAGTGAAAACCCATATGCACGTCCCTGATGAATTTATCGACACTTTTTTAGCATTAAGATATGTAGCACTTTGACCCTCAAAATTTCATTCAAATCACTAAAAATACTTTGAAGAAAATTATAATAAATCGAAAGATTATTAAGAATTTAACACCCTGTAGCTACGAAACAGAGCAGAATCGGGCCTATGTTGATAACAAAAATAATTTATATTTTTACATGGGGAATCTCCCCACGAGAGATGGCACAAGTTTTATGAAACGCCCTGTATATAAACTCCTCAAATCTCTAAACTTTGTCTAAATAATTAAATTAGTTTGATGCATTCTTTTTGACAATTTTGGATTATCTCAGTTTAATCCCTTTCTATTTGTAGTAACTAATAATGCTTTAAAATGGTATTGTAGATGGGGAAAGTTATCACCGCGACCTTATAGATCTATTGTGAGTTTTCTTGAGTTTTCTTCAGAGCTTTGACAAAAGCCAGTATGTGAGACGGTTTTACAGAAGTTAGTTCATTACTTCTCCATCTCTGATATCAGTTCTACCAAAGTTTATAGCACGAATGGTTGTTGCATCGGCGCACTCAGTTATGAAGTGTTCTGTGGTGTGATTTTGTAAGCTCCTTAGCAAGATCTGTCTTAGTTTTTAACGTTTTCCCTTTCCCTTTCCCTTTCCCTTTCCCTTTCCCTTTCCCTTTCCCTTTCCCTTTCCCTTTCCCTTTCCCTTTCCCTTTCCCTTTCCCTTTCCCTTTCTTTCCTTTCCCTTTCCTTTCCTTTCCCTTTCCTTTCCCTTTCCCTTTCCCTTTCCCTTTCCCTTTCCCTTTCCCTTCCCTTTCCCTTTCCCTTTCCCTTTCCCTTCCCCTTCCCTTTCCCTTTCCTTTCCTTTCCTTTCCTTTCCTTTCCTTTCCTTTCCCTTTCCCTTTCCCTTTCCCTTTCCCTTTCCCTTTCCTTTCCCTTTCCCTTTCCCTTTCCCTTTCCCTTTCCCTTTCCCTTTCCCTTTCCCTTTCCCACTTTCCCCATAGAATCTGAGCCGTACACTCAACGGCTGGACCGATTTTCAATGGTCCATTCTATTTGTAATAAATGATAATGTTTAAAGATGGTACCCCTCTAAATTAAACGATGACAATATATTTTCTTCCAGGTACAGGACCATCATCAAAGTTTCTGACAGTCACGCAATACCACGAGCTGGGATCTCTTCGTTCATACCTTAAACGTAACAAGTTAAATCCAGCCGACCTCCTCAAGTTGGCGCGAAGCCTCGCCAGGGGACTCTGTTACCTTCACCTGGAAATTTCAGGTTGCAAGGGCAAACCTGCCATAGCCCACAACAACCTCACCACCAAATCAATCCTTGTAAAGGCAGACAAGGAATGTTGTGTGGGTGATTTTACGAAGGCAGCTAAATACGACAACTCACAGAATAAAATTCATGTTCCTGAAGACTACTATAATAACGAGTTTCGATATTTAGCTCCTGAAATACTTGCTGAAACGTTTGACGCCAGGAACTTCGAGAGTTTTAAGATGTCCGACGTGTATAGCTTCTCTTTGGTTCTATGGGAGATGGCGAATAGATGTGAAATAGAAGATTTGGTAACAGGTACATCGTATAAGTTACCTTATGAAGATACAATATCGAATAAGGAGAAAACGTGGTCTGCGATTTATAGTATAGTGAAAGAAAGTAAACCAGAGATTAATGAAAAATGGTTGAATGATCCTATACTTAAAGTAATCACGAAGTTACTTGATGAGTGTTGGAATACGAATCCATCAGCCAGACATACGATTTTAAGAATAAAGAAAACGTTACTGAAACTTAACCCTGATTCTCTCTGATAACTTTCACTATTTATTCGTACTCACTAATTACAAAATTGTAAACATTATTAAGAAAAGATATTAGAAAGAGACATACATTCTGAAGAATAAAAATGTCGAAAATTATTCTTTTAACAATTATTATCGTCAATATTGTTTGAAGAATATTTCTGTAAAAATTTTGGAAATGTACTTAAAACAGAGGATGTTCAATTTTACAAAAAAAATACTATAATAAAGCTAAAAGACCATATGGTTTCTTAAAACCAAGTAGAAGTTTTAAATACAGATTTTTAGTATAAAATAAAACCTTACCAGGTGAAAATATCGAATCATATACAGGGTGGGTCTTAACTAGGTGCAAATAGTTTTAGGGGTAGTTCATTAATATTTCGACAACGGTTACACAAACAAAAAAACGGTTATGAGTTTTTTTTATCGATTTTTTTTTGAAAATTTGGAATTTCTTTTTAGTTTTTGGTTAAAAAACATAATTTCTTGATAATATGGCAACATAGGTAGTAGATTAAATTTACAAGAAAGAAAACCTAGAAAAGGTTCTCAAATTTTAAGCAAACATTTTCTTTTTCGGTATTTTCAAAGTAAAATAACTCGGTTATTTTGGACTTATTTGAAAAACGGGAAAGAGAAAATTATAATAATCTTATCGTGGGTCACTATATGCTTTAGTATACAAATGAATGAATGATTTTATTCAAATAAAACCATTCGATAGTTGAAATCATTCATTCAGTAACCATTCGATAGTTCCCATCGCTAATCGTAATGTACCAGCCCTGAAAATATTTGCACTTATTTAAGACGCATCCTATATAGTCTACAGTTTATAGCATAATGAAATGAAATAAACAAGAGGTTACAGAGAGAACCTACAATGGTTGAACCATCCCATAGTTACAGTAATATCCGTAATATCCATTAGTAATAATTACATAATTAATTACTGCTAAATTATTAATCTTTCAGCCAAACAGATCGCAGCTAATAAGCGTCTAATTGTTATAAACATTATTATAATCTTTCCACATCTGAAGACATGCTTGGTGCTTGTCTTTTTGGCACTGACAGGAATTTTGCTAACCCCTTGCTATTTTAACAATTATTTTTGTCGAAACAATTAAAAATATTTTGCATACAGTTTATTATGCACGATGGTTTTTAGTCTTTACCAAAGGAAGAAATCCTAATGCTGTGATTCTAATACTATAGTAATACCTGTAATACTGTATATGATGAAAACAAAAGGCATCCATTTACCTTGTAAATGACGATCGATGACATTCCCCATATAATTTTACATTCGAAATGATAGCAATCTGATTTCCAAGCCATCTCTGACGCCTTTTTTTTCTCGATATTATTCATTCATCACAGCCTCTTGAGTTGAAGCATAGGTACCTAGGTTTGTTAATAATGTAAATAATTTTTTATTCTTTTGTTTTAGATTTTATTATTGTTTGTTTTATCTTTTTTTATATAGTTTTGATAAGGAATTACTTTTAATTTCTAGAGTTTTTAAATTATTGAAATAAATAAATAAATAAATGATCACCACTCATTTATACCTATTTATTCTGTTGATAAACAATAATATATTGTATTTTTTTTTCTAAAAAGAGTTTTAAGTTTTATATGAGCATTTAGAAAAAATATATATATGTTTCTGTATACAAAGACAAAATATAAATATAAATATATTAAACAATATGTTGTTTTAATTTTTAATAAGCTCACAATCCCGAATCTTAATATTTCTTTAAAATATGCCGGACATAGTAACTGTTATACAGGGTGAGACCTAAATAAATGCACATATTTTCAGGGCTGGTAAATCTAGATAAAAGAAGCATATTTTCTCTTTACCGTTTTTCAAATAAGTCCAAAACAGCTAAGCTATTTTTGAAAATTTAAAATAAGTGATTTTCTCTTTGAAAAATATTTTTTTCTGCGAAAAATACCTTATAAACGTCTTAGTCTGATCGAAATATACCATTCATTCCATAACAATATGTACACTTATTTAAGACTCATCCTGTATAATCTTAATCTAATAAAACAATACGACGTTTTAATAATAGATATTTTTATATATATATACAAAGCGATTCAAATATATTTTTATGCTGAAGTTGCAGTTTTTTTAATGAACTTTTTATTTTTTCGCCCAGTAGATTTTCTGTTCTCATTTCCATTCCAAAAATATATTAATGTTTTATTATTATGAGCAAAAATGTTTGAAATGCACTATTTAATCAAAATATTAATTTTATCACAGATAGAGATTTATATCTCCATATTATTCAGATTAAAATTCAAATAAAAGGCGGGAATACAAAGCGGGGGTAAAAAGTTGGATTTTAATTCACTTTCTTGGCACCAAAGCGCTAGTATCGCATGAATTGACCGAATGACAGAGTTGCAGATCTATATTTTTAGCTTTATTTCACTGACGGCCATGACCTTGATTTTCCACTTTCCACGATTAAAGTGAGGTTATGGTAGGTTTGTTTTGGTAATTTTGTCTGATTTTGTTATTTGGATATTAAATAAATTAACGTTATTTTTAATTAATACCTCAATAAAACTTCAGTTAGCGTACCGTACGTTCTCAAGAACGACTTTAGAAAGACAGAAGCAGCTACTTCATTATTTAATTTTCTGTTCATTCAAAAATGAGTGATAAATTTCGGCAAAGGAAAACCCATGATTCGAAATTCGGGCACAAATACGAAGCAAGTTCCTCTAATAGTGATCGTCCTCCTCCAGGACTTAGAGGAAAGCAAATAGGTTTATGGTATGTATATTTTTCAACAAAATTTATTACTTACATTCGAATAATCACATTATAGGTACGCTAACAGAAATAGGCTTAAGAGGGCTGCTGACACAAGCGGTATAGATCAAGAAGCACGGCTCAAGCGTAAAGAAGAAAAGCTGGAATTAAGACAAAAAGCAACAGATAAAAAACCAGTATATTAATGAGAAGTTTCAATACTGTAATTTCTATTATTGATCTTTTAGCTTGCCACGATTAAACTTTCTGATAATAAGAAATCCCACATTGATTCACTGTTACACATTAAATCAGATAGTTTGATGGATACAGAAGATATAGATACAAACTTTAAAAGTGAATTTTTAAGACATATATGTGGAAGTATCATGGACAAATTGAATTCAAGTATAAGCGAGAAGTATTATATAGAGTTTTACTGTTATATGTATGGTGAATTATTAAGTTAATTGAACGATTTTAGTATTATTAATAAAGATGAAAAGTTGGACAAGGTATTTTATGGTGAATTAGAAGGTAAACATGGTTTACCATCGTATGAGAAAATGTTAAATGTAAGGAAAAAGCTACCTTCAATGAGCATGAGAGAAGAGATTTTAAATTTGATTAATAACAACCAGATTGTCGTTATTAGTGGGGAAACAGGTAAAAAGTTATATTAATTATTTTCTTTGAATAAAAAGACTAAGGGTAAGAGTTCCTTTCCGTGATTGTGATTTTTTTATTTGTTGTGAAAATAAACTAGGTGGGTAGATAAAATTTGTGTGTATACCTGGTATACACCCATTGGGGAATATTGTAGATATCTTCCTGATATATTCCTGGCATTATACTGGTTATTTACTATGCCATCGTTGGGAAATCCTTTTATAAAATTAGAATATTATTACCAAAATCGTATTATCGGCGTTGTGCTGTCTTGTTTTTGATAAAATTTATTGACTGTTGTGCATTTTTTTGACTAACTGGTGGTTTTCTGACCATTTATTCTTGGATGTTTTGGTCCTGAATTGAATAACAAATTGTTAAAATTTGAGTATCTTAAATTAACAAAGTAAGTATAGGCTTGGTGCATTCTCTGCCGGTGCTGCCACCATCGGAGAATATCGTAAACAACTGATATATACAAATACACGGGTTTAAATAGCGAGTATACTAAAAATAAATTTTTAGTGTAATTATTCCAGAAGTGTTAGGAAGTATAATTTGTAAAAATTCTAGAAATAAAAATAAAAAAGTAAATATTTTGACATCTCCAGAAGGTCTAACTTGTATTATAATTTATTATTCCAGCTAAAAACACTTTTAAGATGAGTTCAACTACGACAGCGAGAATAGTTTTACGCACCGGTTTTGCAAGTGGGGTCATAATTGGGGCTATTTCGGCTATAACGAAATTTTTTAAAGGTACATAATTATAACTTTAGAAGATGTTCATAAAAGATTTAATCACTAGTAGATTAAAAAAAGTATACCATTAATATTAGAAGTTATATTTTATCCTCTTATAGTATATTATGTCTATTTAATTTTTTGATTATGTAAAGCGCACTTTGTTTACTCACTTGTTTCGTCGAACTGCTTGAATCCATTTTTGCTTTTGATTAAATCGGTGTGAGAAACTATGAAGCTATAAAATGTTGTTTCGGGAGAGTTGAATATCCGGGAAAGTTGAGTTATTGAATGTTATTGCACCCAACAACACCCTAATTACGCTCTCCTTAAAGCTTTAACATTGTTTTGGCAGTTTTATTAACATTTGAAATTGTCACAACCACAACACGACGCCTAGTTCGAATTCTTTTTCACTTATTTTTTACTACCCAAAACAGTGTTACATCACAAAAACTTCGTATACCTGATTGTTTTATAGCCTCAATAACTGCACTAGCAAAAAACTAAAATACTTATATATTATGACAAAGCCATGATTCAATAAACCCGAAACAGCGTTACATCACGAAAACTTCGTATACCTGATTGTTTTATAGCCTCAATAACTGCACTAGCAAAAAACTAAAATACTTATATATTATGACAAAGCCATGATTCAATATTATTTTAATGCGATCGACATGAACTGCAACCGGGACGGCACGGCGCACAGTGTAACGAAAACTAAAATAGTGGGACATTGGTATTTTTCTTCAGTTATCACTATTCTTGCTGAAATTTTTTGACAGAAATTAAATAATACGACTAGGAATTTTTGCTACAGGGCGAAAACAGTAAAAAAGGCGTAATGGAAGGTCAAAAAAAATACGAAGTTTTATAAAAGGACTTTACAGGTATATTTTTTTATTTACGAAGAGTTTATAGCTCTTATGGACCAAAAACGTTATCAAATTACTGTCGAACAATCATTTATCTCCCGCTAATATGTCAAAACTCAATCAACATTGAGAACAAAGAGAACAACACAAGTGGCAAATATCTTTTAACAGTATTAAATAATATGATAATATGCGAAAAAAACGTATTCAACTTCAACAAAGGAAACCATAATACACACCTCGCAAAATTTCGCATCACTTATATTTTTCTTAGTATTTATTCTTGAAACACTTCAAACATTTTTATTTGAAAATCTTAAATCTAAGGTCTGCCTGAGTTATGATATACTTTCCATTCCTTAACAAGTTGCTATTAATGCAAATAACTTTTGAGATTATTGTTAACCAAGAGAATTTAAGAATACTTTGCAGTTTTCCAAATTAATAAGTGATGCGATAATTTATGTGGGGTGTATATTATTCCAAAATAACAGAATATGTAAGGCACTTACATAAAATATGCTTAAAAATCATTCTCAATTTCTTCCCCATCCATATACAAGAGCCCTTTCGCTTCTGGAAACAAGTCTACTTTTTTATTTTTAGAGTGCTTTGGTTGCAGATGTGAAAGTAGAGGATCTGAATATTTCAATAAGTTGTGCAATATATCTTCAATAGTTTTCTTACGACCACTCTCCCTGGAAACATTTTGGCAGAACGATCGAAATTCTTTGTTTCTTGATTCAGATGCTTCTTCGGACATTTTGCCGATGGGTATAAATTGAAAACGTTCACAGATATCTGCATCATGAATCAAAAGCATATGAATCAGGGCCATGTAAGTGAAATATTAAAAATGGTTCCAGCAAAAGTTTCCCAATTATGACGGATGATGGCGCTGATCGTCAAATTTTTGGACAGGGATTTTGCTTACCGACAATACGACGTGAGCTACGACCGGACCAGGACCAATCAGAATGATCAGTCTTTCTTGGACATTTGCCGTGGAAGTGTGTGTTAATTTCTGTTGTGATAAGTGTGGTTGTATTTGCAGTTTGATTTTCGGTTTTTGATATTATGTTAAAATTAATTTTGAAGTATTGTATCACCTGTTTTTATGTAATAGTACTTTTTTTAGTTCTATGATCTGATATGTTATGATTTATTAATGTTTGTTTAACAATGTTATACCGAAGAGGTTATACTTAATATACTTATCAATTTGCATAGCCTAACTTTTTTTATCAATAAACTTTGTAGATTTTCAGATTATTTCATTCCATTTGTTTCCGTTTGTAATTTTATTTTTAAGACATATTATGTGATTGTTTCACATAATATGTTTTAAAATAAAATTACAAATAGCGAATAAAAATAATTAAAAAGCGTATTTTACAATTCCCCCGGCCCCGCACCCCTTTGGCTAACCTATAATGTCAGCTATGTCGAGAGATGGCGTTACGAAAATGGAACCGATTTATTACAAGGAATCTTTTTCGTTAGTATATTCTGTGATATGAATGCTTGAAGGCATATAATACCAACCGTAAAAGGGAAACAAATAGTTCTGCTGTCTCTTTCGTGTCACCAAACTACGGTCGAATCAATGGAAAACGTAATTATTGCCGAAGAGATTTATTTTTTTCTTCCAGGTTCGGATCTAGGTGGACGAAATTTATATGTGACAGTATACTAGAAGGTTCACTCTATGATATTTTGTATATGTAACCTTGCGCGAATGTAAGCGTTTTTTGAAAGTCATAATAAACATGTAGAAACAAGACTTGAAAAAAATTGGGACTTTTTTCAGGTTCGTTGTTGGTAAAAGACTTCTCTTTACGGAAAAAATGTTGGAATTGAACAACACATGAAATCTTCTCAATCGATCACTTCTGAAAATAATAAATTTCATTTTATGAAATTTTTCTACAGATTTGGTAAATTAAGGAAACTATAACTTTAACCCGCCATAACTCCCCGACTAAAGGTGTACGCGCACTGAATCGGTACCAGTCCGGCTAGAAACGGCGAAGGCGGTGACTCGACTATCGTAGATAGGTAGAGGTAGGAATCTGGCCTCTACAGGCCGAAATGTTTTAGTGGACGCCGCACAATGCTTCGAACATATGGCTCTAGAGGACAAAAATGCAAAACTTCTCTTTTATTGTAGGCGATTTATTCAAACTAGGTTTATTTGACACAAATGATGAGTACTCTCATTGTACTAAATGATGATGTTCTTAGTCCCACGTTTATGAAAAAAAAAAATCTTATAAATAATAAAAATGTGGGAGCTGTGTTCCATCTAAAGAAATAATAATTTATAGTATGAAAACGGTGTAAGTATTAAATAAATCCCTGTGATAAAAAAGAATTGGAATAACATTAGAACATGATTCCTACAATATAAGCCAATATAAGATAAAAATATTTTTCTTTAATGAAAAAGAAACATTAATGCTATATTTAATTAAAGAAAACTGAAGATACTATAAATTTACTTTAGGACAACAAAATGCATAGATCGTAACTACTCTGATTCAGAAGAATCACTGCTGACAGAATCTTCCAAATTTATAGTATCCAAATCACAGGTAGATGAAATATCCTCACATATATGATATTTCTGTACATCAGTTTCTAATATGTTACTTTTTCGCGTTGTTACTGTTCTTTTTGTTGGTATGAGGGGTTCGGATGTTAATAGTTCCCTCTTTAATAGACCATATCAATATATTATTTTTTCGTTTTCTTGGGTATGAAGTTTTATAATAAATTGAAAGATGGAAACTTTTTTATGCGACGTTTCGCTCCAAAATAGTGGGCTTTTTCAGGCTCAAATGGTCTCATTTGACTGGAGGGTTCATCAATATCTAATAAAGAACACATTTTTTGAAATACAAATAATTTTGAGTTTTTGTCCTTATGATCAAGCCAAGTATTAACCAGATCGGCATTGCTTATCAATTTTACTCCATCTGAAAAGTATTATAAAATAAAGTTCGTCGCAAGCAGACGCAGGTGAACTATACAAAAATTAAAAGTGTATGAATATGACAACAAAAATATTCAATAAATACGATATGTTTTGATATGCCTTTTTGAAGTTTGAAAACGTGAAATTTTTATACCCATTTAAGAATCATCTTAAAAAATAAATAAAAACTAAACAATCACGAACTTGTTTAGAAATAAATTTAAAGTATATACCTTGTTTAACAATATCCATAGTGGCTTTCAATTAAGTACGTACTAACTCGTTTACGTTTAACTCCATATACAGAACTACTATGAATGTTATTCTTTTCATTGTATAAGATAATGATCGCAAAATTTATTTTTAGTGAAAATATTTGCTAACAAAAAAACGCTGTTTATGAAAAATAATATACAGGATGGTTGAACATTGCTATAAGTATAAAATTACATATTCAGATATTAGTAAATTTTAACTTTTTTTTCGATTTTTGTCCATGGGACGAAGCACTGCGCCGGCGCCGTCTATATGTACGATGGTCGCAGTCGCTTTTGCTGGTCGGTCCGATCCGATGCAGTGCGCGCCCTCCTTAAGAGGTCAACTCAAGAAATATCTCACATGGTGGAGCTCTGGGACGTCCTTTATCCATCTATATAAAAAACTAGTTGAATTAAATGTTTTATTTTTTGGGCTAATGTCCCGCATTTCCCGATTTCGTTACACTGTGCGGCGGCGTGAAATACATATTGATAATTTCGGATTTCTGCCGTTGAAGCGCTGCGGTCGGAATTTGTTGAAACGAACGGAAATGCACCAAACCTATAAAAGAATCATATTAGGCTCCTACCTTAGTCTTTATATTCAATATGACTGAATCTCTTCTTATTATAAGAGTATATTGTTTAAAGGTTGTGGCAAGACGACGCAAGTTGCCCAGTTCATTTTAGACGATCATATCGAACATATGAAAGGGTCCGTGTGCAAAATAGTGTGTACACAACCACGTAGAATAAGCGCTATATCAGTAGCGGAAAGAGTTGCGGAAGAAAGAGACGAGAAGTTAGGACACAGTGTCGGTTTTCAGATTAGATTAGAAAAGTAAGTTTCAGTTAATACAAACCAATTTCTAATGTTTAAAATAATTTATTTAAATAATATGATATAATTTTTAGGATAGCTCCTAGAGATAAAGGCTCGATTCTATATTGTACAACAGGAGTGTTGTTGAAATTCATGGAGTCAGACCCATCTTTGGCCAGTGTTTCCCATCTGATAATCGATGAGATACACGAAAGAGATGTGATATCGGACTTTTTAATTACCGTTCTAAAAGATGTAATACGTTTTAGGAAGGATTTGAAGGTAAGATTTTTTGTTACTTTGTACAGGGTGTCCCATTTTCGTGTTTTACAGGGTTTCTCGTTTATAAGTAGAGATACAAAGTTGCGGTTTTCACATCACTATGCTACTTTTTTATGAAACTAAATAAATATGTTGCATACAGATTTTTCTAGCCCTCTTAGTTTCTGAAATACAGGGCGAATTTGAAAATGTTACATTTTTCTACCCCATTCATATCTCGGTTGTTTTATAAGTTATGGAAAAGGCGAATACTGATTTCCATATAGTTTTTCAGGTAGAATCCAGTGACATAACTAGTTTTTCGTTGGGAGCTGTCGTTTACGAAATATGAGTCAAACTAGATTTCTCTCATATCAAAACAAAATATTTGTTTTGATATGAGCTTTCTAAAAGATACTGTTCTCTATACTTATTTTCATATATAAGATAAAAAAATGCATTATTTAATTTTATTAACATAAACAATCTTAACTATTATTAGTATTTATGTCATGGAATCAGTGTTATTTGTAAGTGATAAGAAAGATCTATTTTTAGAATGCAATAGAGATCATAATCATGATACAAGATTGTACAAAAATTTAAAATCAGAAAAATGTAATTATACCTTTATTCATCAAAATGTACAATTTAACGCTGTAAAAATTTACATTTCTTTTCCCATGGCTATTAGAAACTTGCCAAGAAACAAACTAAAGCAGAATTTTTTCTTAGATAGCTCAAAGGCTGCTCTCGACGTCGGAAGTGGATTTTAATTTGAATATTAAAAAAAATGTATTTGTAGATCTAAGATATATCTAGATTTAAGGAAATTATGTTATTTTTTTCTACCCATTCAATAGCATATTATATTTTGTTTTCTTTGTTTAGGGTTCCTCGTTCATATAAACATTATTTGTATTTTTTTTTACTGGAATGAATAAACTATTATCTATCTATCTATACTTTAAAATGTTTTGTTAAGTTACTTGAGAAAGACTCTATTTTTGTGCTGAATTCTAGATTATACTCATGAGCGCAACACTAAACGCAGAAGCATTTTCCCGATACTACAATAATGCTCCCCACATTAATATTCCTGGTTTCACTTATCCGGTACAAGAGTATTTTTTGGAGGATGTTCTTCAGAAGACGCGCTTTGTGTTTGAGGAATCCCACACGCCAATATGGATACAAAAAAAGAATTGGGAAGAAACTGAAGCAGTACTTAAAGATCGAACGGATTACGTAGAACCGTACATTCGCAAGCTTCAGTCGGAAAATTTGTATGACAGGTAAATACAGAATGTCCCTGAAATAACTGCAAGTATTTTAAGGGCTGATAGATCTGGCCAAAAGAAACATATTTTTTCTTTACCATTTTTAAAATAAATTGTGATATGTTGAAAATATAAAATTATCAAAATTTTTTTTTCGCAAAAAAAACTTATGGGCGTGTTTCTGGCATCGAACTATAGAGTTAAAATACTTGCACTTATTTCTGGGATTTTATATTTTTCTTTTCATTTTCCGAAAAATATTGAAAAACTTTTGAATGCCGCTTGTTCAGTGTCCGGAAATTTGTTTATATATTCGAGAGAATGCAATGTTGCCACCTCCTACGTTATCCACATTCTGTATGTTTATAATTTATAAGTTCACATTTTTCTACAGTTATTTTCAAAAAGTTCGCAACCAAATACAATTTTTTTTCAATTTGATTGAATTACATCTGATCCCATTTCCTGTGAACTTTTTGAGGCACACTGTATTTTTTTGCTTTTAGACATGTTTTGAACGAATTACGCAAGCCCGAGAGTGAAAAATTGAACGTGAAATTGATTTTTGCGTTGCTGAAGTATATCTGTCAAAAGGTAAAATTTACTTTTACTCGTTTACTTTTTGGACTAAAATTTTCTAGCTACCTCACTGACTATTAGATACATTTCAGGAGAAAATCAATGGTGCTATATTAGTGTTCGTGACTGGGTTCGCCGAAATCCAAGGCCTCATGAAACTAATGGAGCAGTCTTATCAATTCCCATCTTACAAATACAAAATTTTTCCTCTGCACTCTCAACTGCCTACAACAGAGCAAAGACAGATATTTTTGCCTGCACCGCAAGGTAATATTTAAAAAATTAGTGATTTTTTTTTATTTTTCGAAAGTTTCTGTTACATTTTGGCGCCCAACGTGGGGCAGTAAAAACATATTTCCCACATTTTATTTGTTTAACGATACCAGTTTCTAAGTATTGAATACACGTGTCTGTGGATACTGGTAGTATAATTTTGACCCACAGCAGAGGTAGGCCCATGAGTTTTTTGCAAAAAAACTTGTTGATTAAATAGTTAGTTTATGACAAAAGTTTCTATTTTTTATTTTTATAAATCTCACTACATAAGTCTCTATTTTTTATTTTTATATTTACAGGAACGACGAAAATAATTATAGCAACAAATATAGCGGAAACATCAATTACTATTGACGATGTCACTGTTGTCATAGATTGTGGATTTATAAAAATGTCAAATGTGGACCCGCAGACTGGTATTGAAACGTTACAACCTGAAAGGGTAAGTTTAATAACTGTATTATTGTATTTTCCATTTAAAAAAAATCTTCAATAATTTTTTTGGTGACCATTCACAATTATGAGCTTATCTATAGCAGACATACGTGAAATTGTGAAATTAATTTAGCTATTGTGAATATCCTTTCGGAGAAATTTCAGGGGAAATTAGAGGACATCTGGAGATGTCTTTTTTACATGTTTATGGTTTATTTGCTACAAAAATGGGATTATTATACTACATTTAGTTACAGCAGTGCCATATTTGTCTGTAGGTAACATGGGCGAACGCTTCACAACGTAAAGGTAGAGCAGGGCGAGTACAAGCAGGTGTATGTTATCATTTGATCAGTAAAGTTCGTTACGAGATGCTTGACAGGTTTCAAAAACCGGAAGTTCTACGAAAACGACTGGAGAGTGTCATTCTCCAATTAAAAATGTTGCAAGTAAGTAAAAAAAAAAATTGCATTCCTTATAATTAAACTACCTACTAATATATACAGTGTGTCTGTTAAAAAGTGCCAATATTTTAATTGTTTAGTTCAACCATTAGAAACACGCAAGTATGTATTGTCATGTATTGTCTGTGACTATACTTTTCCTCCTCTATTTTTTCCTTCATTATATTCGCCATTAGTCTGCTGACACTTTTCAATTCCTTCTCACCTCTTAGGAGGACTTCTACTACGTTATCTTTCGAAATTTTATGCCCAATCTCGTTGTACGTTTGTACCATAGACTTAAAATAAAATATAGACTACACTATTTACATCTCAACGCGGACAAACAATATTTTTTGTACACATGTTTACTTCTGGGTACAGTCGACCGACCTTTCTTCATCCAGCCTATGTTGTCACGTCTTTAATATTATCAATATTTTTTTCTTGTTATACACATATATTGAGATATTAATACTACAGTTTAATAAAGTAGGTTTTAATATTCCATAGATGTATTAAATAGTCCTTATACTACTAAATTATAAGTCGGATACTGTTTAAAAAGGATAAGTCTCAAGAATTTTTGAGCAGACTAATGGATCCTCCTGAACCAATTTCGGTGACTAATTCGTTGACTCTTCTCTCCCGATTGGGGGCCCTCGATGAAGATGAAGCTCTCACTCCGCTGGGACTCCACATGGCGAAACTACCGGTAAGCTCACTGTGCCAAAATGCTCATCATGGGCGCTCTGTTCAACTGCCTGGATCCTGTTTTATCTGTAGCCGCTGCATTAGGTTTGTTTCTCATTCCAAAACTTACAGTAAAACCGTAGTATAAAAAATCTAGTAGCATTACTTCTAGTCCAATCCTTTGTTCATTTTCTGTTTAACACTATAAACTTGTTCTCACTACGCAAGATTTCTAGTGCCTGCGAATATGATAGAATTGTTACGCAATTTTCCGAATGTGTAGTCGGCATATACATTAAAGAATATACAAAAATACTTCATAAACAATCTGCAAATATATACCTTTCATTTAAAAAAGAATCATCACAATTGGTGAAGCGGTTGCGGCGTAATGGATGGGACAAAAACCCTTTCGTCGGTGAAACGTGATAAACTGCTAAGTCCATTATTCCTAATGTTACAGGAGAGCAAAAAAACAGTACAAAAAAATATGTACACATGTGTGAAGTATTTTGATGCGTTAATATGATAAAGAGATAAGAATTTTATTTGCTGGGGAACAATAAAACTCTATATTTCGTGTTACGTCATTTTTTTCCGATACAATAGGGAGATAGCAGATATTCGTCTTGCAGAAATAAGAAATAAAAATATACTTCTCGAGATAGCAACCTTTATTGTTTGAAATTTTAAAAGTGGGAATGAATATTACCCAAACAGATTTATAAATAATCAATTAAATTTAAAAAATATGATATTCATAACCATATATTTATAATATCGTCGGTCTAAAAAGCAAAACATACAAGTCCAAAACGAATAAATTTTTAATGAAAATTTTAAATTTTTTGCATTTTTAAAGAACTGAAGTAGCAGAATTTTGGACTTAATGAATATGAAAATAATTTAAAAATTAAACTTATAATTCTTAGAAGATATGGTAGAATCCTTCCATGCTTATCCTAATTTTTATACAACGGTAGAGTAGACCGAGCTGGGAAGACTGTGCGTGATTTTATTAAATTTTTATTACTTTTCTCCTTATTTTTTAATTTTTATAAAAATTATGTTTCATTTACGTGAAAATACGTTGAAAAAAATAAAACTGATTAGGTATTATGGAAATTCTTGTACAAGTAAGTAATGTTATTTAAACTATTTATAGCACGCCGATGAATTGCTCGTATATAGAAATTTCGTTTTCCCCTTACCCTTTACGGATACCCCGTATTTACAGAACGGATCGACGCAGGGTCACTATTATATAGATAACTATTAGGGGGGCCCTTATATAGAACGTTAATAATAGGATTGCTCATCCTCATACTACGTATTATTCGCCCCTTCCCGCGCTTCAGCATGACAGTTGTGACGTCATTGCATTGTCATTGCCTTCGTGGCCTTGCATTAGGATAGTGTCCCTGATTTCTTGCCTATGGTGAAACTTATAAAAAGTAAAAGCTGAGCAGGGCTGAGTTAATCTCGATTTTGTCAATTTTAAATGTCTTTAAAGTTTTTTTTTTCAAATAAATCCAAAAACAACCGAGTTATTTCGCTTTTAAAATTTCCAATTGTGTTGTGGATTGTGACAAAGTGAATACTAAGTGCCCACGATTTTGTTTATTAATTATTTTAAAGCAAAATATGGAAATACTCTAAAAAGAATGCTTGCAAAAGGTGATGCTGGGAACTGCTTTTCTTAAAAAATGTATTATCCGAGTATTTAATACGATTTATACAGTTAATTTTCTATACTGCATACATATAAGGTGTTTAAATAAATAAACTAAATAATGAATGTTTTGCATTCGGTAACGGCCGGATAAGGACTAATAACCATGACAAGGGCTACAATGACGTCACAAAGCGAGTAGTTTTCGCATGCACCTGGCGGACACTTTTGGCTGAATGAGCAGTCCTATTAGGTTAACTGTTCTTGCTTTATAGTTCATTAATAATTAATGAGAATTAAGAATAATTATTATTCTTAACAATATTTGCTTTTGCATTGCATTATGGAATTTGCATTGCATTGGTTTACCTTGCATTAGGGTAGTTCCCTGATTTCTATACAGGGTAAGTCTTAAATAAGTGCAAATTTGTGCAGGGCTGGTAAATCTCGATAAAAGAAACATAATATTTTCTCTTTACCGTTTTTTTTCAAATAAATCCAAAACAACCGAGTTATTTCGCTTTTAAAATTTCCAATTTTTGCTATAATTTTGAGAATCATTGGATTTTCCTTCTTGTAAATTTAATCTACTACCTATATTACCATATTACAAACAAAGTATGTTTTTAAAATAAAAATTAAAAAAAAATAAAAAATCTTAATTTTTTTTTAAATTCCAAATTTTCAAAAAAAAATTCGCGCAAAAAACCTCATAATCGTGTTTCTTGGGTCGAAATATACTACCCTAAAAATATTTGCACTTATTTAAGAGTCACCCTGTATATAATAGGGAAAAATTGACCAAAACGTAAGGCGAAAAAATACGACTAAGAATCTGTGAGTTTGCTTTAGCGTGATCGTAACGAAAATTACGGAGATAGCAGCATTTCGGTGGCTATTTCAGATCACTAGGAGTTAGCAGATATTATTGAGTTAAAATAAAAAATTTTCTTTAATGGGAAAAAATATCTTTGCTTTCCCTACTTATAGAGTATTTTTTTCTCTTTCTAATGGTATAAAAAAACTTATTAACGTAAAAAATCGAGTTAGCAGGTTATCACGTTTCACTGACGCTTTGAGGTTTTATACATGGTTTTATACCATGCTGGCAACTCTTACTTTTGGGTCGGTATTTACATGGCGGAAGTAAATCGCATAGGGATCTTATTAAATCGGAGTAAGAGAAATGCGACGGTGCCCCTTTCCCTATCAAGCAAAGTATCGCAAACCGCTTATTTTTAAAAGACTTTTTTTTGAAAAAAGATAACTTGATCATTATATATGTTTCTGAGCATCTGAAATGGAATTATAAGGATATCGTTAGGGTATCCATATTTTTTATAAAAGAAAACGTCAGTAATCACGATAATTTCAAAAAATTAACTTTTTAACACAACACATAATAACTCAAAAACCACTTTAGATATTGAAACGTTGTTTTTAATTTGAGGTTCGGATCTTTTAATACAAGTTTAAATGAGAAAAATTCGATAGGTTTGTTTTTTTTTTCATTCAAAATTTAAAAAAAACCGTCCATTTACTTTTAATGCATAGCAATTTTCAGCAGTCGTGTAACTTTCTTATTTGTAAAGATTTTCACATACTGTCTGCGGTGAAAATATAGCAGACATATTAAGAAAGTTAAAAAAAAAACTACAACCAATTATTTCTAATGGATTTGATTTTTGAATGCAGAGTTCTAATAGCGCGACCACTGTCGAACACCAACTCAATTCCACTTATTTTTACCAAAAGTGCAAGTGTTTCTAACTTGCACCTAAAAATTTACAAGCTATCCCCTCTATATCTCTGGTTTTATTTGGACGTCTTTATGATTTAGTGTGTCGTGCTGTAATGAGATTTTATAACTAATAAAATGCCTTTTTACAAATTAAAAATATCAGAATACTTGTTCGAACGATCTTATAAAATCGTTTTTAATTTTGCAATTTTCAATTTGGCACATATCGGAGAATATAAACATTGTAAATAATAAAAAAATAGTATAAACAAAATTTTCAGATTTTAAAGATGGTTTTCAATTAAGTGCAACCGATCAAGGAGCAGCTGACAGAGCCAAGGACAGGTTGGCCAACAGATGCAATAGCGATCATCTTGTGATGCATTTTGCAGTAAGTTTCATTTTTTGTTCCTTATTTTATTTTGAGCCATCCAATCGAATTGACAGATATTTTCATTTGTCTCAATTTCTCAATATTTTTGTTTATATATTTCGATTCAAATATTTCCTAAATATTTCAATATCTGTATAGATTTGAATTATGCGTGACGTGAGCTGTCAATTGCGCAGATGGCGCAGTTCGAAACCTAATTTATTTAAAATATAATTTTCTGTATAATTTTTGTTCCTTGAATTTTTCCGATTTTAGATTAGGGGATTTGAAACAGCGAGTAACCCCTCAGCATTCTGCTGGGAATATTTTCTAAGCGCCCCCATCCTACGTCTTCTAACAGACATGCGCAAGCAGTTCGCCACACTCCTCTACGACATGAAGTTTATTGCTGACCCTAATCCAAGAAGCAAAGCCAACAATCTCAACAGCAACAACCTGAGTTTGGTCAAGGCCGTCATTTGTTCGGGCTTGTATCCCAACGTTGCCATAATGAAGCAAGTATCATAGATGTAGAGATATAATACCGTGTGATCGAAAAAAAACCGGCATCAGAGACTGCTGGGGAACTAACTAACCTAACCTTAACGAATTTTAAACAACACCATTTAAAAATGATTTTTATTCAATATAAAAATGCCAACTGGCTGTAACCACCATTAAAAAATAGAGTACGGGCCAAGTAAGTGACATTTAGACCTAACCTAACCTAACCTTCTCAAAATTATCAGCGATCGTCATTTCCCAGCCGATTTGGCGCCGTTTTTTTTCGACCGTTTATAATATAAATCTGGTCTAGTTATTTACTTGTAGAAAAGGTATATTTATTTACGTGTAGAAAAGGTATATTTATTTACGAGTAGAAAAGGTATGAATAAAGCTCTGCTAAAAACGTTGTTTCCTATTAATAACATATTTTGTAAAACATTCAATTTTAATATCAAAAAATACAGAGAAAAACAAAAAAAATAGGTTGAAACTAAAGCAATGAAAACAAGCTTATCAAGACATTAACCCATTGAATAAGTAACTAGACATTAACTCTCATAAAAAAGGCACATTATATCAAATACTTTTCCTTAGGACGAACAAATTAGGGAAACCATTATTCCTGAGGTCCGTCCTTCATGAAAGAATGAAGTTCCATCCCAAATCCATACTCTGTCGTGCTGTAGCTGTAACAAATTCCTTAGTCGTGTATTACCAGCGTTTGAAGTCGTCGTCATTGTACATCCACGACGCTACAATAGTTTATCCCTTGCCGCTAGTCTTTTTCGGAGATCAATTTTGCAGGTAAGAATCCTGTTAAAAAAGTTTGTATGTATGTTTGTTACTCTTTAACGTAAAAACTACCGAATTAATTTTATTGAAACTTTACAATAGTATATATGCTATAATTTATAAAGATATTGTGTGAATTTTCCAAAATATAACGATAAGTGAAGAAAACCTTAAATTAAAAACATGAGTATGATTAGATATATACCCAGTATAATGGTATTTACCCAAATTCAATATACCATTTATTGAGCATATGAGTATATACCGGGTTTAAAAATTGGGTATTTACCTAAATTTCAATATACCAGGTACTTGTCACTGGCCTTAGAGCTCGAACTCACTGACGACCCGGCCGCAACGACCTACCGTCGCCGCGCCGTCGCGTCGGCTAGCCCGATATATTGCGTTTATAGCTGCGGCCAGATGAACGACCAATTTCAACATAGTTGTCAGATTACCAATTAGAAAATATTGTTTCAGAAAGAATTAAGTTTCAGAAATGTTAAAATATCCGAGTTAACTAAAAAGCGAAGCTGCTATTCATAAGCTTATTAAATGTTCTAATATTAAATAATGCATTTAAAATATTCTTGGACTTTTCCTTAATAAATACTGGTGTGGTAAATGGAGTAAGTAAAATCTCCAACCCCGACTACACGATAACGTCGTTATTTCCATGTTTTTCAAATCCGCTATGCCTGCTATTCCATCACTCGTTTCATAACAGAATATTCTACATCCTACGTCTATGTAATTTAATATGTGTAGAGTGAGACTTGTAACTCGTGAGATTTTCAGCATTATATCAATAAAGGACAAAAACAGTATTGTTCCTAAAGGTGCGTCCAAACTTGAGCATTTTAGCCCGAACGAACCGAGCGCGCACGAACAAGCAGAACAAATAGGCCGAACAAAAAGCATTGTGTACGCGCGACCGCCAAAAAGGGAGATATTCTGTTTCTTTTTTCTACTGATATGGACTTCTACTCATGGCTCTTATCGACTTTAGAAGTAAACATATTAGGGCCATCTTAAAAAAAAGGTCGTCAGACACTGGCTCCAAATATAAGGTAGAAAGTTTAGCTTCCAGTTATTTCAATGTTTACAATATAAATTCCTCTTTTTTATTGTTACTGTGAATCTACAACAGTAAATACTTCTATTTTTATGAATGTTTAAGTTACTTTTACTCTTATTTTTTTTTAAAAATAATGTACCTAGTAGAAATATAGTCTAATGAACCATGTTTGAAAAAAGTTAAATTAGATATAATATTTAAAATACAGTAGTCCTCCTTGTACATGACTACAATACAACTAAAAAAACTAATTTAATAAAAAAACAACAAGTGGTTGTAGAAAAACTGTACAGGTAAAAAAAACAGGTATCATACCAACTATAGATAGAGTATGTCATATAAAAATGTTTTGAATTTTTACTAGAATCGACCCTTGATAAAAAAAAGGGACTAGATTTAAGTTTCCCTTTGATCCAGTCCATACTGTTTCTTTGGATTTTCTGCACGTGTGCAAAAACTACACTAAAACACTATATCTTATAGAAAATAAAATATTGTGCGTTGAATTGGAGGGATTTCATCTGAAAAATTATTAATTTGGAAGAAAACCGACAACAAGCGACAGAAAATAATAATATTTTAGTGCAGTCTACTGGTCGCAACGACCAACCGACGGCCAGGACGTTAGCACAAAATATACACCATACAGAAGCGACAAAGAGATTTGCTTCAAAATTTTTAGGAGGGGGTAATGCTGGTTAACTGTCAAACGTGACGTCAAAGAATTATACACCAAAAAAAAATTCACGACCGCAGGTATAATTATTTCTAGATATTATGCATAAAAGACTAAAAAATATATTTCATAATTATTTATTTATTTTTAATTCTAAATAAAAATACTGATTTAAATCCCTCTAGTTTTTAAAAATTAAATAAACCTGCCTTTCATCATTTTCTATTAAAATCTAACAATTTTCTTTCAGTGTGAAATGCTGTTCAAGGCGCACGGATGTCAAACGTGACGTCACGCAATTAGTTCCCATTTGACCAATGCTATTCAAAGCTCTTTGTCGCTTCTGTATGGTGTATATTCTGTGACGTTAGTGTGCGCTGTATCATTTGATTTAATGGCTTTAGCGGCAACAGCGGCCTGGCCGGTGCGACCTGGTCGTCAGCGTGTTCGAGCTCTTAGCCACAGCAACGCGTGGATGAGGAACCTCTAGATATAATACAAATGAGCTGTTTTATTTCGTTTGCAGGATTCACGAAAGTGACTTTAGTGGCGTTTCCATAAACGGTACCATGCGATTTAGATGCAGTGAAAGTACCTCTGCTGTCATTGCCAAGTTAAGAAATCGCATCAATTCTATTTTAGAACATAAAGCTTCGCATCCTGGTCCAATTGATTGGACAGTGTCTTCATCTGAAGTTATGGTCTTGAGGTAAATATTGTCTTATTTTTTTCGATTGCATTTATAGTCTTAGTATTACTGATTCGTGCAGTTTTAGACTTGTTAATTATCGATTATTTCTAGTGATGGAATAACTCGAGCGAAAATTCGCCCGTGTACTCGATTATTGAAATAACCGACATCGCTCGATTATGAATGAGCGATGCCAGTGACGAGTTACGAACGACGAACGCAACGCAAGCTATCCGATTTTAAAATGACATACTCGATAAAAAGCTTTTCTACATACATTGCAGGTAGCAAATTTATACGACTCCGTCCGTTGCGTATCTGAGGGACAAAATTTTACGACCTACATCGACAATGCTTTGAAATAAACTAAATCAAGCGACCAAGCGATTCGCTCGTCGCTTGCTACTTGCCATTCGTCACCGAAAGAATATGTGCCCTGCGCACGCAACTTACTGCTTGTCGCTTGGCGTTAACGAGTACTTACAACAAGCGACGGGCGAAAACCCGTATTTTCAAATACGAGTGATATTTCGCTCGAGCGATCACTCGGTTATTGCAATCGCTTGAAACTCGAGTACTCGATTATCGAAATTAATCGGTTTTTCCCATCAGTAATTATTTCTTTTCTAAGACATCTATGGCCCGTCGAGCCAATGCCGTCTCTAATAGAACAGCCTTGGGGCGAGATTTATGACGTCACGCTAGTTAGATACTACGGATTAATAAACATGTTGTAGAATACATGGAAAACATAATTATTCCTCAGATTTTTGGTTTGTATTTTAAAAATGATATAGTTTACATGAAATATACATAATATACAGTTAATAACTACAACATAATAGTAATAAATAATTTGGCAAATAGACTATGAACCATACGAATGCAGCAAATGTTTTACAATATACAAATAATGTATAGGTACATAAGATATTGGGTAAAATGTAAATATATTTTAAATTTTGGGGTTTGAAAATCGATCTAATTTAACAAAAACATTCAATATCTAACTAAACTAATAGTGATGCATTATTATTTGCATACACAAAATTTATATGTATATTTTGCAAGTATCATTGTTCGAAAAATTATATTTACAAATAATACAATACATATCATCTAAAAAAAGGCGTCAGCGATGGCAATGAAATGAAGATCGCTGGCATTTTATATGTAAAGTTATTCTAAAATTTTTGATTTTCTTGGAATTTTTAGGTTCGGGAAAACGCTGATTTAAGTTTTCATTTGGGGTTTCATTATTTTTATTTGGTTTAAAAAAACAACACTGATGAAGGCTAATATTATAGCCTTCATCAGTGTTGTGTCATATGAAAAAAATAGTGTCGAATATAATCCAAAAAATGACATATAAAATATTCACACCACATAACGTTTACTGCACTTAATAAACTAATATAAACTTATCAAAAGATGACCACACATATTTTTTAAAATTATTATTCTTAACACTAAAACTATCTACATTGACTATGGAGTACGCAGTAAACATTATGTGGTGCGTGGTGTGAATATTTTATATGTAATTTTTTGGATTATATTCGACATTATTTTTTTCATATGACACAACACTGATGAAGGCTATAATGTTAGCCAAAACGTTTTTTTTTAACCAAATAAAAATAAGGAAAAACCAAATGAAAACTTAATCAGCATTTTTCCCGAACCTAAATCCCAAGAAAATCAAAAAATTTAGAATATTTAGAAACAAGGTTCAAGAATATCAAATTTTCCAAGATTGTAAAATTCTAGTTAATTATTTTATGTGTACAATTATTTAGGGAATGTCATCGATGTTCATTTCCAAGCCAACTAGACGCCGATTTTTTTCGATGATACTGTATAATTTTTACATAAAATGTAAATAACATTAGACCAATTAAAACAAAGAAATATGAATTTCTTAGTACTTTTAGTAACATCTTTATTCTTAAAACTTAATTTTGTATTGCAAATATACCAATTTTATTGTTATTTTATTCATATTGTATTCAGCCATCACTTAAATATTTGATATTAATTTGGTATTATAAATAATCAACACTATTCAGTAAAAATTACTGAACAAATATATGTTATGCTTTACATACATTATATTATCAAACAAAAACACATTCTTCTTTTAAACCTTATCATTCTTGTCTTTACAAAAATATTTTTTAATTTTGAACTCAAAATAATAATCTTTTTCATGATCTTTAATACACATATTCTTTATTTTTTCCTAGATCATAATACCTACTTACGTGTTTATCTTACGTGTTTGAATCTATCGAAGCTGAACCAACAACATATGGAGTGGAGATTCCACAATATGAATAAAATAAACATAATTGTCCAGTTTTCTTTAATACCATCCTGGGAGAATATTATTTTTAAATTTATTAAAGATATTTTCAATAGAATTGTCTTGATTTATAACTCGTACCCACTTTTCTTGCTCTTCCGGATACTTTAGGCTGCCTAGTATAACTATCCTTTCTACCAGGAACACAACAAAGATGAGGCATAGCACCAAAAACACACTCCACTTAAGCTTTATTGATGAATTGTTAGAGTCTTAAAAAACCCACACAAAAATCAGGATAAATAAAAATTTATGGGCACTTTTAGATTAAAGCACTTAACAAAACGTGTAATATTTCGTGTTTTTTATGAGAAACAGAGTGACCATCATAGTAACCATATATCTGGTAATACTTTATGTCACTTAAACACCAAAATAATTAGTTTTTTGCACTACAATAACAAATAATACCAAAAATCAACCGACAAAATATGAATACAGAATCTAACCCAATATCTAAGTATGTACAGCTGATGAAGTAAACAAAAGTCCGCCCGTAGGCTGATCTTTTATAGAAGGCATTGGTCGAGCGAAACAAATATATTTATTGTATTCTTTTGTTTTTTTATTAATAATTCTATCTAGTGTTGTAAAATGCTCAAGAATTTGTTTTTGAAGGAAGTTTCCCGGAATTCAGAATTTTTATTCTGAATTTTCGCGTTTTTTTCTTTGAAAACGTTTAGAATAAAAAGAAGAAAAAAATTATTACGTTATCTTCTTTCTGAACATGTTTATTTGCAGGTAAAAGATTAAAACTGGCTATAACTCGTAGTAATTTTCGTAAGAAATAAAATATGTATATTATAGCTTATATGGCTGGAAAGCTTAAAAATAGCCCTTTTTATGAAGTCATGGCCAACTATTGAAAAAAAGCATATGTCAAAATGACAGGCATTAGAAAAAACGCAGAACACATTCTCATTAACAATATGATTATCTACAACTTTCATCTGAAAAACTTTTAATTTTTTTTAATTTTTAAAATGGCGAATTTTTTTTTGAATTATCTATTAAGCTATAAACTTTTTCAAAAATCCAAAAGGCGCATATATGTGTCCTCACAAAACTGTATTCTTTCTCCAAAGCTCCAGCAGATTCCAAGAGACCCATCGCAGAAAACTCACCCTGTATATGCGCCTATTTTTAGAAAAATATTAAAAAAGTGTTTATAGCGAACGTTCTCTTTAATTCTTGTATGTACATGCGCGTTCGTGTTTATGCATTTGCTTATAAGGGAATGTTCCCTTGTAACAAATGGGAATATTCTATCTATTACAACACTAATTCTACCTTATTAAATGTTACATTTAAATTACTTATTATATTTTATTATAAAGCAACTATAACTGTGTGTTCTAGAGCCATAATGGAAATGATCACATCTGAGGATATGGAAGATTTAGATCTCAGTGACTATGAAGATGATTAATATATGTTACATGTTTTATATTACTTATTATATTGATATACTTGTTTCTTACTGTGCGTTTGATAATGTTAAAGAAAAGTTCTATTATTAATTTAAAAAAAATAACTTTGTTTTATTGAATTCACACATCCCCAAATTATTAATTTTTATACAAAAATAGAACATTTAAACAAGTAAATAATGGCTAGTAATATATTTCTAGATCCCATCTATTTTGCATTAACAAAATATATTTTCAGTTTTATTCTTGTCCTTATGTCAACTATGTTTAGGGTTGAATTTTGCCGAGCTAACCCATAGAGAACAAATTATTGATTCAGTGTAAGTTTAGTTGCATAACTACACTAACAGCTACTATCAGACAGGGTTCGGAAAACTACATGTTATATATATACTTTAAAAACACATAATGTATTTAAGAAAACAGAAGAAATATGGCTTTAAATATAATATTTACATCATATTATCTCTATTACACCTCATACAAAGGAAAAATATTCATAATATCAATACATAGTTTATTAACGTAGTTTTCATGTAGTTAATGAACGGGAAAAACGTAGTTTTGAAGAAAAACACACGTAGTTAATCAGGTAAATTACATCTTAATTAACTACTTCCGAACCCTGCTATCAGGGTCATTCGCATAGATAAATGCAACAAGTTTAGATTGGAAAGCCCGTAAAAATTTTAGGTCGCGAAATTATTTTGGGTCGCGACCGTTATACGCGATTTGGCGCTGCTATAGCGGTCGCTAAGAACAACGGCAAACAAAAGCAGAAATAATTTTCTCTTGTCAAAGTCAGAATCTTCAAAAAGCATAATAATCTTTCAAAATCTAAACCGCTCTCATCAGAGGCTCTCATTAAAGAAATTCCGAAAAGTGTTTATAGCGTCCATTTTCAAAGTATTTATTGCTATCTTGTGAGTTTAATTCAAGTTTTATTTACTCCAACCGGTGATAATTGTGAAAAAGTGGCATTAAAAACTTAAAAAGCTGTGCTGTGAACTGTGAACTGCAAAAACCATCGTGGATCGTGGCATAACGTCGGTTTTCAATGTTTCATAGTTATTTCATACATGCGTCCTTATATAAAATAAAGTTTCTTGTATGCAACACACTGTATTTTATTTATAAAATTAAACGAAAATAATAATAAATTTGAATAAACCATATTTGGCGATATAGTTCCGGAAAAAGCCGAACCGCTCCGAAATTGTCAAAAGTTTTGGGTCGCGACCGTTGCAAGAATAGCGCCAAATAGTGTTTACATTGTGCTTATGGGCACTTTCCACAAAACATCCCCCTTTAGAACTTTTTCTTTAATGGCCATAAGCGGGAGTAAAAGACCAACCGCCCGAACAAACACTAGAGGCGCCACGGGTCATTAAATGGTGTAAAAATTGCGAAAATTTAATCATCTAATTTTGACACAAGGGGTCGCGCTTAACTTTTTCAATTTTAATTCAATATTCATTGTTTTCAAACTATATTATTAGACTTTGTTGTATTTTGTGAATGTATAAATGTTTTCTTAGTATAAAGTTGCATTATAGTAATTTATAAATTATATTCCATACATATTTAAGATTCAAATATTATGACATATATGTCAGTTGCCGTCTAAAATGTCATCTTGATAACAAAAAGTTAGTTATTGTCAAAAGTAGTTAAAATCATGATCATGTTAAAATATTAAAATTTACAAGTTATAATTAGATATTTTATATTATTTCAACAACAAACACATAATAGTACAGCGTAATGTTGATATGCAGGTCCAAAACAAAAAGTGCCGTTATATTTTTCAGTTTTCGTTGTCAGCCGCGGAAGTTTCAGTGATTTTAGTGTTGTCGGATATTTTTATTTGTGAAATAGAAATATTGCGTTTGGATTGCAAACCTAAATGTGGAAGTTTTATTGCAATGTAAGTAAGCCATTTTATATTTTACTTTTTTTATACCTACGACAAATATACATATATTGAAATTTTATAATTCGTTTTACTTAAAAAATGTTAGAAAACAAGCTAGTAATCCTGTAATTGACATAATTGTTATGTAATATATTCAATTTAAATGTAATATATTACTTTACAATTAAAAAAATGTACATTAAGTAAAAATGTACAAACTTTTTGAGTGCGAACAAACACGAGAGGCGCTTTATTATTTACTTTCATTTCTTAACATGACAGACGAAGTTCTAAAGGGGGATGTTTTGTGGCACTTTCCAATCTAAACTTGTTTCATTTATCTATGGTCATTCGTTAATTTGTTGATTTTACCTTTTTTCTTAAACCTTTAATAGGCCCTTTCTGTGGGCCCTTTTTATGTTTATATTCTATTTAATAAACATAATATTTGTAAAAATCTCCAATAAATCTTCCTGTCTCGAAAATCTCAAAATTGCGATTTGCGCCCTCTATCAGTTAAAATCGCTCGCTGTCAGTAGAAGACAGGTTAGAATTTTGTAAACAAAACAAATCAATTGTTATTTGTTTACGAGATCGTTTATGATATAAAAATATTGTTAATTCTATTCAGGAAATGTGCATTCTCCTGTAAATTATCACGAATCATTATTGACAGTTCATAGCATGTAAATTTTGTCCAGGACATATTTGTCGCACCGCTTAAATTTCAATTTTTTGAAAGGTTTCGACGTTTCATACGAAAATTTTCGAATGTGCTAAGCAAAAGCGAAATGAGTTCGCGTCAAAGATATTTTACGAACCCGAAAGCCGAGAATTACGAACAAATCGAAAATATTAACGCATCTGAAGAGCAAGTAAAGCAATACATCGGTAGACTTGTATCTGACATTGAATCAAACATAGCAGCAAATGAAAGAAATGCTGGTAAGTAATATATTAATAATAGATTCTGCGAGGTAGCTATCGACCTGTTCCATTGCGACCTTTTCGGATCTATTTTGGTCCTCTTCTGATCCTTACGTTACATTCTCCTATTCTTTTCAAAAAGTCTAGCAACTTGGAGACTGAACCCTCATACAGCTATTTGTCAATGGCCTGACACATTGACATAAATATAATCTATTTAATATATTCTTGAATATTGTAGGTGATGGATTGTATCTTGGTACAGCTGGTATCTCATATATGTTTTATCATTTAAGCCGTATACCAGCACTAAGTTCAGAAAAGGAACTGTTTTTGACCAAAGCTTATCAGTACTTAAAGCCAGCATTGAATTTGGTTGAGCAATCACAACAAAACAAAAAAGTAACTTTTCAAACCATGTTTTGAGATTTATAAAATTATCTCTCCATCGTTTTTAGGAATTGCCATCATTTATACTTGGACCTTGTGGCGTTTTCGCTTTGGCTTCTGTATTATATCATGTAACAGGTGATGAAGGTCAAAGCCATAACTACAAGAACTTGTACCATCAGATAGCGGCATATTGTAAAAATCCAAATTTTCTTAATTGTGGTTCTGATGAGCTTTTTGTCGGCAGAGCAGGCAAGAAGTTTACCATTAATTTAACAATTATTAATGAGCCTTTATAATATAGGATATATTATGGGATCTCTATGGCTTTCCAAAGAAACAAATACAGCTTTACCAAAAGATGATCTGTTTGAACTTTGCAAAACAATGATAAAATCTGGTAGAGATTATTCCATAAGACATCAGAGTCCATGTCCGTTAATGTACTCTTACTATCAGGTATATCAGATTTAACTCAATTATAAAGATTTGTTCAGTTTGAAACTTTTCTGACTGCCCTTGTAGTTGGGAATTATTACTTACTCAATAAATTATTTTAGGTTGAATATCTAGGTGCTGCTCATGGTCTAAGTACAATTTTGCAAAGTATTTTATCTGTTCCTGGATACCTTAAAGAAAATCCTGGAGATCAGGCTGATATTAAAAGATCTGTCGACTATCTGTTAAGTCTGCAAACTGAAGAAGGTTCTACATAGATTTCTAGATATTTTTTGTATTATTAACACTGATTTTTAGGAAACTTTCCAGCAGCAACTGATGAGATCGGTTATGATGCCAAGTTGGTCCATTGGTGTCATGGTGCAGGAGGTATCACAATAAATACAACATATTTACATTAAATACTTGATCCATTTTTCTTCAAGGTATATTCTACCTTATGGCTAAAGCCTATCTCATTTTCCATGACCAAAAATACTTAAAATCATGTGAGAAAATGGCACACTTGATATGGAAGAAAGGCTTATTGAAGAAAGGACCTGGATTATGCCATGGGATCGCTGGAAATGGTTATGTATTCTTAATAATGTACAGGTAATTATTACACGAACACAAACGTTTTGATCAATCTAATATTAATTCTCTATTACAGGTTAACTGGAGATATCAAATATAAATCCATGGCTGTATATTTCTATCAATTTATGATCACCGATACATTTCAAACTAACGCGAGAACACCGGATAATCCTTATAGTCTCTACGAGGGAACTGCAGGCACTGTTTGCTATGTAGCGGATTTACTTTGTCCAGATCAAGCAGTTTTTCCTTTTTCTGATGTATTTTGAACTATTTATTTATCGTTTTCACTCGAATAAATCCAGTTAAAATAAAATAAAACTGTTTTGAATCAGGAATGATCGCGAAGAGTTCGTTAAAGTTACTGTAACCTCAAAAATGTAATTTAAAATTCTTATGACGTCATTGGTTGTATACCAAGCTTGGTTAGTAGTTCAAATGTCCAAATAAACTTTCTTGTCAATGTGATGACGTTTAAAGGTCCAAAATGGCGGTTATTTCTTTATATTGACTTGTATTTTGTTGTAAAAATTATTCTTTTAATAACAAAATGACTTTCGGTGTACTTTTTTATGATTTTCGAACGAAATGTTAAATGTTTTAAAGATGGGGGCGAACGGCACCAGCTTGGATACGTTCAATATTGCAGGTGTGTTGTTATTTTGTTTTTATAGGCTAATGTCAAGAGCAGTTCGATGTAAATAATGAGCAATATTTTGTTAAATTGTATCATAAAAGTTGAAAAGATCGTACAGGATATCATGGAAATTTAGTTAGTTGTATGTAATGGTGTAAAATATATTGTATAATATGTAAAATGGAAAAGTTTCTGTAATTGAGTATGGTTTTATTGACGCCCAGCGCTTACAGATAAAATTCGCAAATAAATGATTCATATTCTACATGATACAGTAATTCTATTATTTTAGTCAGTTATTGTTCTTTTTTGTTCTGCCCAAATCTTGTATTAACCAAAAAATTATGTGAAATTTTGACATAATCTTTCAAAACTTCTTCAATCCTGTTAATTTTGTAATAAGTCATCCTTCTTAAATTACTATTTATCACAAAACTTCTTCATGTTTTCTGTGCTCAAAAAGAGTAAGGCATACGATTTTTTTAAAGGTGTAAATATTAATATTAATCGAAAGTAAATATTAGTTTTAATAATTGCTCATATTGTTTTAGACCTTACGCAAGAACAACAGAAAATCTTAATAGAAATCAGAAGAAAGAAAACAGATCTTTTGTTACAAATACAGGTAAGTGGGTAATTGTAACCGATACAAGAGATATTCAGAGAGATTTGTATCCATGTAGGGAATGAATTACTAAAACAAAAGGAATGCAGTAGTTCCTTGTGTGAGTTATATTCTTTCAATCAATATTTATTACATTTTGAATCATTCATTTAACTATGAGGTATTTCAATTATTTTGGTGTCTAGATATTTAGCAAATAGTTGTAAAATGCTAATGTGTATAGAGTAACACACATTAGTAGTCACATAAAAGTAGTAGTGAAGTTATTTTTTACCTTTAAAGCCTTAAAAGAAATAATGGCTTGAAATTCTTATTTTTGATATGATAAACGGTTTTTCATTATGATCAAAACTGTGTTATGGTAACATTTTAGTTTATTTTAAGATAATATTGTTATACAAGTATTTTTGAAGGTATGGATTTTGAAATACATATAGAGAGGTATATTAAATTTAGTGTCTGATCAAAAAACAACTGTGTCAAGTTATCTGTTCCATTTTTTAATCACAACGTGTTTATTTTGTTTAAGTCAAATATATATATTATGTATGTGTTAGGCACATAATAACTTGTTAAATTTGTGTAAGATTTACCTAATTTTAATAAGGAAGTATTTGACAAAAAAATCACTACTGTACTATTTAAAAAGTGATTGAAATATGCTTGTTTAAAAAAACATTTTTTTCTATACCTTATCTTTTTAAGTACCCTGTACTACTACTTACTTGCCTATCTATTATACAATCAGTTTTTTAAGTACCTACAAGACAAGGATTAATCCATGATTGATTACATACATTTTTTAAGGTCAATGCCTCAATTAGTAAAAAAGTTTCAGTTAAAAAAAATAATTTGATTTAAAGCTAAAAAAATCATTATAATAAACTTGATATTGTACAGGGTGGGTCAAATTCGACGCTTTTAAATAGAAACACCCTTTTCTATAGGAGATAGACGAAAACTAATATCGGTGTCTGTAGCTCAATTTTCATCAAAAACATGATGGTGAAAACCGCACATCAATATCTGTTACCGTTTCGGAGTTACGGGGTGTTTTTCAAAAATGTGCATTTTTAACACATCGCTATAACTTTTTTGCTATGGAAAATTTTGTATTTCTATAAAAACATTTCCAAAGCACCTTTTTACGTAGAATTTAATGGTTTAAGTATAATTTTTTTAAAATTAATAATTTAAGAGGTATCAACAGAAAAATTGATTTTTTATTTGGGACACCCTCTATATTTTTAATTAACTGAAAAGAATTTAAAATTACCTTTCCAAAAATATAGCACACTTCATATTTTGTTATAATCCCCTTCGAAATACAGAATTTTTAAAAGTTCGCCACTTTTAACTAGTAGGCTTTGGACCCCTTATTGATGATATGCCCTTAATGGAACTCGAAAACATATTTTTCCAGCAAAACGACGCACCGCCTCTGAACGCTGAAGTTATCAGCAAATTTTTGCAGCCAATTTCAAGAATAATTGAATAGCTAACCAAGATCCCAGCCGTCGAGGCCGTCTGACTTAGTGTCCATGGATCTAATCCTATGGATATATTTGCGGAAGAATAAAGGTTCCTTATTCTTCCGTATAATCTAGACAAGAATTAGAAATACTTAGCAGTTATGAGAGGGTATTTTTCACCCCTACTGAGTTAATGAATTCCGCGAGAAATGTTCAAAAATTGCCCCGTCTGTCCATAAAAGAAGACGGTCGTTATGTCGAACACCTGTAGCAAAATCTCATGTCTTGGTTTGCTATTTATTTTTATAGTTATTAGATATAGTTTAAATGTGTTGATGTTGATTAAATATATTTTAAATTGTTATAAAATTCTGCATCTCTCATAGCAAAGATTATTTTCGTTTTAATTGATGCTCACAATCTCGAATTTTTTGCCATTAGACCCGGTGCCGTTCAAAGCCCACTTAATTTAAAGCGGGCGAATTTTTATATACTCTATATCCCGAAGAGGAATCGAGCAAAATATCAAGTGTGTTATATTTTTGGAAAGGTAATTTCAAATTCTTTTCAATAAATTAAAAATATACAGGGTGTCCCATATAAAAAATCAAATTTTTTGTTGATAATTCTTAAATTATTAATTTAAAAAAAATATACATAAACCATTAAATTCTACGTAAAAAGGTGCCTTGAAAATGTTTTTATAAAAATACAAAATGTTCCATAGCAAAAAAAGTTACAGCGATTTGTTAAAAATGCATATTTTTGAAAAACACCCTGTAACTCCGAAACGGTAACAGATATCGATATGCGGTTTTCACCATCTTGTTTTTGACAAAAATTGAGCTCCAGACACCGATGAGTTTTGGTCTATCTCCTATAGAAAAGGGTGTTTCCATTTAAAAGCGTCGAATTTGACCCACCCTGTACCTGTGTACCAATATCCTCTGGAAGTAAATTTTCATACATATTTTCAATGATAAGTTTGTAGTTTGGTTTGGTAACAGTCTAGGTAAAGCATCTAGCTCATTTGTTAGCTCAGAATTAGAATTATTAGAGTTAAGCAACTCGCATTTTCATTGGAGGACATTGTCATATATATTTCAAACTTCAGTCAACGAGAATATTCGTATAATTAAACAAAATTACTGTAAACCACTATAAATACGAATTGTTGGTTAGGTTCGAAATGTTTTCTCTTCTTAAATAAATGGAAGCGTTAACATTATAAGGCATTTGCATAAAAGTATATATTTTTGTTGGTATTCTGCAAAATTTGCAGGCTATTGAGGAAACAGAAAATGTACAGAAATAAATTGAAAATAATATTTATATTAAAACAGCATTATATGTCATTTTTTCAAACGTCTTTTAAATCCTTCAATTTAATCGCTGTTAGTAAGAAGTTTTACACTTCAAAAATGCGCACTTTGTGCACACACTGTTTTTTTTTCGATATTCTCTGCTGTTGATCTTCGCTTATGCGATTAAAATTTCAAACAGGGAATCCAAAGAAGAATATAAATATTTAATATTTACATGCAGATATAATTTATTTATGCAAAGTAACTTAGATAAACTTTGATCCTAATGTTCGTACGCATTCATTAGAAATTAATAAATTAATGATTAATGTATGTTGTAAATTATTGAGAAATATAATATAAAAACATAAAAATAAAGTCGTTATACTGGGTGATTGACGGACCGGTGTTAGGATTTTTTTTGAAAATTTTTGAATACAAATACACCTTCTTTCACATATAATTTTAATATTTATATTTTATTTATTTTATCTATCTATCTCTAATCGTTTTGAGATTAAAAATAATAGAGAACAACGGCACAGCCTACAAACACGTAAACGTTTACGTACGCATGCCACATTTGTTATATTTTTACACGTAAAAGATTCTTTTCATTTTACGTCTACGTATACGTGCCAGCAGCGGCCGATTCGACCGTAGGCCGTTGTTCTCTATTATATGTATATGTTACGGTTAAGGTCCGATGTCCGGTTAATGTCGACATTACCCGGTTAATCTCGAGAATAACACACAACGAAACAACCAAACACATAACCAAACCCAAACATTAACCTGTTAATGTGGACATTAACGGGACATCGGACTTTAACCGTAACGTATACATTTCCGTAATTTTTTACGTAAAACATAGGTACAGTCTGTGAAACGAATAACAGCCAATATATAAAATGACAGCGATCTCTATTTCATCGCCATCGCTGACGCCTTTTTTTCTATGATATTGTATAATTTGCAAATATAATTTTTCGAACATTGATACTTGCAAAATATACATATAAATTTTGTGAATGCAAATAATAATACATCACTATTAGTAGATATTGAATGTTTTTTGTTAAATTAGATCGATTTTCAAACCCCAAAATTTAAAATATGTTTTACCCATTATCTTATGTACCTATTCATTATTTGTATATTGTAAAACATATGCTGCATTTGTATGGTTCATAGTTTATTTGCCAAAGTATTTATTACTATAAATAGGTATATATATATATATATATATATATATATATATATATATATATATATATATATATATATATATATTGTATTTATTAACTGTATATTATGTATATTTCATGTAAACGATATCATTTATAAAATACAAACCAAAAATATAGGAATAATTATTTTATATATTGTATTTATTAACTGTATATTATGTATATTTCATGTAAACGATATCATTTTTAAAATACAAACCAAAAATACGAGGAATAATTATTTTTTCCATGTATATTACAACATATTTATTAATCCATAGTATCTAACTAGCGTGACGTCATAAATCTCGCTCCGAGGCTGTTCTATTGGAGACGGCATTGGTCTGATATTAGAAATGTCAAAAGCTGATGACATTTTACTTTTGACAATTATGACATTTCGTGTTGATTTTTGCAAGAAGAGGAAGAACTGTCACTTGTTATGTATTATTTTCCTTTTCTATTTCACGAAAGTAAAAAAGAATTACCTATCTGATTCGTTCAGGCACCCAATTTAAAGAATATCAGCAACTTTTTTGACAGAGGGATTTTATATTTGCCATGTGGGTAAAAAATAACGGTCAAAATTCAGAGTTATTCATTTTATAGACTATATCTTTTTGTAAAACTCGCTACGAGCAACCGTTCTCAATATATTTAAAATGGAAATAGTCAATACATGTCATTATTGACAAAAAATAAACATGTTGAGTAGATAGTTGACTGAAATCTGAAATTATATATTTGGAAACTTTTTATTTTTTTAAATTAATATTTTTTTTTTGTACACGTAATATTTTTTTTTTCGAAAAAATGATGATAAAACAGTTTCTGTTGAACATTTGGCACAAAAAACATTTTAAATTTATGATTTCAGTCTAATAACTATTTAGTCAACATATTTAATTTATAGATAATTTCGATTCCAAAAAATATCTCGAAAACCATTCCTCGTAGCGATTTTTACCAAGAGACCTTTTTTACGTAAAAAACGTCGTAAATGTATATTTTTTTACTCAAAAGTTTTATACAGGTACGGACGAAAAGTTATGACTCTTCAAACCAGTTAAAAAATATGTATGGTGGCGCCTTCTACAAGTAGGAGTCATATTGACATCAAAATCAAATTTTTCGTGTCAAAAAACTTCCATGCGCCAATTTTCATCCAAATATTGACGTTACTTCAGAAATAATCTGGAAAAAATCGAAATAAAAATGAAACTTCTACACCCTGTATCTCCGAAACTAAGCATTTTAGGACATATATTTATACGAATTTTTTTACTCATTTTTATCTGCAGAATATAGTGCCGAAGTTTCTGGAATACGGTTCGGACCACCCTGTACAGAAAATTTGTTTAGTGTTTTATGTAGAATTATAAAATCATTAAATATAGAGGGCGTTCAATTTAAAACAAACAATTTGGCGGTAACTTTCGGTTAAACCGGAAATGTTTTAGAAAATGAAACTATTTCAAAATAAGTATACCCACCCGGAAGTAACATTAACTTGAAATTTCAGATACAAATAAAATTTGTATCTGAAATAGATCCTATAAAACGTTTAATGAACTATTGGCACTAAAACCATGTTTAAATAATTAATATGTCCTAAAAAAACTTTATTGATTGAAAAACCGTGTATATTTATTTACTTTACAGAGGAACCGAAATATTACCTTTTATTACATCAGCAGTTTTCCTTGAGGGATATCTAGATTTTTAAAGTATTTTTTCGGGTACTTATTAATATATTAAATATTCCGTGCGTATAGTCTATTAGCGCTAAACTGTACAATTTTACATACATAAAATTAGCAAACAAATGTCAACGTGTTGTGTATTCTATTCTAGCGAACATAAGTATATGAATAAATAAATCTGTCTGTATAGACGCCGATAACATTTTTCGAACAAGAACAAGCTAATAAAACAGTTCGCAGCAGGCCTCGCAGGAGTGCGTTCGTTTTTAGGTTATGTTTGTATCGTGTGCCCCGTGATTATCCTTTTTATATAAGTGTTGTTGGTTGATTTTTACATCTATATGTTGCAGTATTTTTACAGGAAAATACTTTAAAGCCGTCTTGTGATATATTATAGTTTAAAGTGTTTTTTGGTTCCTGTTCAAATAAAAAAAATAAATCACACTGATTTGTTCTTAGCAGGAAGGAATAGCAAGAAATTCTTTCTATTTGTTGCATTAATGAGTGAGTAACTTTGTATTCATTTATATATTTCATTGTTTCAAGTCGTTTCGTGAAGTACCACAAGGTTTTTCTGGGTTTAATATTCATTTAAAGCGAAGAATTTTTTTATCTATATGTTTTGATGGTCATTTTATATGCTGGTTATAGGAACTAATTTAAAGGGCAAGGGACAAAAAAATAACATGAATTAAAAAAAACGGTTCTAAAGGAAATGTTACAGGGTAATATAATATATGTTACAGAAATAATACAGGGTATGTTTTATAGTGTAGTATATTAATTAGTTATTAATCTTATTTGATTTTTAGCCAAACCAAACCTATTAATTCCAATAATTTTTAATGTTTTAATCCATATGCAAATTTGTGTAAAAATTTCATGTCGCAAACAATATTACGCGCTTGTACCTATGAATATTTTTGAAATTTTAATGTTGAATTTTGATACACAATAATTCTTGATAATTTTCTACCGTATGATCGAAAAAAAACGGCGTCAGCGACGGCTAGAGATTGACAATCGATGATAATTTTGGCGACGTCATTCTCTATACTTAATTTACTAAAAAACTGACATAAAACTTATCAAAAAATAACACTAATTATAGAATGATTAAAAAAGGATAGATGGTTTCCAGACACGCAAATCTATTTACAAAAAAATATTTTTCTCGAATTTTAAACTACCCCATTTAAAAATCTTTTTTACTCAATGAACACAAATTATGACTTTCTCAAGGCCAACTGGCATTAAACCTCATTAAAAAATAAAGAAGAGCACGGGGCAAATAAACGACGTCTGGGGCTTGACCTCGCCAAAATTATTATCGATTGTCATTCTCAGTCGTCCCTGACGCCGTTTTTTTTCGATTGTATGATACAATATGTACAGAAAATAAAAATATTACATATATGACAGCTTCTTTTCAACTATATTATTATTATTACAGGGTGAGTGAATTAAATAAGTGCAAATATTTTTAGGGGTGTTGTACCTCGACCCCAGAAACACGTCTATGAGTTTTTTTGCGAATTTTTTGAAAAAAAAATTGGAAATTATTTATTAGGGCTTTAAGCACCATACTCATTCTCGAAAACAGTAGACGTATTTCCAAACGAACTAACGAATCGCTTTGACGAACCGCGTTAATTACGGCATCGCATCAACGAACCGTAGCATACTCTCTATGCGCGCATGTACGCATCAAATCGACGCATCAGCGCATTTAATATTATGGACTCATCAACGATTCATACTAAAAAACTTGGTACGTTGATATAATTTGCATATAGAATTACTTATTCAGTTATAATACACGTTAAGTATACACAATTTACAATATAAACGAATAAAAAAATAAACGTATCCTTTCAATATACATATAATAGGAAAACCGACAAGGGTTATTAATACGAATATCATTAACTACAGGCTATGTTTTACATATGAATAATAAATATTTTGATACAGACAGACAATAGGATTTTTAATTTCAGTTTTGTTTCAGTTGAACCTAAGAAAATAAGTAAACTTAGAGGAGTTCTAAGATACCCCTCAAAACTATATGGTCATAATTAGTAGTGGGAACTATCGAATGAATACTATCGAAACATTCGATAGTTGCAATTCATTCGAATAATTCGATAGCTAGTAAGAAAACATGCGTCGAAAACTATTCGAATAAAAATTATCGAATAGATGCGTCATCTGCCTTGAAATATTGTATTCTAGTAATTCGGCAGCAAAAACCATTCATTTATAAAATTCATTCATTTATCAAATTCATTTATTCGTCAGGATCGATTTTAATAAAATATAAACTGGATTTTAGTTGTCGTCCGGCGACGTAGGTTTCTTTCCTAGAAACCCGACAGCGGTCGGTGGCAATGCTATGAAAGAAGCCGGCATCTTCGATTTTTTGGGGAGTCAAATAAAGATAAGGACACATTATTTTTTTTATTGAGTTATTGAGGTGCTAGTATTTACACAGAAAATATATTATGAAGGGCGCTGTTGCCATGTATTTGTATTAGTTGGTATTAGCAAAGAATAGTATTCTTTAGCATTAGTTAGTTAGGGTAGTATGTTTATATGTTTTGCATTTTTTTATTAATATTCTGTTGTTACACTGCAATAATACTTTTTATTTTGGATGTAGGAAAATGATTTTTAATGTTTTTAAGCAAAGACTGGTTTAATAAATAATAATAACAGTTATAATTTGTTATACCTATTAACAACAAAATTTAAAATCATTTAATAATATAAACATTTGTTTTAAGTAGTAGCAAAATATAAACAACAAATAGAAGTCAAAAGTATTTATATTAGATCCTATTTAAAAATAATATAGTCTCTAAATGGCAACGTTGGTTTATTAAATAATAATAATTACAGAACTAATTTGTTATATTAACAACAAATTTTAAAATCATGAAATATAAACATTTATTAATTTTCTAAGCATGCAGTGTAATGGAAGGAAAATATAAATAAAAAATTAGAAATCAAAATTATTTATATTACTTTTTATTACTTTATATTATTATTTAAAAATAATATTTACTTTTGCTGGCATTTACTTTAAAACATAAATGAAATATTTCTTCGCAAAAAACTACATGTAAGAGAATTAGCATATTAAACAAAATACAAACATTGTTAACTTTTTTTTTTTAAATTGGCACGTGTAAAACTTTCAATTTAAATTTTCTCACCCCATAATTTGAGTTCGACAACAATTTACTTAACCACATTACTTTAATGTGATTAGTAAGTTCAACTAATGCTGGATTCAGAGTTCCGTAGCCGTAAGACGTAAGCCGTATCGTTAAGACGTAAGGGATATCGACCTTCACAATCACATGATTGCGTTCATAGATCTCCGTATGCCGTAAGCCGTATGCCGTAAGATGTAAGAAATGAACCAATTTTAATTCTTACGTTACGTCTTATCGAATCGGGTGTTGTCGGCTAGGTTCGGTGGTACTCGGTAGCCATTTCTACAACTTTTATAATATATTTCACAGATATTTCACCAGATTTCACTTCGGCAACGAAAATATAATTGTCCGTGTCCATTTTAGTTCAATTAAATTAATAATAACAAAATAAATAAGGAGTATTATAGTTTTATTCACAACATTCACAGCCCAAACAACAACATAACCTATTAAAAACGTTAAAGTTATCGTTACGTCTTACGGCAACTATGAATGGCTTTCCTTGCGTCTTAAGTCTTACGGCTAACGATACGGCTTACGTCTTACGGCTACGGAACTCTGAATCCAGCATAATTCATATTATTAAAACATCTAAAATACAAATATGTATTTTTAAAATTAATTGTAAGTTCATCTCATCTCTGTTAAAAATTGCTACTTCTCAAAATTTCCCTTAAAAAAATGCAATCTAACCTAACCATAATATACCATATAAAATTAAATAATTGAAAGATCGGGCTACGGAAAATCACACAAATTTTCGGAAAAAATTTTGACCACTTCTGCACACAATCGTCAATTTAAAAAAACGACTATTTTAGTATTTTAAATATTTTAATAAACGCAAAAATAGCATAGTATTTACAAGGCGAAGTTATAAAAATTTGGAAGAACTAATAATGCACTGACGCACACAAAAATCAAACGAATACTAAATTTCATTTATCAAAAGCATTCGATAGTCGTGGCGCAACGATAACCATTTAGTCGTACGGCGAGGTTGTCACATATGGTTTAGTATACAAATGAATGAATGATTTTATTCGAATAAAACCATTCGATAGTTGAAATCATTCATTCAGTAACCATTCGATAGTCTAATTCATTCGATAGTTCCCATCGCTAGTCATAATCCCAAACAAATAATAGGTACAATAGACAAACTTGACTGGGTAATATGTACCATACTTGTTTCTACGATGTGTTTCTATAATGTCACAAAATTTGTGGAATCTCTTTCGTCTGTTTTTAAAAGGTCCTGAAACTACGTAAATGACATTAAATCACAACAGGGTGTTGTATCGAAAACATATAGAAAGTACTTGGAATTAGGAACATACAAGGATAAGCCCAGACAAAATCGTCAAAGAGTCACAACTGAACAACAAGACCGCCTTGTGTGCTAAATTGCTAGAATAAATCCCAATGTTTCTCATTCAGAGCTACAAAGACAACTTCTGGCAGCTACAAGTGTGAACGTTTCAGTTGAAACCATAAGAAAAAGGCTTCGTGCACGAGGGTTTTACAGTAGAAGAGGGTTACGGATCCCACAGTTATCTCTGCAAAATAAAATTGACCGGCTAAATTGACGCGTTCAGCATTAAAACTGGACAACTGAGAATTGGCAAAATGTTCTTTTTTCGGACGACACCAGAATTGGCCTATGATCAGATAACCATCGAATTCGGGTTCTCAGAGTTCCAGGAAGACGAGCGAGACTTCAGGCTGCCAAACCTGTACCAAGATATAAAGGAGGAACTGTAATGTTCTGGGGAGGTATTATACTGGGAGCAAAAATTCCATTGTTACCACTTCAACAAATTTTAACGGGTCGGAGATATGTTGATTTGGTGCTAGAACCAATCATCTCCTCCTTGGAGAGCTGCAAATGGGGATAATTTTAATTTCATGCACGATAGTGCACCTCCCCATACCAGCAGAGTGGCTAGAGAATGTCTTGAAACGGAAGGTGTCATTTATATTTAGACTGGCCTGCCTATTTACCAGATCTAAACCCTATCGAACACTTGTGGGACTAGCTGAAAAGAAGGGTTAGAGCTCGTCGAAACAGTCCAGGAAATCTCGCACAGCTAATTGATGCAGCATTAGCAGAATGGGAAAACATACCCCAAGACAACGTGCATAATTTAACAAGAAGCATGCCAGCGCGGATAGAAGCTTGCATAAGGGCTAGAGGTGGCAACAAGGAATATTAAAATTATCAATTTTCTTTTTGTTTATGCTTTTTGGCCATTAAAAATTTAAATCTTAATTTCG